GTGGCTGCATTCAGCTTATTGTAAGCATGCGCTATTCGCCACTTACTATTTAGCTTCTTCACACAAAACGTGGGGCGTAGAGTGAGGAGACTTATTCTCACGCACCATACCAGCTGCGTGCTTCGCACGAAAGAACTCGTCAATGACGTCACATTGCTCTCGTGGCAGCGGCCACTGTCGCTTCACACAATATTTGGTTCCTGGAACCAAGTCAATTTCATGATGTACACTATCCGGAGGTAACCTCGTCGGAGGTTCTCTGAAGACAACATCTCCATATGTACACTATCCGGAGGTAACCTCGTCGGAGGTTCTCTGAAAACAACATCTCCATAATCCTTCAACAAAGGAAAATAAGGATCCGAAGGGTCCTTCAGGATCTGTGATCCACCTCGCGCATTCAGCGCCTTCTTGGTTTCCTCAAGAACTGCTTAATTTAAAAGCGAGGGGAGTTCAACTACTCCTTAGGTCGTATAGGACCACTTCGGCGATGTCGCCTGCCGGAAAGAACAACTCGTCCAGCTCTCACAGAGCACTTAAGGCGGGTATAGCTGAAAGAGCCACCGGCTCTTTAACGTTGCCAGTCAAACCATTGACAAGTGTATATAGCTGCTCGCTATCACCGTCGCTCACGATATCATCATCGCTACTCATGATGCGCTCAGCATCCGACGCATCAGCGTCCACAGGTGTACACACCTCAAGGTCAAAGACCACTTCGTTTACTGACTGCACCCCCACCCTCTTGGGTCAATTCCTCGTCATGAGGTGTTCGCACCTCGTTGTCCTCAAAGACAACCGTCATTTTTAACTTTACCCGACCCACTTGGGTCAGTACCTCGTCACTAGGTGCTTGCACCTCGTTATCCTCAAAGATAACATCCATTGATGACTTCACCCGACCCTCTTGGACCAGTACGTCGTCGTTAGGTGCATGAACCTTATTGTCCTCAACGACAACATCCATTGATGACTTCACCCGACCCTCCAGGGTCAGTTCCTCGTCACTCATATCACTTTGATTCGTGTACTGACATCTTGGCTTGCAGCCACCAAAACCACTCATTGTGTTTAATGATGTAACATCGTTCTCATGACATATGTCATATGTGCCATCTAGTGGGTTCTCAACCACACTATCGACAGTCATTGGGCCTCGCCCAAGACTATTGTCCTCGACACCTACAGTGTCTACAAAGTCAGATATTACGACATCCAACATATTGACCGACTCGGTCAATATCCCCGCCAAAAGCGCTTTTGCTTCCTAGCAGAGGTGGGTTCATCGCTCTCCAGAGCCCTACCAGGAGCATTTCGCGTTGCGCCTAAGATCTTCGACCTCCAATGAATCCATGGCTCATGACGTTCTAGCCATGCCATGCCTAGGATGAAGTCATACCTCGCATCTAGGTCTAAGACCAAACAGCGTTCCATGCTGTTAAGGTCCAAGAACTTTACATTTAAGTCCATCGGGACTTTGGGTACCGTAACACGCGTATCGTCGCTAAGCGAACTGTGACTGTGTCACTTTCACGCGCTACAAGCGCTTCAGCATACTGATGACTACCTTCCACGGTGGCACGGCGCACATGATTGCCGATGCCCCCGAATCGATCAAAATGATCTATGGCTTATCATAGCCCTTAATCGTCCCTTCGACAACTAGCAAGCCTGGCTTGCATTCTCGTTCCGTTTTTGAGAGTTCGGATCTCTTTGAGGCTGGGCCTGTTTACTTCTACCTCCTAAAGGCTCAACAAAACTCAGTTCTTCCCCAGTAGGGCGCCCCGCGCCTACTGGGTTCCGCCATTTCCCCGCGGCAAACCAGAAGGTTTACCCATGGGGCGTCGTCCCTTCGAGCCAAATATGACTTTCTTGCAGGGCATTTTGCCATCAAATGGCCTGTGATCTTGCAGATATAACATCTGCGCACAATTTGCTACTCCGCAGCTTGAAGCTCAGCTTCGTCATCCTCCACTTGGCCACAGTCCATGGGTACAGACCCGTCAGACGAGTAGTTATGAGTGTCAGGCCTAGAGGCCTTAAAGTTGGTCTCGGCATTCCATGCCACTCCAACAGCTTTCTCAAATGAGGACGGGTTTACCCGGAAGACTTCCGTTCTGGTAACGCCAACTCGGAGGCCCTCCATGAAGACCATGACGATCACTGCTTCTGGCATAGGGTCTATGACCATGGCAGCAATGAGAGTACTCAACTCTTGTACATATGCCGCAAGCGCACTCTTCCCTTGGCGACACGCCAAAACCGCGACCGGTTACGGTGTGCTTGGTTTGGCGGTGCATACTGCCGGGTCATCTGAACTTTCAGATCGGCCCATGTTGGAAATGCATCTTGCAATGATGCACCACATGTGAATGCCCACTGTTTGGCTAAGCCACCTAACTTGCCCATGGCAAAGCCCACACGGTATGGTTCATAGGTGATGTCGGCTATAAACATAGCCGACTCAACCTGTTGGAACCAAGCATAAGGTTGTCACATTCCTTGCCGTCGAACTTATCGACTTCCATTTGTATGGGTTTTGATCTGCGGACCACTTCTTGCGCCATAGTCGCCATGGGCGTAGGCGCAGAAGAAGACATCTGTGCCTTTACAATCTCGACTAGAGCTTTTGTTATATTCATCAAGCATATGAATACGCTTGTTAACCTCTTCTTCGCCCTGGGCGATGAGGTACTCCACGTCCTTAGGGCCAAGGATAAGGAGCAGCTTTTGCAACTCTTCCTGTTGTGTCTGTGACAGGCTAACCGCAGACATCTCACGATGTCCATTCTCACACACATCAATGTCCATTCTCACACACAGAAGTAGTCGCAAACCCAGGTGCGGGATTGACTACAAGTGCTACCAAGTGTAACAGAGCTACTGTAGCAAAGCGACTTATGCACTAAGTTCACACAAAGACAAATTCTAGGAGATTTCCGTCTTAGGCTTTTAACTCTCTTAAGGCTAGCTTCACACGCTTGTGCCTTTTGGTTGTAAGCAACCAGACCATATCAAAGATACAACTTCCTTTTGCAAAGGACGCTCTAGCACCTGTGAGGTTTTAAGGTGATTTATTTGAATGTTTAACTTCTAGCACTCTATATAGAAGAAGCACCTATTCTATACGTAGTGCTAGTCACTATTTATCCGGATCTGTAGCCTGCTGATATGCAAACATACGTATTCATAATACTTAGCAAAGTATTATGACCACGTGGCTCTCTGCCACGATACAACCCTTTGTACCTTAGGTACGATCACATTAACAGCCACACCATATTGTAGGACGAGCGACGTAAAATATATTCCTAAGACCGACCCCATTGTCTGGAATAGAGCAGCAAAAAGAGAACCTTACGGAAGAGATCAAGTAGTTTACTAACCGTATAAAACTTGCCACAGTCAAGATCTAAAGACTCTTGACTGCCCATGACTTCGACGCAAAAATCGCCTTGCAAGTTTGAGCTGCTGCTTTGTCGCTGTTGCTGGTGTGTATGTAAAATACACACCTTTGTGTAACCTCGTTGCAGATGGACCGCACGTCGGTGCCATATCTAGCTCTTCCACCGAGCTTTGAGATAGCCAGCGCTACTCGCCGTGTCTGTGAGTTGAAGCACAGCTGAGGCCATAGCCATCTCGGTCTTCCGGGTACAATAAGGAAACGCATTCCCCCCTGTTGAGTTGCGCGCTTACCCTGTCTCATTCGTTGTAACAATACTTCTACTGCCATGATGTGTGTCACTCGAAAATATGGCCAAAATTGCCTTTTTGTAAATGTTACGGTCGATCTGAAAAGCAGGTTATGACCTGCCACCGCCAAGTTTGGACACATTTGTAGCGCTTTCTCTGTTTCAAGGCGTGTAATGCCTTTTCTGGCTAGATTCGCTATCGCTATTCTAGCAAGTTTTAACAAGGGCTTTGCTGGTTTACTCGCAAAGTTTTGAGGTATGGAAGACATTTTAAGGAAAGATAGGACCTTTGGAGGTTTATGTGAGACGTTTCGAATTTCTTGCAGAAACTGCTGGTAAGCCATTGCTGTCGATAACCTAACAATGACGTGACCTAGTAATCACATTCGACTTCGGCAAATGTCCACCTCGATACACGTATTCCATAGATACCTTCATGTTAACTGTATTGGATTGTTGCGCTTGCGTTTAGCTCTACACGATTGTCTTGCTAGCTTGGTTCCGTGTTTGTTTGAGTAGACCACAAATACAATTTCTTAGAAAACTCTCTCAAAGCGCAAACTTTTTGTAGACCCTTAGCTCAATTACCCCAAGCCGCAGACTTTTTGCTAACGCTCCTCACACTATTGATGGAGTAGACCATTGCAACCGCGTAAGATCATTTTATCAATGGACAGCAGTAAAGATTTCCACGTTGTTTGTGTCAAAGTACTTCGGTCAATGTAAATAGACCAAGGTGACGGTGACCATATTTCTACCTATCCTTAGGTCCTTTGCTTTCCAGGGCACATTAGATCAAGTCCACATTACTGAGCAACCGTGAACTCATCAGGCTACTATAACGTGAATATAAAGTATCCAACAAACGTGACGAACCGGAGCGCATATCCTCGCCACTATATCAACATTGACCGATTCAAGACGCCAGCATGGCGAGGGTATTCTCGATTGGTTTGGCAGGTCTCACCAAACAATATTTGTTAGGGCGAAAGGGGCAAGCTGCAACTGGAAGCGCTCCCATGTGTACATAATGATGGGGCTGTGTTTGACGGCTCATAAACCTGGGTAATGTCGGTCTCGGGGAGTAGAATGCTGATCGCCGGGTGGTCCTAGTCCATCACGTCAGCTACTAGGCCTCAGCACAACAAGTTCACGATACCCATCGTTGTTCTAGCAGCGTCTAATAACCGTCAAAAACCCATACCGGCGCTATGCGTCATAGAGGCCCCGACGCGCAGCTAGTAGCAGTGCAGCAAGGAGCAATTTCACCTCACTAACTTACAAACTTCCATAATCTGTGCAGCGGGTTCAGTGCTGACCCAACGGCGGTCTAAACGGGCGGTCTCTTCCGCCAAAGCGAAGTTGGCCCGACTTCTTCGTCCCACCTAAGCCGCCGCCAAGACGGCGCGGCTTCCACGACTTCATGACTCGACTGCGCTCAAAATCTACTAAAATTACAGCTCCATCAATCACGCGTCCATGTGCGTGTTTGTAAGCTCGTTCAAAATCCCTCTCGTGCTCAAACTCTACAAACGCATAGCCCTTGGACTTCTTGGTCTGTTTGTCGCGAACGAGACGCAGACGCCGAATAGCTCCATAGTCAGCAAAGAACTCACGAATCGTCTCCTCCTTCGTATCAAAGTGCAAACGAGCCACGAATATCGTTGCATACGGATTGCCCTGGATCTTCTCGTCCTTGCTCGGATCATAACAAGCGTTTAGAGCGCGCACCAGGCCTTTGTCATGAGGTGTTGTGTCTGTGCCATCAATACTACCGATCTGAATAGGGTTGTACTCCTCTGCAAACCAATATCGACGAATCGGTTGATGTTGTCGCGTATCTGGTCGCCAACGATTTCGGCTTTGGCTTCGACTTCGACTTTTGCTGGGTCTTCGTCGCCGCTTATTACTAAAAGACCTTTCACGTGTCATAATTTTAATTAAAATTCTGAGCACAGGTATTTTTTTTAAATTATAAAAGCAGCAGAAAAGGTTCTTTGACCCGTATAATTGAATACTAGCACAATTTACATATTTCTATTTAAGTATAATGAGATAATATAACTAATTAGAAATTACAAGTGGTCATTGGTCAAAACATTTTGCAAGTGATCATGACGTGAGCTTACTAATGCATTGTGGGCGAGTTCTTTGCAAGTCCATTCGCTGTGATCAAAGACACGCATCACCGCATTCATGACACATTTGTTGATCAACTGATTTCCTTTATAAGCTCAACGCAAGCAATAACGCTTGCACTTCCCATGTCATCCGAACGGCGTGAAAACTTTGATTATGTGGCAAGACTTTTGTTTGAGTCTTATTGACAGTCAAGACAACCGTAGCTAGTTCACTTGGTGATGACAGTGTAAGAGAGAGGAAGGATGAATTGGATAATGGTAAATTTGTATTGATTGTTTGCTTTTGCCGATCGGGTGCAACAATCGCGTTATCACTAATCATGTTTTCTGGACAGATGTCAAACTTTTCCACACTACGTCGTATGGATGCTACTAATTTCCATTGAGATTGATTATCAAGTATCTTGGAAGCACATGAGCGCATCAAAAGCACGAAAGCAGCGATTCCTGGCAATATATCAACCAAAGTGGAGGGAGATAGACACATATACACGTCCGTGCTTGCCATCATCAATCTTCTGAGCTACACTACAAATAAAGCAGGAACAGAGATCTTCGTAAGATTGTGCGAGAATCATATCGGTCCAGCCGACAGTTTGGAGCGCTGTCAGGTGGTCACTGTGTGCGATATGATAGCTTTTGTCAAAGGTGTCCGTGAGGACTGGATGTGGTTAGACAAACTAGAACCGATAATGTCTTTCTACGAACAACAAATGGCGTTTATGAACGTGGGTGAAGCAAGACTCAGTACAGTCGTAGAAAGCGTGGCAGACTTTTTCAGGTGTTTTTTGCTTGTCTTTGGTAGAAACATGTCACAATTGTGTGCTGCAGCCATTGAGCTAGAGCTGGAACGTATGCAACGTTGTGTCAACATGAAGAATGCAGCCTTTACCCAAGTCTTCATTGTATACCCGATAATTGACCGACTATTATTCTCTTCATAACGCAATGCAAACACACCCGCACACCAAACGGCGTCGTAGAAACTCTACTTACTTGATCCAAGTAAAATATATGGCTATGTTACGATAGCAAATACTCAACACCTGTATTCCTCTCTTCTTTTTCGTTCCTCTCCTCCTCTCTGCAACTAAATGTCCAAAATTCGCAGCGTCAGACGTCGAGACATAGCAATCTCTGATGACTCCATCATCATGCGGTATATACGCTTCTCGCTGCAGCCAGCCTTCGTTAGCATCGTAATTCGCTCCTGAGGCTTAATCCAGCGCACCTTGCGGCGTCTAGGTTTATGTTTGGCTCTGTCTTTCTTACCGTCACTTTTCATTGTTCTCACAACTGCCAGCGCTTTCTCGTCCTCCTCCACCTTGTCGTACTCTGTCCTCACCGTATTGTCGAGAGATGTGCTCCATATACATCGAGGTTTCCATGCCAGGCCAACTGAAGGACCACCAAGCTTAGGCACTGCACTTCCTCCTAAACCCACGCCAAATTCGTACACTGTAACGGTTGACCAGCGCACATTCTTCATCTTGAGTATATAATATAATCACTTGTTGTCTCTATATGTAAGAACTTTTCTAAATGAATACAGGGTCCAAGAGCCTTTTTTGTTCTTTTATAAGCAACATCAAGAGCTTAGGAGAAACGCAATAGACTCAAGCCACCATCCAGTCGTCCTAACCTATGAAGTCCACTATAGTCGCCTCTCCCCACATTCCCGCGCTTAAGTACAAACCACAAACGTTGCAACAACAAACTGATTGAAAATGACCCAAACCTAACGGTTTTTTAAACATTTTAACAAATCAAAAGCGTTACAACGTCACGTCTTTTTACGGTCTAAAGTGCGAATCGACACCATTGCCCGCTTGAGCATGAATGCTAGAAACGTGGTGAAAAACGAGAATATTGGTTAGGTGTCGTCTAGTCGAGCATATTACATTGCGTCTAAACACGGAAAATCTCAAACATGATGTGCTGCTATATATGTACAGATGACACAACGTCGCAAATATCGAGATTGTACTGATTACTGTAGGCTACAGAAGAGAATAAGGCAAGGCAGCCATGTAAGCCGATACAGAAACGTTGGCGCCGAAATGCAAGACATTATGTCAAATTACTCCACACTCCCGGTGAGTAGTTGAGGATGCCAATGCACGCATGTGATGTCGCCACCCAGATGACAGCGTCCGCCTTGCGGTAGTCTCGTCTGGCGACGACTTCAAGTTGCCGGAAAGCCTCAGTCCAGTAGGCCACTGCTCCTTCGTGCGCCGTCATCAGTTCGCTGCGGAGAACACGATTAACACGCTTGATCCAGAGATCCGTGGTGGGTGATGATGCAGATCATCGTCGAAGATCGAGCGTAGTTGGCAGGAAAGCCATCCGAATACCGTTGGGCTACCATCCGTCGGATATAAGACGAGGAGGGCGGCATAGTTTGAGCCACACATGCGCGCTTTTAACATTGCAATAAGCGATAAAGCTGCACCTAGCGCCTTCCCGGTGGCTGATGAGTTGTGCCCATGTCGCCTGAACAAACGGACAGCTTCAGAAGAGGCGTTCGTACATTTTGTCTTTTGTCAGCGCATTAGGCCCCGGCGGGGCACGGATATCCGGGAAGCCGTTTTGCTCAAAAGACATTCAGTTGATGCGTAGCGATTCGTTACGCAGTCCAAAACTTGACAATCCTTACGAGGCCCTGCAGATAAGCCCACAGCATCGTAAGGTCCATGTGTACCGTTATCTGATACGATCTCAACTCCTTGTCCATTGTGTCCTTATAGTGATTGATCATCGCAGCTAGTTATTTCATCACAGTCTAATCTGCACACCATACACTAATATTTGCTTTTACAATAAATATTCTTTATCATTTTTTGCGCGCTTTGGAGGTGACACATTTTCATCATCTTCTATCGTCTGTTCGTTTCCAGCATTAATTACATTTTGACTAGAAAAAAATGTTTTCAAGCACACCTTGACCGATCACTTACATTCAAACTCGATTTGGTTATTTTCAGCTTTGGTATCGGTAAAATCTGGATGTGTTAATAATGCCAATTCGTTAGCCGCACAAGATACGGCGGCTTCATTACAGCCCATCGCTCACATCTTTGCAATCCATGTTCATATTCGACACAGGTTGTAATATCTTCCATTCCACACCCTTCGGTACTTCCACCGGTATAACGATACTTCGTCGTCAATTTCCAAACACACATGAAATGTCTTGAACCTCTTTTGGACCTTTATGTATCGTACATTTCATTTAGCTTACATTCATCCAGCTTCATCGAGCACAATATCGTGACCTTGGACATCTCTAAGTCATGCAATCGTTACCCCTTGTTATTATCGAGTACCCCGGCTATGTTGTGTTTGCTCATCCAGAAGATTAACAACTTATAAGGGCACAACAATTAGTGATAACATTGCTGTTCTCAATATTGTCGATATGAGTAAAAAACACGACCAAGAGAAGACAGTGCGAGCTAGTACCGCGAAAAAAAGGTGTTCGTGCATTCGAAATACGTGGTACTTAGCACAGGACGTGGCGAGACACAATCGTTTTTTCAACACGCTGTTTAGTTGAAATCGAACATGAAACTTTACCATGCCATCTCGCTGGTGGCGGTGACCGCTCACGCTTCCGATGCTCGAAATTTCTCCTTCCAAGGCGAATTGAATGGATGGTATTCCTGCCCCAAGTACACCTTTGCAATCAACGGAACCTCTGATGACCATGATGCCGAATGCGCTGTATTTGGTGCGCCATTTTGTTATCCTGGAATTTGCACGACCGAATGTGTCAACCACCATCGACATTTTTGTGAAGCGAATACCTGCTGTAAGAGACCCGAAAACTGCATCAAATGTCTGGCTGCTGCAAGACACTACGGGTTCATTATCAACTTCACGTAAGGCGTACTTTGACTAGTTATCGTCGTCTTGTATATACTGACTGTTTCTCGTGCAGTGGAACCAGCTATGGTAGAATTACATACAAGATTGGGTGGAGCGGTGAACGTCTATACCATGGACCGACGTGGATCCGGTCGCAGTACAATGCTGGACTGCGTCGTAGCGCACTTGACCGTGGGTGAGGATGTCGACCCATTGAAAGTCCCTACGTGTGCTGAAGCTCTGCAAAGGAAATACGGAAGTCTTTCGTCATTTTCTGCCACAAGCGCTGCAAAGGATGTAGCAACTTTCATTTTCGACTACACAAACGGTGCGATACTGTCGTGTACGGATCATTCTATGGTTCTGCGGTTACGGAACGTTTAATGCATCTCAATTGTCCTGAAGTGACGGGATATGTTCTGGATAATGTTGCCACGAGTTCAGGAGCACCCCGAAACAAAGGGTATTACCTATCAATGTCTGAGACGTAAGTGATTCATTTATGGCACTATGCGCAAAGACGCGCGAGTGCCGCAAGCATTTGTGTCGAGAAGCGTCCAGGACACTCTTCAAGATTTATATACACAATTTGATGGTAACCCAACGTCGACATGTGCTGCTTTTGTAGCCACAATAGTGGAGGACGATAAATCCAAGCCGGTCTCGCATCGTTTTCGGCTGCCTCTGGAGCGATTCTCGTTGACGAGGACCTCCGCAAATTTGCTATGGTGTACAGACTTGATCGTTGTTCGTCTGAAGATATAAAGGTATTGATACACTTTTTCGCGTATTGCAGTTTAGCATTAAAGCAGTACCTTGCCGGCAGTGGGTTATCATCATCGGGTATACTGGACCACCTTGTCCAGTTTTCTGAATATTGGGAAAAACCAACGCCATCTTTATCAGAATTGACCTTGCGGTTTACAAGTGCGAAAATTGCGTATGGAATTCCTGTACCGCTTGCCTTGCTCTACTGTGCTTTTTGAAAGAAAAGTCACCAGTATGCGACCAACTTCGTGTTGGAAGCTAGTAACGGCATTTTCTACGAAGTGGACAAGTATTGCAATAAACGTGCAAAGATTCCTACTCGGGCAAGTGTCTTATTGATGTGCCACAAGTTGAATACGATGACACATCACAGGTATGCGGCATACTTGATGAAAGCACTGGATGACAACAAGAAAGAGTTGGTCACGTTTGAGTATTCTTCTTATGGAACACTAAACAGTGCTTCAACAAGCCAAGGAGAAGAAACATGCAGTATAAAGCTGCTGTTGTCATACGTGACCAATAACGGCAATTTGGAGCTTCTGGACAAGTCTTGCGTTGATGTGATGCCCCCGTTCACTATGAATATGTCGCTTGGCAATCAGTACGGTATGATATCTATGATGGAGAATATGATACGCGTTTGGTTGAAGCCTTTCCCCTTGAGACATAAAGGCTAGCCGAATGAAAAACGGTGTGACTCTTTCGTTCTTTGACTCAGAAAAATGTAGCACACGAGAAGCCGGCAGACTTACGCAAGGCACCAAGTATATTTGAAATTTTGCTGTACATCTATACAATATTTCCATTGATTGATGGTACAAGAAGAATGAAATTCAGACGGTCTATTTGCTGTTTAAGTACAAGTTCCATAATGAAGTCGCACGCTGTCGCATTCTCGATTCCGAGTAACAATGGTAATGAATTTGCTTTCTTTTATATAAAGTCGAATGCTTAGCTTTATGGTTTCGCAATGCTTGACACGTTTGTGACACTCGTAAGAGCTGGTAACGTATTGTCTACTAAGAAAAAACTAGATGACAATCTTTTGACGATTCCATCTTGACGACTAAAACCGCGGGTCATTTAGTAATAAGGAGATGCACGTGCTGCAATTGATTGTCGTACATTGTGCAGTAGAAGCTGTCAAGTACAGACTCATATGGACCTCTTCGCGACTGCGCAACACTAAGCAAACCCTTCAAATAGATTGGTCATGGTCAATGTCGAACCATGACCACAACATATTGTCTCTTCAATTGACTGGCACATACTGACTGAAATAGTGCAATAAGTCAATGACATTTGCAGCATCCATTAGATATTAAGTGAAGAAGGGGAGGACATGTATTTGTCTTACAAAGAATTAACAGGTCTAGCGTCACTAATAAAATGTATGGACTACTGACTAATAACGCAAAAAGAACAGCCAATGGACCAATCGCGTCCAAAAACTCGTCAACGTGATTGAAAATTAGAACGCTGTCACTAAATTGCACCTATGAATGATCAACAGGTTTTCATACGTGGACCGCATAGTCTTAACCTGTTTTCTTTGATATGACTTACTTAATACCTTTCATTTCCGCTGCATTTTTGTTTACAAGTATATGTAGTTTTAGAATACTCCAAACTTTTATTTACTCGTAAAAAACAACCAAATTAGCTAAAAGTAAGCAATTACGCAGGAAGGGGAAGAAGGAAATTTTGCACGTAAACCCCGAACGTCTATACACTCACGTGTCTCCGTCCATTGCCACACAAATAAAGAAGAAAAGAAGACGACTACACTGTATATAAATCTATTGACTACTAGCTACTTGGTGATCCTGTACTTATACATCCATCGTCACTTGATAGCAAGCGATTAAAGGTCTTAAACGGTGCGTTGTTTATAGGAGTCTTAATTTGATGTGAGACTCGATCGAATTCTTCTTCTTTTTACTATTACTTGCTAATTTTTATCACTATTTTGTAGATGTTTAGTCTTAATTCAAGGCATTCCATGCAGTCTGTACTACACTCAAGTGGTCATGGTAATTCCATGCGCACTTCAGCCTCCTCGTTTCTCTCGGCAGCTTATGGCAATTACCAGACTGGTGCAAATTTTCGAAACGTGGATGAATCACTTGTGCCATCATTTGAGGCATTAAACCCATATGCAAAGGTTGGACATAGCGTCCCAGGTGATGATAAACGTTGGCAACCAGTACCGGACTTGTTTCATTCAAAAGAATCGCTTTATTTTCGTTCAGCAGTGGGTAATGTGCTTAAAACGGCCCATGAAGAGATATCGCCAGCGGAATTAGAAGTACGAGCAAATACACCTGAATTTAAAGTGGAAGAAGGTGATTGGATTGCCCACAACTCGAATCAGAAGAATCAGTTTGCACTGATTACACCACTTAAGACTGTGGCTAGAATTCCAGCTAACCTTATTATTTCAAATGAACCAATCTCGTTAACACAACCAATAAGTAACCACATGGGTGGATACCTTCGTAAGAAAGGTGAGAAAAACAAAGCTCTGAAGAAACGGTATATGGAGTTAAATGGAAGCGTATTAGCTTATTATAAAAAGAAGCCGGTTAAGCATGGTATTCCACTAGGTCGTGACGAAAAGAAGACGTTGGAACGAGGACGAATTGACTTGGATCGTGTATCGTCTTTACAACCAATGGAATCCAGGACGGAGCCGTATGGTATTCTTTTGGTCACGACGGCGCGTACTTGGGCAATTTGTGCGGACTCTGAACCTGAGTACCAGCGGTGGCTAAAGGCACTTTGTGATGTTGTCAAGTTTAGTGCAGTTCATGTCACGTATAAGCGTATGTTTCAGTTGCAGGAAGTGAGTGCAAAGGCTATCACTGATGTTCGAATGGTTGTCACAACCGGTGATACGGTGGGACAGATTGTCGAGCATATCTTTAACTGCTATGAGCAGGCGCTGGATGCAGCGCCGTTGAGACCATACAATCCAGCAGAGTATCGACTGAAAATTACTGGTTACCGTGACTACATGATCGACAGGTTCCGTGTTTTGAATGAATATGTTCATGTTCGCGAGTGTCTTTTGACCAAGAAAACAATTCGTTTGACTGTGATTCACGAGTCAGTGATTCAGGAGACCGCTATGATGAGCTTGAGCATTGGCAGAGACCTGGCAGTTATTTCTGGATCAATGAACAGTATTGTTAGCCAGTTTGCAGATATGTTTGATGGTGAGCGGGCAACGTCATTGCAGATGACAACTTTGGGTGATGAATGGGAAAATCCGTCAGTCGATCGCAATCCGTCGTTACCGAGTGGGATAATTCAACAGCCATTTGCTATCCGCATACGTCGGGTACTGAACATTCCTCGTACAACATGCGTAAGAAAGCGTTCAAGTGAAGAAGCTGTGGTGAGCCGGATCCCTTTGACGAGCACGAGTGTAATTGTTCGCATTGAGCTGTATGACGGGAGCCAACTACTAGATAATGCCCTGGTCGACACGGCAGACGTTCGGCTGAAGGCTCAGCGGAACAACTTTCTGTACGCTGAATGGGAAGACGCTATTTGGCACACGTTTAACATGGACATTTGCAACATCACGCGCACGATGCGAATTCAGCTTACAGTTTTGGGTGTAAAAAAGAATGTTGGTAGTTCAACTTCGAGCATGGACGCCACCGAGGAAAAGATGCTGGTGACTGGCGTGAACGCGTTTGAGGTAGATGACACACTCGTACAGGGGCAACAGTATGTGCACATGTACAACAACTTGCACTCGTGCATTCAAGGTCCTGTGCCTCACGTGGCACTGCCCAACGAGCCCCTGATTCAGCTCGAGTTTTCTAAGTTTGATGCACCGATCAAGTTCAACTGGGATGATGATGATAGTTTGTCTGCCAATGATCGCTCTCACCGCCGTAGTACCATTACAAGTAGTCGATCTGCAATGCTGCGTAAGGAAGGGTGGCTTCAGAAAGTGGGCAACTTTTCGTCTTTGACACGGTGGCGTCGTCGTTGGTTTGTAGTGGACCAGAGCACTTGTACCCTCAGTTATGCTGATGATGAGACTGCTCCTCGTAAGCTGATCACTCTGCGTAATTGCTCCGTGATGACTGCCGATGACATGAATCAGAAGTTTACGACAGCGCCTGTAAATAAAGGTACACGGAAACTTCGCCAGACGTGGTGCTTTAAAGTGCGTCCTATGGGTTCGTCTCGTGATTACATTATCTCTGCTGAAACGAAGCAAGATCGCGAGGAATGGATGCTTGCGATTCAGACTGTTTCAAAGAGTGATTCGAACATTGATTCTCGCGGCAGCATTGGTGGCTTTGAGGATCTAAATATGCTAGTTCCTGTGAGTCCGTATGCTGAAAGAAACAACGATTACTTAGACGGCAAAATTATTTTAGAGAGTGTCGCTCAAGACCGGCGTGATTCGACTTCCCGCAGCAGTGGGCACAGCTCGTGTCATGAGTCTGCGCAGTTAAACGAACTACGCAAGCTCATTTTGCTGGACCCGTTGTATCGGTTTAGTCCGTACCAAAAGGAGCAGCTATGGATGCACCGCGAGGAATATATTGACATACCAGCTGCCCTTCCACGGATTCTTTCGTGTGTTCACTGGGAAGACCGTGAGGAGTGTGAGGAGGCATTGAAACTTCTTCCGCGCTGGTCTGTACCTGATCACCAAGCAGCCTATGTTGAGTTACTGAATGGCGAGTTTGCTCACGTAGGTGTCCGCACGTTTGCAGTACAAAAGCTAGGCCAGATGGCTGATACGACCTTCAGTTACTTTTTGCCTCAGCTTGTGCAAGCAATCAAGTTTGAGAACCACCACGTTTCGCCGTTGTCTATGCTTCTCATAGAACGAGCAATCAAGAATCCAAACCAGATTGGATTTGATCTCTTTTGGAGCATGAAGGTAGAGGCACACAACGACCAGTATCGTGAGCGGTATGGCACGATCTTGAACGCATACTTGGATGTCTGCAGCTCAAAGATGCGCGCTATTTTAAAGCTGCAGGACAAGCTTTTTTCGGAGGGCGGAATGCTTGAACGTATTTGTCAGAGTGTGAAAGCAAAGAAAAAAGAAGGCGCAGCTGAAATGAAACGAGCGATGCAGTTGGGCTTGGAGGCGCTAAACGAACTACTACCAGGCTCATTTCAACTGCCGCTTGACCCTCGTATTGAAGTGGGCAAGATTATCGTAAGCAAGTGCCGTGTAATGGATTCGGCGAAGAAGCCATTATGGTTGGTGTTTGAAAATGCTGAGGAGGGAGGTGATCCTGTAACAGTAATGTTCAAGGCCGGTGATGATGTTCGTCAGGATTGCTTGACGCTGCAGTTGATCCGTTTGATGGACGAGATGTGGCGCGACGAGGGTCTGGATTTGGCAATGGAGCCATACAAGTGTGTGGCGACATCACCAATGACTGGTATTCTTCAGATGGTACCAAACTCGGTTACAACTGCTGAGGTGCACAGGCGTGATGGTATGATGGGGACGTTTAAGGATCCTAGTTTCTCTGACTGGATTTGTGCAAACAATCCTGATCCGCGAAGCCGCAAAGCTGCTGTTGATCTTTTCAGCCGCTCTTGCGCTGGTTATTGTGTGGCTACGTGTGTGCTTGGTATCGGTGATCGGCACAATGACAATATTATGGTACGTGGGGATTACTACGTATTGATCGGCGGTTTCTTTTAGTCTCACCACCGAATGCTCTTTTGTTTTGATATTTAGATTGCTTCCTCGGGCCGCTACTTCCACATTGACTTTGGTCACTTCTTAGGCCACCTCAAGTATTACAAGGTACGGATGGAGGTGTTGAACATTTTGCGCTCAGCTTTACTCATTTTGCTAATCTTTGATATGTCTGAATGATCTTATTTTTAGCTGGGAATTCGTCGTGAGCGAACGCCTTTTGTGTTCACAAATGAAATGGCGTACGTGCTAGGTGGAGTAGAAGGGAAAGACTTTGCTAAATTCGTCGATACAGCCTGCACGGCGTACTGCGTGCTACGAAGACAAATGCACCTCCTGGTGTCGCTATTGCTACTGATGGTACCAGCAGATATGCCTGAACTAACAGGGCGAGATGACATTAATCACATTGTGACGACCCTGGCGCCCGAGGTATCAGATGATCGTGCTCGCGAGTCGTTTGAGCAGACGATTCATTTCTGCCTTGACAGCCGGTTCAAACGTTTTGATAACTACCTGCACAACATTGCCCACGCCTTTGGATAAGGAAGAAAAACGCTCAATTGGGCACATATATTGCTTGAAACGAGCTACTCGAGTGCAAACGGAAGAAATAAGTAATTGCAGCCATGCGTGAGTTTAGTGCGACTGGTGGAATTGTGCCTCCGGTTTCGCGTGCAACTCGGGTTTTGGTGAAAAATAAAGAAAGCAGACAAACTCGTCGAGACAGCTGCAGAAGGGTTTGTAGTAGTTGCTATCAGACCTTGTGCGGGTGGCTTCGATGCAGCACATTGTATTGTTAATATCCAAAAAGTCTATTAGTGGCTATAGTGTTTGCTTTCTATCAATTAGTCAACCATCCATCTACTTGCAAACTTGTCGCCACCTCGTTAACGATCTCCCAGTTAAGACGACTAAACGAAATCAACAAGAATCAATCAAGTCGTGATCAATAATCTTTCCAGCACAACAGGGCAGGGGCATAGCAGTCGAACATGTAATATATATATTCAGTGATGAACAGGTTCATGCATGCACCACAAAGTCAAGCTAAATTTCTTCGATAATTCTACTCAACGACTTTGCTTGTCGTGCGCAACACTAAAGCACGACTTCAAGCCTCTTCCTACATTGAAAAAGACAACATCTTCCGTCTTGCACTTACATCTCCTCCATCAAAGCATTCAACACAACCTGCACGTTGCCGTTGCACTGCTCCAAACGGTCAATGACGACAGCAGTCTCCACACCAGGAAAGATGTCACGCACCATCGACAACTCGGCCGACCACTTCATCTCTTCCTCCGTTAGGACAGGGGCAGCAGATGGAACCACGACAGGAGCCTCTTCCACGACAGCAGGAGTCTGCTCTTGCTCCATCACCTGCTCCCACTCGCTATCGCTACTAGCGGCAGCAAGAGGAACCTCGACCGACTCCTCAACAACCGTAGCTTCTGTCTGTTTCGGCTGCACATCAGGGGTGGGGGCAACCTCCGTCTGGAGAGGTGGCAACTTCATGTTCTTAATCTCACCCACAACCTCCTTCGCAAACTCACTGATCCCCTCAGCAGCGCACTTAATGCCCTCCGTCGTCTCCTTCATGAGCTGGTCAAATGGAATCTCTTGGATACTCTGACGCGCAGCATGAAGCGACTCGCAAGCATCATGCGCCACAGTCTTCAGCGCTTCATTGGTCTGGTTAAGACCAGTCTGCGCCGTCTGCTGCGCCTTCTCGGCCCACTGTTCGTGCTTCACCTTCTCCATGGCCACGTTCAGCGTCTCCACAAGCTTCTCAATAGCCTTAAGAATCGGGTCGGCCACGTTCTCCTGAAACACAATGGCAGTGCGACTCACCGCCTCAAAACGCAGCGATTTGGAGCTCTTGCCGTCCGCCAACAGTACACGGCACGCTTCCTCATACTCAGCCTGCGACGACACGTTCAAACAGTCACCTTCAAGGTCCGTGTACTGCACCACAAAGCTACCAGGCGCGAGGTGAAACGTCTCCACAAACAATGCCGTCAATGTCTCTAGCGAAAACGTGCTGAGATCCACACGCAGACGATGCAGTTCTCCCTTGTAGCTTATTTTTAGTGCAGTCTGTTTAGCGTCCATTATGATTCAAAATAAAACGATTTAAGCTAATGATTCTTCTTTACTTTTTCTTTTCTATCGACTTTCTCTTGTTGATGCCAATTCGAGAATGAAGGATGAAGAAAAAAAAGAAAAAGAAACCCTCTTAAATCTGATTTCTTTTCTTCAACGTCTGTTTGTAGAAGCAAGCCAGTCAACAACGGGAGAATGGACCGATCTTGTGACACTGATGAGTTCTATTAGTAGTATTAGAATGTACTATAAATATAACATGTAAGATTGAATAAATACACAGGTTAATAACTTCTATTGGATCTAGTACTACTTCCACTCAAGCTTTAGTTTATCGAAATAGTACACATAATATCCGTTCCTTTTGATCAATCTTTTGCATCATCCAATGGATGTTATAGGAATTTGCATGTCGATGGGCAAGACTATCCTCGACGTTGGACTCTCATCCCATGCTGTCGCACGGTTTTCATGATATGTGGTCCACCCAGTGCTGAAATATATCGGTAAGTTATCAAATGGACGGTACCACTTCCGTATATCGGTATCATTCGGTAATCCCTTCGATAACCAGTCAAGCCCTTCGCTAAAATAATGACCATTTCAAACCGACAAGTATTGTCGTGCCAGTGCGCAGCATTACCGACACATCTTTGGCTCACTCTGCTGACCTCTCTCCGTCGTCATGTCCTTGGAACTGCCGTCCACTACGTCTTCGGCAGACAGCATGTCGCCCAGCCTTGGTCATATAAGCTCCACTGGCGGCGCTTTATCTACGCAGTCTTTGCAAGGATTCCGTACCGTGTCGCTACCGGGACTGTATCCTGGCACACATCTAGGTATTTTGGCATCCGGACTATTGGACAAGCGACGTGACGGCGCCGTACGTGGTGGATGGGCCAAGCGTCTCTTTATTTTGTCCACACGAAGCTTGCACTACTTCCGTAAGACGGAGGATACCGAACTCTTTGGCAAGGAGCGGGGTCAGGTGCTGCTCTCAGATATTGCCTACGCAAAGGTCGTAATGCCCGAGGACGCTCCTTTTGGTGCTGTGGAAACCGGGCTCTTGTCATACTTTGTTGCAGTGCTATCGGTATGAGCCATTGTGAAAACAATTGAGCTAGGAGTGCAATGACTGAGACTCTTTTTTTGCGGTGTGTATTGATTTTCTTTTGACAGAAACGAAAGACACTGGTGATGTTTTTGCGTGCTGACTCCTTTGAGTATGCCAGTAGCTGGGTCAGTATCGTGAACAATGCTGTGCACACTGCTAAAAGCGCCAATTTTGCGCCACAATGGACGGTAGAAATCATGCAAACATTTATTTCAGCTGCTTCCGGGTATGATTAATGTTTGAATGTAGAGTAGAGTTGGTTTGAACTGATAAGTGTTTTGATGGTTTTGATTGTGTCGTTAGCAATTCTGAAGAACCAGAACGAGCAGTAGCGGAATTACCCACAGAGGTGGTAACAACGAGCCCAGCTGCAACGGTGGGTTGTGTGAGAGACAAATAAATCTTATAAGCAGGGACTATCAGCATTTGACGGTATTTTGTTCGATTACTTGTAGCGGCCAATACCTTCGGTGCTTGTGATTAGCGTGGTTTCTGGGCCTCTTGGCGCGTCGAGTACAACTGAGAGGTTAGTGAAAAGACGTGTTGAGCTCGGTATGGAACTTCAGCTTGGCGCATTTGATCAAAAGGACACGTGTATTATCGTGCTGAGTAATGGTGAAGAGCTCTGTATTCCACGACGAATGCTGGAAAATGATCTCAACAGTCTGCTTACTAGCACCAAACAGCTTGAATTGACGACTCCGACGCGTAGTCAATCGCTGCATCCTCATGTCGTGTTGATGTCGAAAGTTTCCGGTTGGTTTGTGTCTTTTATACAGTATGTGCTGTTTGAATCGAGGCGTTGTTTAATGCTGCGTGTGTTAGTTTCTTTTCGATGTGTACGGGCTTCTCCAGTGCCAACCTTACGACGAGACTCAAGCTCACAGCCAATGATGTCATCGCTGCCTTCAACATTCACTGTGGCTTTTCCAGGCACACTTGGCGGACTCTTCTTGATAAGCTGTCTGGTATCGTTTTACTGCGCATCACCTTTTGCTGGCTTGATGCAGATCACGATTGTGCTTGGTTTGCTCTTATCCATCTCACAGATCATGCAATTTGTCATCTGGTAAGCTTTGCTTCAGTCGTGTCGGCGTAGTCACCTAGTATGAAGAGCTGACAAGTGTTTTGTGTACTCTGGGAATTCTAGTGTATTGGATGTTCAAAGCCGCAAGCACCACAATCCCGCGGTAACACCAATCGGCGGGACCAGGAAAATAGTGGCAACAGTGGGAAATGAAGTTGTTTACTATATTACGGTCAACAAAATTGAAGTGATAGAAGCTGACCAAGATCTGGAGTCTACGCTATCCAATACGACGTCTCCTACTGCGAGCGCTGCAGGTTCTACTGAGATTGAAACAAAAACAATCAGCGGCGGACCGATTGCGTTTTCACCACGATTCATTGCAGGTGAAAAGGGCGACGTTGAAAAAGGTCGTGCACGATATTTGGCTACACTGGAGTGGCGCAAGGAAAATGGTATTGATGAAATCCTCGTGACGCCGCATCCGAACTTTGAGATAATCAAGAAGTATTATCCCCAGTTTTTTCACGGTAGGACTCGTGACGGTCTACCTGTATACTATGAGCGACCAGGTAAAATTGATCTTCCAGCACTCAAACGCGAAGGTCTCTCCATTGATGATTTGCTGCGTCACTACATGTACATTACGGAATATCTCTGGCGAGTGGTGGAACCGAACGACGAGGCGCGTTCTGTAACAGTGCTGGATATGTCTGGCATTGGTATGTACGACCTTGGTGGCGAAGTTTTGGATTTTATCAAGCGTGCCTCCGCATTTACTGGTGCCCATTATCCTGAGCGCAGTGCTCACATTTTTATTGTGAACATTCCTGGCTGGTTCAGTATGGCTTGGCGTATGGTGAAGCCGCTGATCGATCCTGTCACTCGCCAGAAAGTGTGTAAAGACGTTGTGTAGCTGCTTGCAATCTAGGATTACGCTGTATGTATCTTCTAACGTGTTGACTTTTGATTTACATGATAGGTCCACATGCTCAAGGGCAGTGCCATTTTGAAAGAATTGGAGACGTTGATTGATCAAGACAATATTCCATTCGATTTTGGAGGTAATGGTGCCGCACTAGGTAACTCGAAGGAAGAGCACGTTTTGGCAGCACACGTAAACAAATATTTGTGAGTTGCAAAGGATTAAGTAATGAAATCACAGAATTAACGCACTTGAAAAAGTATACAAAATAGTTCCTTGACTAATCATTCTTTCTCTAACCTTGATTCATTATTGTTACTTTTCAGCGGCTCAAGGATCGGTAGCACTATCCTATCGTATAGGATGCCGCTTCGAAATCAAGTGATTAGACTCCATACAACACGTTTCAATACAATTTTCAAAACAACTTGTTGTACACACTCTTGTATTCGTCATGTCATTGACAAGTCTCTTTCTCCGTCGTGTTACTTCACGCTCTCGTCCTTTATTATCGCTAACAACGTGCGCATTCTCTACTGAACTTGATGGTCCGTGTCTATCCGTCTATCTGTTCTTGTTATTACCTTGTCGCTGTTGTTTTTTCTAGTCATTAATATGTATTAAAATGCAGTTGAATCAGGTCCATTCACACCAAATACTTATCTTCCTGTCTCCTTTGAGGATATTAGCACTGCCTCGTATCGTATTCGTGATGGTATTCGACAAACTCCGTGTGACTACACGCCGTTATTGTCGCAGCGAATGGGCGTTGAGTTATATCTGAAGAAAGACCATCAGCAAATGACCGGTAGTTTCAAGGAACGTGGCGCTCGCAATGCGCTCTTACAATTGACACATGAAGAAAAGAAGATTGGTGTCGTTGCTGCTTCGGCTGGTAATCACGCACAGGCTCTTGCATATCATGGCAAGCTTTTTGGGAATTCCAGTCACGTGTGTGATGCCCAAGGTAGCACCTTTAACTAAAATTTCACGCTGTGGTGAACTTGGTGCACATGTTGTACTACATGGTAAACATATTCTAGAAGCTCGTGATAAGGCTGAAGACTTTGTATGCAATGACGTAAGGATGTTCTTCTAGATGAACTGATCTTGTGCTGATAACATGAGATTGACAAAGTCGTTTTTGGTCCTGCTCTGGTTTGTAGAATATGGTGTATATTAATGGATTTGACCGTCCAGAGATCATTGCTGGTGCTGGTACCATGGGTATTGAGATTTTGAATCAAGTACCAGACATTGATGCGATTGTTGTACCGGTTGGTGGTGGTGGCTTGATTGCCGGCCTCGCGCTTGCTGTTAAGACCCTTGCTCCAAACGTTCAAGTTATCGTAAGTTATTGTGATGGGATCAGTCACTAGCGTTGCTGTGAAGAATGATTCTAATCTGCCTTTGTATTGCAGGGTGTCGAGCCGGAGTACTGCTCTAGTTTTGCAGCGGCTCTGGAAGCTGGCAAACCTGTCCACATGCCTACACAGCCAACTCTAGCGGACGGTCTTGCTGTTCCTTGTGTTGGTGCCAATGCTTTTGAGATCGCCCGAGCCTACGTAGACAAGGTAGTGACTGTCTCGGAGCGTTCGATTGCCCTAAGTGTGTTGCGTCTCGTCGAGATGGAAAAGGTCGTTGTGGAGGGTGGAGGTGCATCTTCATTGGCAGCTTTGATCGATAATAAACTACCGGAGCTGAAGGGCAAGCGCGTTGTTCTACCGCTCACTGGCGGTAATATTGATACGCCTGTCCTTGGCCGTGTTATTGACCGCGGCCTGGCTGCCGATGGTCGTCTTGTCCGCTTCGTGGCTACAGTGAGCGACCGTCCGGGTGGCATCGCTCAGCTGACCTGCTTCCTGCGTGACTTTGGTGTGAGTGTCAAGGATATTTACCACGAGCGTGCCTGGGTGCATGCCAGTATCTCTCATGTGGCAGTAAAATGCGTTGTTGAGACGCAGTCAAGCGAGCATGCTCTTAAACTAAAGCAGCGCCTTCAGGATGAGGGTTACCCTCTAGTCTGGGAGAATTTTGCCGGTCATCAGGTCCCTGTTGAGTTCTAAGCAAATGATAGAACTTTATGTGTTGGGGCACCATCGAAGTAGAATATAAACAATTTGTTTCATCACTTTCCATACCTGTATTCTTTTCATATGAAGTTTGGTGTCTACATCTCCGCCAGCTCTCCTAGGTAAATGTTCTTATCACTGCTACAAGAGCCCACAATGAGCTCTGTAGGGTGGAAAGAAGCCTCATTCACACTGCCTGTGTGACCTGGTAAGTGGTAGCGTAGGTTACCCGTCACGGCATCCCAAATGTACACATAGCGGTCAGCGGACCCACTTGCTACGAATTGCATGTCGGCCGACCAGCCACAGCGAATGAGTGTGCGGTCGAAGCTGTGCTTGGCACCCATGAATGTCATCTTCAGACGCTCTCCTGTGACAAAAGGCCGAACATCCCACTTTCTCACCGTCGAATCCATTGCATTGGACAGTAAGTAGCTTCCATCTGGACTGAGACTTACGCTGGTCACAATGTCCGCATGCCCTTGCAACACCGTGGTCACTTCGTCTTTCCGGAGATCCCACAACTTGATATCTCCATCTAATCCTCCAGCAACCACATGAGAATTGTCAGCTGTAAAGCAAACGGCCGTCACCTCAAACTTGTTCTCGAAAGACTTTACAGCGCGCTTTGATCGGACGTCCCACAGCTTGGTAGTGCAGTCATCGCTGCCACTTACAATGAGTGTAGGGCCACTGGTCACAGGACAGCAGCTATTGACTACAGATGAGTGACCCATAAACTTCTTGATGCGATTGCCACTTTCAGCGTCCCAAAGCCCCAGCGTCTTGTCAGCCGAAGCGGATACCACCTGTGCACTGTCATAGGTCCATTGCACCTCTAGTACTGCATTCTTGTGACCTCTCAGCTCACTGTAATTGCGACATTCTCCATACACATCCCAGAGCAAAATACTGCGATCAAACGAGGACGATGCCAAATGCTGTCCCGACGGACTGAACTTTAAAGAGTATACTGCGGCGCTATGGCCCGTGAGCAGCATTGTTGACGCCATGAGTCCCGACGTCCGGTCTTCAACACGCTTCGATGTGACAACAGTAGAGTCTGCACATACGATTTCTGTCACACGTGAGCGCTTGGCTAGCTGCGTGTCTTCCATCGGCGTTAGCGCCGTTGACGTCTCTACATCCTCTTCGCTACGTAGTTGCCGCTTGTTCGCCATGAAGTCTATTGCAAAAACACGAACCTAGAGCGTACCTAGCAAGCTCGAATATAGGTTGAATACCTGTCGTAATTAATATCTTTTCAATGAAGCGTTGATATCATCAACAGATCCAATTGTTTGGATAATGTAGCTATATTTTGCTGTGAATTTAAGCCAATCATCGACCACTGTCAACATTTCGCGCCATTCCTGAAACACTCCCGCCATCTTTTATCCATGACAGACCACGAGGAAGTGATTATTAATGGCGACTCGACAGACGAGGAGGAGGAGGTGCGCATTATTACTCCAGCGTCGCGTAAACGTCGACGTTACTCAAACATAATGATGGATCAGGATGAAGAAGACGCCGAAGAAGAAGAGAAAGAAAAGACTGAAGACCAAGAGAAGCAGCAGGAGAAGACAACAGTAGCTTTGTCTTGCATCCCACGACGTCAGCAGCAGCTTCATTTGGATAAAGCTGGTGTATCTATGCAGCGCATGACTCTGCGTACGCCACTGCCTGTGCATCGATCGCGTCGGAACCTCCAGCAGCTCTCGATCTCGAATGCTGTGGCCCGTGGAGATTGTGGACGGCATCATAAGCATGGTAAAGACAAGGAAAGTGACAATGATGATGACGTTCGTATTGTGAAACCTCCTCCTGCTAGCTTCAAGACGAATAGTGGACAAAAGAGTCGACGCTTTACGATTCAGGAGTGTGACGAGGAGCTCGGACCTGCTGAAAAAGAGCAAGAAACGCAGCAAAACTTAGAAACAAATATAGGAAACGATGACGAGACATCGCCAGCATCCAGGCGTAGTTCAAGAATCCAGCACAAGCGTCAGGAAAAAGAATTACAGCACGGCATTGCACGGAAGCTGGCTTACCCGGTGTTGGAAAATTGTTTAAATAATCTAGCGAGTTTTGGTCCACATTGTCAAGATGAAGATGGTGAAAATGATAGTGAAGACACCCAGGAGTTTGATTTGGACAAATCTGTAGCACCGCCAGCCCAAAAGAGACGGCGGTCGATTTTACTACAGGGAGAGCGTGATGACCGTGAAAAAATATATGCGGATAGTGGAGAAGATGTGGACGATTTTATTTGTGGTGACAATGAGATTGAATACATGGAAGATGATGAAGAAGGTGCGATCAGTGTTGAGACGCCGGACGACGAGATAGAAGACGGTCCTGAAGAAGTGACAGCAATGCTGGCAGCAGGACGCTCACGCGAAATGAGCGAATGGTTTTGTATCTACTTAGAGTATCTAGAAGAGTGCATCATTGATCCAGACTTTGAAACTAAAATGCGTCGCAAGCGATCCAAGGCGAAGTATCAGCTCTATGGCCAGGCTGTTAATCGTGTAAATATGTTCTGTTCAGGATCAAAATCTAATCAGCATATACTTATGTATTCCGTGTTGTCGAATCTGTAGATTGAGCGAAAACTTTGTTCCTGCCGGGATGCCGTCCAATCAGGTGTTGCATGGCCTGGCGAAATGATGGATGCGCTGAAATGTGCTTCATTTTTCCGTTCAAGCCATGTCTCCGCGAAACAAGACTGTGAAGCCTGTAACCGCCGCCAACATTTTGCTACCTACCACGTAGAATTTGCCGGCGTGGCCTATGACGCCACAAAGCTTTACGGACATAACTGGATGCGCCAGTACGTTGCGTTTGCATGACATGTAATGATTTCTGTCAATCCAGGAGCGCTAATCTTTCTTTGTGTCGTGTGACGAGCAGTTTGAAGGCAGCAACTCTGGAGGCAGCTCCAGTCCAAATCGCGTTCAAAATGGGGAGCGTATGTCATGCAGTAAGATCTCAGCTTTGCCGTATCATTTTGGTGAAGTTGATAACGGAAGCTAATGGTGTTTGTCGTGCGTCATCGACTGTAGCGAACATTGGCATATTGGCAATTGTTACACGCGAAACAGTTCTGGTGCATTTTGGTTGACGCAAAGGTTAAGGAGTGTGCGGATTGCACAGGACGTATAGCTGAGCAATACCGTAACAAATTTTTCACGCAGGAATTTGGTCGGTACAAAAGATTGGTGGGCTTGGTGGACAAGTTTGCTGAGGACTCGAAGCGTGTGAATGTATCAATGCCAAATGTGTGGAAGCACATCACACGGTGCAACATGACAAGTGCTTTTCTCCCGCTACCATCCCATACGTCATCATTGTATACGAGCACAGAATCTCGTCGAGGCATGCTGGATGCAGTTGTTGCTGAAAGTGAAGAAGAGAGTACAGAAGATGAAGAAGCAGAAATGGAAAAGAGGGAAGTGAAAAAGCAAGCGGTTGCAGGTGGAATTAATGGTGACAATGAATCTAGCATTGGCAAAGACGAAATGAAGAAGGGCTCACCGCTTAGGACACCTTCTTCGGAATGCAAGAAAGAACCGAATTTCCAACAGACCGCTATAGAAGATGACAAAAAGGGAGATGACCTTGTCAAGGATGAAAAAGACATTGACGACCTCATGTGTTTGGTATGTGACGCTAGTCAACGCGATGCGGGGGTTGTGCACGGTTTATATCTTCATGTGTATTGCTGCTACGCCTGTGCGAAGCGCCAGTACCGAATGAAATCTGGTTGCATCGTGTGCAACCGACCCATTGACCGTGTACTGCGATTGCTTCCACTCACATTGGATGCTCGAAACGCTATCAGGAGTCAGATGCCACAGAACTGAGAATGCGTAAGTGAGCTAGTAGCGTTAGGACAAGCGACAGACATTTGAATGGCGTACCAGCTTGCTGTTATGCACTTGTTGTTTCGGTCCCCATATTGCGTCTCGTTTCGTAGCCGAAAATGTACAAGACCTGATTGCGGCCAGCGAACGGCAGAAATGCGCTTTGAACTGATGGATGCTTTTCTAAAAGATATCTCACAAATGCCTCGTACGTGTCGACAGGTGTGCCATCACGGCATTGACGATCTGGAAATACTCGACTCATCACGCAGCAAGGCACAACGGCAAATGGCTTTCTTAGCGTCAGGGCAGCGTCAACAATAGCTTCAGTGGCCTCATCTGGGTGCATTCCAACAAGAACAGAGCAGTCTCTGAACAGCTCCGTGTGCAACTTCAATGTTTCGTCATCGAGGCAGCAGAGCAACTGAGGGCTCATCTTGCAACCTCCTGCAGCTTGTGCTTTAGCAACAAGTTTACGGTTGGATTTGCCAAGTTTCATGGGTCTCTGTAATACACAACACAAGAAGAGAAGCTGCATCACATTAAACCATATATGTAGGAGTTTAGCACTATAAAATGTGACACGTACAGGGTCAATTAGCGTTGTTGGAATACCTCGTTTTATCCAAAGCTGAATAAGGATATCACCTTTACCACCAGCTATATCAACCACACCCGTTCCAGAAGCAAGATGCTCACTTCCTAAAGAATTCACAAGCCAGTCGCAGAAGATGCGGCTACGTTGCGCTTTGTTAATTTTGGAGTGAGGATCGCTGCTATCACCAGCAAGATGTGCGGCTTTTGCACGCTGTTCTAGCCGTTTCGCCATCCAGCGGCGTCGATTCTCTTTGAAGTCCGCTGGCTGTCCATGCCAAAAGTGGCATTGGTCTCCACGCAAACAGTTGGCGCCGTCAGATGACGAGAAATAGTACTTGCAGGCGTTAAATCCGTCCAGTACAACCATGTTGGTGTACTTATGTCCCACCTCTGCTTTTGAAAAAGGTGGCAACACCTGCGAGCCTTTTACAAGCACAGAATCAGGAGATGATGCACTGCCCGAGTCAGTGTAGCTAAACACAGTGCCATTATGATGCAGACTCCAGAGTTCATCCACTTGAATTGAGTGCACTATCAAAAGCCATCCATTCAGGTCTTCTGACTTGTTTGGTTTACATTCCAGTACACCATGAGCTGTAACCATGTCACCAAGGTGAGCGTCCCAGTTAATTTGTCGAATTGTAGCAATATCTAGTCCACCCTCCTGCGCCCGTATCATGATCTCTAATAGCTCTGTAACCCAATTGAACCATCAGTAATTGATAGTCAATAACAGTAATCATAGAGTCAAAAGATCAATTATATCAACAAAGAAATCATGTCACCTCCATCCTGCAGCTGGATATCACCAAACACGAGGCATTTCCTGCAGTAAACAAAGATAAACATAATTCAACCATGAGGAATTGTAACATACTAGTAATGACACGTACGACAAGTTACGCTTGCGGACAAAGCGACCTTGCACCAAGACGTTAAGTGCGTTGTAATTGTCAGCTAAGAGCACCAGCTCCTCTCGAGCTTTGATGTGTACTCTAGCCATCTTTGGCCTATATTCGAGATAAAAGGGTAAAATCGACGCGTTTATTGATTACATGTAGCTATTTTGACATGACTATTTTTGTAGGATGATTTCAAATGTACCCATTTCTACGATTAGTAAAATTAAATCAAAAACATGATTACGTTGGCAGCCTGTAACTGCCATCCAAATAAAGCATTGCGCACTTAGTATGAGCAAATTTACCTGCGCTCCTTACATGCTTAGCAGCAGGCCCGACACATTACAGTATAAACAAGCTTGTGTTATTGCATTGAACAACAGCAAGCAACTGACTTTGGTAGTCTACACGCTTGTATATAGTTCGCTTGGAGACTTGATCTCAAGCTTTAGTTCTGGGTTTCGTCATAATATCTTCTCTGATCAACATACATGTGTTTTCTATTGAGACGATTGGCCATTACTTTACTTTGGCTTGACACTAGCAATATCGTCATTAGCCATTCCTCGATTTGAAGTTTAACATATGTAGCCGGTTGTGTTTACAATTTTGCGACATGAGACACTACTACCGTGGACGTAATCATCTGGTTTGAATTTATTTCAGGAATGTTCTTTTCAGTTTACGCCTGTCCAAGAAGAACAATAACAAGTAGTTTACCATGATTGTTTGAATCCTTCAAGGCAGTCGTTCCATTTACTACGATTGTTTCTGCATCTATCTATGATGACAGAAAAAGAAAAGACGTTTGCTAACATACTAAACACTAATCTATCAAATCAACACCATAGATAAATTGAGTAGTACCATTCTAACAGCAATTGTCAAATTTATTTTAAGTTATCATGACAATGTTTGTCTTAACTTGAATATCGTGTTAGATTTTTTCAGTGCGGACGATAGTTTACACAATATCCACTATATTTGATTTTATCTGAACTTGTGAGACGTGACTCTATCTGATCACTGACCACTATTCTGTGACTTTTCTAATGACGACCTTGGACCATAAGACAGATTTTTTTGTCAATTCAACATTGTCGTCGGACACAACATACATTCAGTTTTGTCACAATCATTCTGGCGATTTCCCTCTCACCCTCAATTGGTCTCCTCTTCCAAGACTTCGGTTGAAGACCATCTCATCCGCTTTGTTTCCCACCCTCTCCTCTCTCTCTTCTCTCCTCTCTCTCTCTTCTCTCCTCTCTCGCTAGTCTCTCAGCACAAAGCAGTAAAGAGTGTCTACACTTCCCCCCTGCTCGTTCCTTCCTACGCCTCTTTTCGTCTTATTAGAAAGAGACAAATTCAATTGATATCATGCAGACGTCACTATTACCCACGTGTGATGAATATGATTCATTAGATGCACATTTAGAAGAGCTTGAAGAACCAGGTACTACTTTCTTACAAGGTAAGAGAAATGATAGACTGACTCGGCTGTTGTTGTTGTTGTTAGTTGATTCATTCTAATAGAGACACATTTGATTTGATTTTTGTATGTGAATGAGTAGATTTTATTATTGCACCACAATTAACGTATCATAGTAATACGCCACTTAGTAATTCAAATGGATACACGTCAGAAGAATCTGACTACTCTGTTGTGACACCAACTGATGAGCAAGACTATGAAGACACGTCGTTTCTACAGGCTGCTAATACAATTGATCTTGTCAACGTTGTAGGGGATCTCAGTACAGGAGAGTTGATGACCGATATTCCTACTCGTAATAATAAGCAAGAGAATGTTGCATCCAAAGTCATTAAAGAAAAGGTAAAAGCGAGCAAACTAAACTTGGTAGCAGAATGGATATGATACTTGCTAGCTTTACTAATTAATGTGACAAACTGTTGTAAATATAGACATCCAAGTATCGTGGTGTAACGCAAACTAGCAAGACGTCATGGGGTGCCAAGTACAGCGCAAAACGTATCACCAACACCTGCAAAACACCGGAAAAAGCTGCTCATGCGTACGATGAGTATCTGAGGGCCAATTACCCGCACAAATTTAGTAAATTTGCTAATTTCTGCAACAAGTGTGGCAAGTTTGTAAACCCTCTAAGGCTGCCACAATACCAGAGCGAATGTAGATGCTCTGCAAGCTCTCGCACTGGATTTCATGTGTCGCAGCCAGCTTTGATGTCGCCCAAGAAAGAGGCTTTTTCTAGTCAGCAGATCATGACCCCCACAGCTACAACGTCTTTGGTACCTCCTATAGCCGTATCTCCGGCTGATGGACCTTCAACGTTAAACATGAACGTGATGGAAACATCGAACCACGTTTTTGACATTAACCCTGCAGAGGAGGAACATGAGACCTTCCTTAGTTGTCAACCAAGCAATTTGTCCGTAAGTTCTTTAAAGTCGAGTATTTTGGAGGACACGGAGCAGTATCTAGCAGAATCACTTAACTATGCGGTCAAGATGTCATTGGACCGTGATGAAGCAGCTATAAATGATGACCAACAGCAGCAACTGGACCAAAAGCGCGACAGTCTACCAATGGCAGTCATCAGCTCGGCTGGGGACTCATTCACACGGGGAGATAACCTGGATCGAATCATTAAGGACATCAACTGTTCCTTTCCATCTCCCTCTTCTTTACTGAAAAGCAATGTTGCTGAAAAGTGTAACGCTACTGACAATGTGGGTGATTTTACAGCAAATGGAAGCAGCAGCGAAAGCGGAACAATGTACGATCTCAACAGTTGTGGCATGGTTCAGGTAAAGCCGATTACATCAAACTCGTTGGATTTTGACGTGGGTGAACTGGACGAGTTGACCCAATACTTTTTGTCTGAAAACGACGCTGAGGGTGTTGCGGAACGAAAGGTGCAGGTGGACTCTGGTTTGCCGCATCAAGATCCCGTAGTGATGCACGCACGGGAGCCACAATACAAAAAGATTCATAGTCTGGACTTTGATTCCGACAAAGCAACAACTAGCAACTCTTGTAGCGACATTGCCATTAGCGACGTGAAGCTTGAGGTTACCGAGACGATGAACAGTTTCGAGGTGCTGACACATTCAAGTCCAATTATGCCCCCGGTATCGCCATCACCAGCGATCATCACTATTCAGACCCGGTTTCTAGATAAGTACTGGCGTAACGACCGCAAGAATATCCAGTGCTTCCCCTATTGCCCGGAACATGGCGACTATTATCGCGTGCGCATTGAGGATCTTCAGCACCGCTGCAAGGGTGTCTGCCGTGCTCCAGTGAAAGCTCATATTTTAATTTCCGCACCAGCAGGTGCGTCAGTCGCCCAGTCCGGACTGCTGGTATTGGCTCGCTGCAACAGTATCTTTTCCCGAAGAGTGACTCTCACAGAACAGCAGACGTTAAGTCTTGCTGAGATGAAATCACTACAAAGCGTTAGCGCTATTGGTATGATTGACCATTTTGTTTCCCTTGACAAAGGCGTTGGAAGTGTGCAATTCGGCGTGATTTTCCATCCAGACGTGTGGAAATTCGAGTTTGATCTTCCGAAGAAGCGGCGCTACGCACAGAACTCAAGTCCAACTGTGTCGTTGCACGGGATCGACGGTGATGCTGATGGCGATCCTCTGGCAGCCGAATTTATGTATTTCTTTGAGATCGATGTGTTTTACTCACGCGACAAGATGACGTTTGAGCGATTGGGCCACGTGGAATCCATGAATTTCCAGATTGGGAATACGCGCACACTCTTGAGGCAGCGCAACAAGATGGTTGAAGATTCGCAAAATAGCGGAGGATCGCAGACACATGCGGGTCAGAGAAACGACAGCGACAAAGTTGTGAATCCTGATGAACTACCTGAGAAAAAGAAGGTGAAGGTGCATTTGGGTCAGTGTGAGGTTTTATCTGGTGATGATGGAACTCTGAGTGGTCGTGGACGCGAATTATCTATTGGTTGTATAAAGGATGAAGGCAATTCGTTGCTGCCCATGCAAATCTTGCTGGAGGACAATGCTACACCAATGGATACCGGTACAGTGAGCTGTGAGGGCGGTGACAGCGACCACGTTCAGCAGGCAGCTACGTATGACTATCAACCATATGTCTCGCCGAGACAGGAGTGCGACAACATCAAGACGGCGGACTCACCGGTAGCAACTGCGATCCCCGTCAAGCTCAACACAAATGCAAGATCCGCAACTCCTACTTCATCGGCGGCGATGGAATCGTATAGTCTGCATAAACTGCTCTGTTACGCTTTTGAGTGCGTGCTGCTTTCGGTGTTGCTCATTCCTGTGGGCGTCCTGCTGCTGCTCGGATTCTTGGTGATACCGCCTGCTGCTAAAGGCATTGTCAGTGTACTGGACTCGTTGTCGGACATGGAGCTGTCTCGCGCTAATAGTAGCTGCATTTCGAAAGACCAGCGTTTTGTTTTGAATCGTCTTGTTGACGAGAATATGGACACGGCTGGGAAGCCGAAAGTTGGTACGTTTCGCTATCACGGCAAGAGTGAAGTCTGGGGCAGAATATTATACTTTAGTGGCGCGAAGTTTGTGGTCTCTATGGTGTCTTTGATGCCAGCCTTCGTACTGGCATTGATGGCTGGATTTCTCTATCCGATTCGTCCAGCTTCCGCTGCCATTGCTAACGCTACGTGCGCCTGTGTGCTTTGGTCAAGAGAGTACACACGCAAGACAACAGGCAAGCGTTTAGCGGGCGTCGCAGAGGTTGAGATGGGTGAACTTGTATGATGGAGCGCTGCAATATATTTTTTTATTATTCAGAAACAAAACATCAATCTTGGTATCTGCAGAGGATGTCGACAGCGTATCGGAGTTCTCAGCAGGCTATGTTGCGGTGAAATACTGACGACAAAAGCGTCACTTTGACGTTGCTTTGGAGGTCGCAACCTATGTAATCTATCATCAGCATTTTACTTCTTTGTTGTAAGACTTATTTTCAGCAACAAGATAGTTATCATCAGTAGTGCATGTTAAGAAAACTAGAGACCCACTGACCATGAACTTGCCTAAAGTGACATTAAACAATACAGACCTCGATGAAAGTTTTGCTACAAGGGCGGACACTCTGTTAGCAGCCTTCGTCTTCTTCTCAAAGATTTTCCCTTTCTCTCTGAAAAGCCGTTAAGGACCTGCCACGTTCGATATGTCTGGGTGCTTATTTGGAACGAAATTCCTCACCACCCGTCACCATGTCAAATTGGCTCGCAAAATCATCTATCGACATCTTGGAAGCGTCATCCTCTTCATCATCAAAAACCCAAGTCGTCCCAGGCACGTACTTCGATCCCTCCGCTTCCGATTCCGGAGGTCCTTTTATTCCCTTCGCATATAGCGGGCCAGCGCTACATTGCAAATGTGACAGAAACTCAATCAGATCACGAGCATGCTGAAAACAAAACTAAATCCATCGCTTTTCTTCATACCCAGGCAGCGCATCTGCAATACCGGCTGTCATGCAGCTCTCTCTGATGTCTTCGATGTTGCTAAGGAGGTTTCGCGCAAGGTATGTTGTATCTCCTGCTTTCTTAAAGAAACTATGCTTCAAAAGCGCCGATGTGCCAGGGCTACAACCACACAAGTGCAACAGTTTAATTGATACTAACCCCACTGCACGCAAAAAGAAGTGGCCAACTTACCGCTTGGATGGGTCCTTCTGCAAGCAAAGTTTGACGACATCTTTAAAGTGTCGTCCGAACTGGTGGCCGCTGCCATCATCCTGTCAAAAACGCAACTACATGAGTGACTTGAATTCAAACCCATACATTTCTGCTGTAAAGCCGTACATCATATGTGCGAAGTGACGGTGGATCTTCCTGCAGAGTGAGCAGCAACACCTTCATTGGCTGGAAACGCGCGTAGGGTGCATAGCCCTTGGCGAGCTCCAAGGCCGTGATCCCGAGCGACCAAATGTCGGCCTTGTAATCATACCCTTGCACCTGTTCCATAACTTCTGGCGCCATCCAACAGGGTGTACCCACAAAAGTCTGACGATTCTTTCGACGATCACCTCCTTCCATCATCCAGCCCGAGACACCAAAATCAGCAATAACGACATGACCCTCACTGTCCAGTAAGATATTACCAGCCTTAATATCACGATGAATTTGACCATTTTCATGAAAATACTGCAATCCCTTGAGTGTTTCATTCAAGATAATAGCCAAGAAATCTTCCTTTAGTCCTTCACCCAGTCCCTTCTTCTTGAATAGATTCATCACGTGGAGACATGAACCTTTATTCATAAGTTGCGTAACAAGCCAGAGTTGATCCTTGTGCACAAAGCTACAATAGCATTTCAGCACATTTGGATGATTCGTCATTTTCATCGTCTGCACTTCAGCACGAATATCTTCAAAACTGGTCGTAATTTTTTCCAAATCCATGATTTTGATAGCCACGTGAATTTTCTTTGGTACACAGTATGCTTTCCATACTTTTGCAAATGCGCCCTGACCAATTTGCTCAATGATTTGGTACTCGGACGCAACTGTTGGCCATTCGTCTGCCATTATGTTTTGATACAAATACGTGCTAGTTTATCTTTTGTATGTGCTTGACGTGAATTGAAAAATACGAGAATGGAAGATATATTACAGCCGGAGTAGGACGAAAATTTCCATGTCCAAACAATATTTGTGTGGGACACGTATTGTTGTGTGTACCACATGTAGCAAAGAGGCCCAACAAAACGCGCACTGAAATCTAAGGATTGAATCGTATGAATTGGTCTGAACTACTGTAAAATTGTAGCTGAATGTGTGCAATTATGTAATTAAATACAAAGTATGCATTGTTTTGGATTTAAGGCTGATTGCTGGTCTACATACTTGTAACGTAAGGTCTCTTTGTATCTTTCGACGCACATCTTTTGGTCTACGTAAGCGACTTAGTCCAATAGTCGTTACCACGACGAATTAGTGTAAAAACATTAGAATCTTTGTTATTTTTAGCTTATAACACGTAGTTAGAGCCACAAAAGTATCTAAGGAAAAAATACTTGTCCTCAATTTTAAGATACTAGCAGTTTTGTAATTATTATGTAAAAACTCAACTCAACAGTGTACAACTATAAAAAGACGTGGCACACTGAACGCAAAGTACTGCGTTCAGTATTGCCACGTCCTTTCACCCCTTCTTCATCTTCTTCCTCTCTCTTCGTGTCTTTAAATATATATATATAATACACTTTATATTTTGCACTCAAGCCATTATTAGACGCGTATAACCCGAGATGAAGAGTCCAACTGGTATGCGCATGCGCTTAGCGCTCACCCATCACCGTAATCTTCGCTATGCGTTACTTGCAGCATGTAGTGCACTATTCTTGGTCTTGTATTTACTTACAAAGACGCCTGTACCGTATACTTACGATAAACTTACAGACGAAGAGAATAAACGCTATAATTCTCAAGCGACAATGAATCAATGGCCAGGTCAATGTCAGATAAAGAACTTTGAACAGATACGTCGCATGTCGATTGTCTATACGTGGGTAAATGGTAGTCAACCATGTTATCGTCAAATACGTGAAAAAGCTGGTGGAAAAAAAGCTGTTGGTGGCTCTCGTGATCGAGAGATTGGTGAACTCATGTACTCTATACGATCATTGGAAAAGAATATGCCATGGCACACGGGTCAGATCTTTCTTGTTACCGCTGGTCATATTCCACATTGGTTGGATATGAATAATCCAAGGATTAAAGTGATTAACCAGGACGATCTGTTTCCAGATTATGCAAAGAAGTTCTTGCCGACGTTCAATACGCATGTGATTGAGCAGTTTTTGTACTTGATTCCTGGTCTCTCGGATATTTTCATGCAAGTGAATGATGACTATATGTTTTTAAAACCCATTGCACCGCACGAGTTCTTTACATGTGACGGCGCTATTCGATTACTACATGAAAAGGGACTTATTTCTCACATTCCACCTCCACCGAAGAAGGGAATTTGGATTTCGTCCGTTCTCAACACGCAGCAAGAGATGGATCTGCGCTGGGGAAAGACGGACCGTTACTTTATCAAGCACGCGCCCTTTGTTTATTCGCGTCGAGCGTTTGAGCGTGTCCACCAAATTTTTGATCGACCTCTGTACATGACGCTCAAGAGCAGGTTCCGTGCGAAGCCAGACATGAACATGCCGTTGTTGCACCACTACTATATGGTGTCACAGGGCGGTGAAGAGCTTGGCATTCCAATTTACACACCTCCTGCGGAGGAATTGACTGGCTACAAACTGATTCTTATGCAGAACAACAACATTGACAAGCTTAAAAAGATTTTTGGACAGATCTTGGATGGCTCCACGCCGTACAAAGTGGTTGCGCTGAATGACGAGTACACGGACATGCGTGTGGCCGACACCGCCATTGAATTCCTGCAGAAGTATTTGCCTGAACCTAGCAGCTTTGAGCGCAAGCCGGGCTCCGGAACCGTACGCGCTTACTATACGCAAGCCTGGCTCGTGCGAAGTGGATCCGATGATTTTGCCGCCGACTCCAGGGAGAGTGGATGCTGCACCAACGTACCAAGTGATTGCGTACCGCGAGCTGCGCTGGGTGGCATTTACAAATTCGCTATTACGTGGCATGGGGCTAGGCCTCGGCGTCATTATCATGTACCTTTGCTATTTGCTTGTACAGCGCCGCTGCAAGGCGCCCATACGCTTGAACGGTGCGTATGACAAGGTGTAAGCAGCTAGTTGTGAACCTAGTGCAGGGATAAGGCGTAAGTGGCTGGTTGGGGATTTGTGCAGAGTTTCTACAAGCAAATGTTATAGTATAAACGGTCCGTGCAATGACGAGAGTGAGTGAGTGGTTTTTAGTCCATGTATTCACTACATAAATGCATATGTGCAAAAGCTTGCCGAGTTGAATAGACAAACAATATCGTTTTCTTCCTACTTTGTTCTTTGTCCAGTTCGCTGCTCAACATCGAAACCACGGCCGAGTATATATTTGGGTGTACGAAGATGAATCGATTAAACGAGAATTCATTTCCTACTACCGTCAAGCACGGCTTTATCAGCAAGGGAGCAACAGCTCCACACACTTGGACCAGTCGCTTATACTCGCTTGGCGGCGTATAGACCTGGGATCCTCTTGCCTGAAAATCGGGAGATATAGACGGCAACAACGATCGCAATGATCAGGCCAAAAATATAGCCAACGTTTGAAGCCAAGTTCCACCCGAACGATTGCGTCATTCCGGCAAAAGCTAGCTCGTTAGGCGAGCGAAATTGAGCTGGTGCCGGTGCCCAAGTCATGGCATTCTTATCTGCTTGCACTGACACGGAGTCGGGCAGCGGGATGACATTGGGGTCATACGCGCAATCGTCGCCGTGCCAGTTGCTCACCACACTTACGTACTGACCTTCAGGCAACTCAAAGACGGTAGGTTCTGGTAGCATCAGAGAGTAAAAGCGGCCAACAATCTCAGCCGTTTTTGAATTCGTAAACCCATCGTTCAGCGCCAATAAAATCTCGGGACCCTCATTGTTTAGCGCCTTCTTGAACTGTGCATCAAGCATCTCATGGCCATCGTCCTTCAAATACACGAGTTTCCATTCTTCGCTCTCACTCAGGGGATTCAACCCAACAGGAATGCCCAAAATCTTGGACCCCTCCTCCTGCATATAAATGTGGTGCAGCAGCGGCATGTTAAGGTCGTTCGATGTGCGCAACTGGAATGAAAGTGTAGCATCTAGCTCCTTGGCAAACTTTTTATGAATTTCCTCAAATGCAAAACGACTGTAGACAAACGGTGCATGTTTGATAAAATTGTACACGTGTTGACCTCCATATGTCTTATCCATGAGCATGACCGTATTGCGTACACTAGCAAGCCACGGACGTGCTTTTATACTTGGTACATGTCGAATATGATTAATTTCCGTAAGAAATCGTAATCCACCCTCACATGTGAATAAACGATCAGGTGTTACTGGTTTAATGAATAAATAGTCATCATTCATATGAATAAAAATATCCGTCAGTCCTGGAATTTTGTGTAAATATTGTTCAATGACATTTGTATCAAAAGTAGGTAACGTGACTTTATCCTTTGGTAATAAATCATCTTGATCCACAAGTCGTATACGAGGATTTGATACATTTAGCCAGTCTGGAATCTGACCAGGTGTGACAAGATAGATCGGACCTACAAGCCATGGTGCGTATTTAACCAATGAACGCAAAGAATACTTGAGTTCACCCATTTCCTTATCTCGTGATGTACCACCAGGTGGTAATCCAGCACGTTCACGACGTGTATTATAACATTTCTCAGTACCATTGACCCAAGTATAAACAATAGCAACATGACGTAACGTCTCAAGATTAACTACATCACAATGCGTAGTATCATTAGATGAGGATGGTACTTTACTAATACGTTCAATAATACGTCCTGGTGGATCTGGATCTTGATTCATATAGAGCAAAGTTACGATAGTTAATGCAATACTTAGCACTGCAATAAAGCTTTGCATTCTTTTGTTATTGTTGTTCTTATAGAAGAAAGTAAATGGAAAAGTTGTCGACTCGCTTGATTCATAGCTATGTGGTGTACATAAATTATCACGGCGGTAAGATGTTGTGTACTGTACACCAATTCATTAAAATCATTTTACACCAATCACTTGCATTTGTTTCACCCACTTTGTTTATATTTCTTGACACTAGTAGTAACATGACTCCAAAGCCACATGTCTTGGTACTGGGTGGTGCAGGAATGATTGGCCGTAACTTTGTCAAATACCTCATTGATCGTGATATTGTCTCTTCTGTACGCGTAGCTGATAAAACAATGCCTGAAATCTCGTATTTTAGGTCGGAGAAAGGACCGTATCTAGTCATTCTTTGCATCCGTCATGTTCTAATCTTTATCTTTATCTCTCCTTGTTGTTATTGTTGTTGTTGCTGTTGTTGTTAGTGCTCCATATAAAGAGGCATTCAATGATGATCGAGTGCATTTTGTACAAGCAGATTTGACTCGTGATGATCATGTAGATCGTGCTTTCAATCCGGAATTTGGTCCCTATAATTTTGTATTCAATCTCGCAGGAGAATCCAAATGTGGACTCTCGGAATCTGTCTATGCCTCTAAATGTCGTGATGTTGCAGTCAAATGTGGTGTGTGTTACGCTAATTTCATTAATATGTTGCTATTTTTAGTGATGGTCTCTTAGCTGCTGGATTTGGAGATTGTAGCAATGGAGTTTGACAATCTTTTGTTATTTTTTGTCGTGTTGGTAGCCAAGAAAGCACAGGAAGTGGGCGTGAAGCGTTACATTGAAGTATCGACGGCCTTTGTGTACAAATCACAAGTGAAACAACCAGCGAAAGAGGACGCTGAGCTTCAACCGTGGACTCTACAGGCCAAATATAGACTTGAGGCCGAGGAAGAAATTCGTCGTATGCCGCATCTTAAGGCCGTCTTCCTCCGCCTGGCAACGGTATGTTACTACTGACACTGCTGATGTCTTTGTTTTTGTTTCTAAACTATTTGGTATGTATGTTGTTTCGTGGGTGCATAGGTGTACGGCCCAGCAGATTCGATGGGACTTATGCCCAGAATCGTCTGTGCTGCCTCGTATGTTTTTGTTATTAGACGTATATGTGTATATAACAGCTGGTATAGCTGAGACTTGGTTTGGTGTTGTGTTGCCTAGCTATGTGAAGCTGGAAGAAAGGATGAAACTGCTGTGGGACGCGGAGATGCGTGTTAATACGGTGCGAAGTGGCACACTTTTTGCTTAATGTTTAAGTTACCTGATACATCCGCATTGCTTGAACAGGTTCATGTGTTTGATGTCTGCCAAGCGTTGTGGCACGTCACAACTGCCGGTGACGATGGAGATATTTACAATGTGGTCGATAAGAACGATACCGGTAAGTGCAGCTGTATCACAGACCTATTTGCCGAGGAACATGTAACAATTGCTAACTACTGGATACAGACCAAGGGAAGATAAATGCTGTGTTGGAGGAGATTTTTCATATCAAGACTGGTTTCATCGGTAAGCTTGTGTCTAACTTGGCCCGCGTGCGACTCGCCGACGTCGTGGATGATGCTAACGAGAAGCACATGCAACCTTGGGCCGATCTGTGTGCGGTACGTATGTCTTGCTTTTCACCCCGTGGAATTCCTTGTCAATCTGGTTTACACTGAGTCTGATTTTGTGCCTTGTCTGATCCTTAGGAACATGGTATTACCAACACGCCACTGACTCCTTACATCGACAAGGAGCTGTTGCAGCACAATCATCTTTACGTAGATGGTTCCAAGATCGAATCCACAGGTTTTCAATACAAATATCCAACGGTGCGTCACTATATATCTATATAGATTGACGCCATGTAGTCACGTCACTTTGATCACTAACAACACTTGTTGATTTGATTCATTCACGCGAGCAGTTGAAGACAAAGGATGTGCGTATTGTACTGGAAGAAATGGTCCAGCAGAAGATTTTTCCACCCATCTTGTCCTAGGGCATTGTTTGATTGCTCATCATGGTACGAAGCTTTCAAGTGTGAATAAAGTTAATGCTTCATGCTTCTACAGACTCTTTTTCTTGTCAATATGATCAAAAATCATCGCTGCGACGCTTGACAAGAATAAACTTGAAGACGTTGTGCTAACGACGAGACGAAGTTCCACTTGGTTTTAAAGCACCATACAAATATCAAGAGAAAGTTTTTTCGTACCGTGAAAACCTTTTTTTTGCCTTAATTAACACACCCACATAACAGACGTGTCTTCTTCCTAACAAAGCGCGGTCGAGTGTTTCTTTCCCCTTCTTGTTCTCTCTTTCTTTCTTGTACGTGATGATTGTATTTATCTTTATACTGTATTGAATAGTAGATTATCGAAGCTTTCTAACGAACTACTTTTTGTCTCGTTTGAAACAGTACGAGCTAGTAAAACCGACCTTTTTCATTCAGTTGTCCATAGGTTAGTTACTATATCAATTGATTGATACAAACTACTAAGGAGGCTGATATAGAGAGAAGAGAGATAGAGACATATACATTGAGTTAATATGGACCTAAGTGAGGCATTTCCAGGTGATTACGAACGTACTAGCTGTGAGGATATAATGCCGTATGAGGGACCAATTAGTCTTCCATCATCTACAAGTACAAGCCCTGTAGATGGTGAACTACCAGGTGGTAGTACATCTAGTGATTTTGGGCCATTACCTACTTATTATATAAAGAAAGTAAAGAGAAAAGAGAGATTACGTACACAATCGGAGAGTGCAGTATGGACAAGAGCATCATTGCGAATGCGACCGTCTCCACCTTTTGTGGATATGGCAGCGACACCAGCTATTGATATTGCACCGCGTCTTTCTACACCTGGAGGTAAAGAACATGATGATCAAGTACGTACTAGTGAGAGTGGAATATCCGAGTATACAAGAAATGTGATTAATGGACTTGATATATTGACGGTGGCAAATGGGAATGGATTTGCTCATCGTCGACGGAGTCATGATAGCTCCATGTCGACTGCAGTAATACTTGGAAGTCGAGAAGGAGTTATTAATATGTGGCGACAACAAGGACAGATTTCGGAGCGTGCGTCGGAAATTCTAGAAGATGCAAAGCTGTCGTTGCATGGAAAGGAGAAGAATTTATACAATGCATCACTGCGGCGGTTATCTAAAGCACAGGATCCACGACTTAATGCACTTGGAGAGAGGATCTCGTTTGCAACGGCAGCGGGTGATACAAATCATGTTGCAGGGCCTACTGCAAGTAGCGATTCTGACGTTAAGCAGAACGTAGAAGGAGGGTCAGATGTGTCACAAGTGAAGATTGTGGAAAACGATCCGGAAAAAGTGCTGAACATGTCACCGGTGTCTACAAATATAGATTTAGTGCTACAGAATGGAGACAAACCTTTATTAGATCTTGATGCGGATATAGACGTCAACTCATTGTCTGGATTTGATGATCGTAACTCTAGTTTTCGACCACAGTCTGGGACGTTGTATCATGAGGCGGTGAAATGGGAAGGAGTGTTGACAAGACGGAGCGAGTGGCTGAGGAGATTGGAGCGACATTACTACGTATTAGAGGGCAAGTTTTTGAGAAGGTTTGCTTCAAAAGAGGCATATCTGTCGTCTAGAGATGAGCCGCTAGTGACTCATCATATTCGTCCTCCAACTGATCCAAGCAAACCTGCACCAGGTAGCCCAGCAGCGAGCATGGTCCGACGAAATTCCAGCAGCCCAGCGTCTAGTGGTGTAAGTCATTTATATGTGCTAGCGGGGGTCAAAGACTCATCAAGCCGCGCGAACGGGTTCACTTTTATTACAGAGGACAAGAAGACGCTACAGGTAACAGCTCCAACGGCCGTGGAAAAAATAATATGGATGCGACTTGGGCTCGAAGCTATTGTGGCGCTTCCAACGCTTCCAGTAGCACCTCTTGACATGGAAGAATTTTATGCAATGTTGGTTGTACTCTATACGGCGTACAGTGGTAACTGGCGTACGGAGGGCGACATGGCAGTGACGCTTCCTCCGCCATCAGAGCAGGTTTTTACCCGCTTCTTCCGATTATTGGACAAAAACATTATATTTTGCTCGAACTATCCGCCATCTGTGCCATTTCACGGCTCGTTCCGCGGCCACTCTGGTGTGGTGACTTTCATGCACGACTTTGCTCGGCACACGCTCTGGACCAACTTTAAAATTGGTGGCATGTCGGTGGATGGATCAATAGCGGTAGCTTCAGGCAAGGAAGAGCTTGAAAATCGTCGTGATGCGCGTAAGTTTATTCAAAACTGGGTGCATAAGTTTACATTTTATTCGGACGGACGGCTCGCGCGCTTTGAGATCAACGGTGACGTCGTGGCAGCTAGTGCTGTCTTCAAGGTTCCTGGTGCGGCAACGACACTGAAACTTCCTCAGGAGTTTAATGAGGTGGACGCCGAGCACGGCCTGGAAGGGGTATTGCTTGTTCGGATCATGCAGGGCCATGGACTGAAGGCAGGCACATCAATTAAAAAGACAGTCAAGGAACCAAGCGTTACATTGCGGCTCCAATACCGAGAGCAATCAAAGCCCAAGTCCAATGCAAATGTGTCTACGCTAGGTTTTTCATCGGTTTCGGCGGGGCCCTCGGTCCTTATCGGTGGTATTTCAATGCCAAACCTTTCGCGAAAGTTTAGCTTCATGACCGCGGTGGCGACTTCTGCTGCTTCTGCGGCATCTTCTGCGGTTGGTGTTGGCCTTGTGTCCACATCCAATAACTCAACTCCGGTGATCGACCCATTTAGCACCGGTACTCCGCGCAACTCGGGAGATGACTCGTATTTGCCAACTCACCCGGTGTGGAATCTAGTTTTCGAGCTTCCATTCTATGGTGTCATTGGCACTTGCTCGCTGGTGGTAGACGTAAAAGATCACTCGAAGAATGGTGTCGAGTTTCAGCTTGGTTTTGCTACATTGAATGTCGCCAGGTATTTGATGGCTGCAGATGCGGCCGAGCGCACCACAATGCGAGAAGAAGCAGCTATGGCAGCTGATAGTAAATGGTATTCCATCAGCAATGCTAAAGGTGAATATTGCGGTAAGGTGCAGCTCGGTATAACCTGTCGCCGCGTAAAGTTGGACGAAAATGAAGATGGTGTACAGCCACGACTGAAGAAGAGTCAAAGCGTCGTGATCGATCGAAATAATCCTCCATCCTCTCACATGCTGCAATGGGATGCCACTCCTGCAGCTCATTCTCAAGCCTTGTTGGGTGCTGCAACTCCAGCACTGAAGAAAAGCACGACACTTGACGAGTATCCTGTAGGTGGAAGTGAACATGTGCGTCGCCATGGCTGGGCAAACGTGAAACTCTCTCCTGAGAGCACTGCTCGCACACAATCTGCCGGTGCTGTTGTTCTTGATGAGCAAAGCAAGGATGACGATGACATAGTATACAAGCATTTTTCTTCAGGAGGCGGGAACAATAGCTCACTGCGTGCAGCTACTGACGCCGTTATATGTAAGGAAAATGTTGACATGCACACGTTTATGGTGTGCGGTGCTCCTTTCACGATTCCGCGTCATTATCAGCTTATCAAGGTGTGTGGTCGTGGTGCGTATGGTATTGTGATTGCTGCGACAAACTTGCGAACGGGTGGCAACGTAGCTATTAAGAAGGTGATTGACTGTATATGGCATCCGCACCAGCTCAAGCAGATATTGCGTGAATGTCGATTGATCCGTCACATGGCTCACGAAAATGTGTTGAGTTTATTGGATTTAATTCCGCCGCCATCGTACACGGACTTTCGAGACGTTTACATGACGGTTGATCTCATGGAAATGGATCTGCATCGCATCATTTATTCCAAGGAGGTGCTACGTGACGATCATATTCGTTATTTCCTGTATCAAATGCTTAGCGGTTTGCATCACATGCATCGCGCTGGTGTGTTGCACCGCGACCTGAAGCCCAGCAATTTGCTTATCAATTCCGATTGTCAGCTCAAAATTTGTGATCTTGGACTTGCACGCTCGAAAGAAGCTGATGATGTGGGTATGACTGAATATGTGGTAACGCGATGGTATCGTGCACCGGAACTTTTGTTAGGTAGTGCTTATGGCGATGGTGTGGATCTTTGGGCAGCAGGGTGTATTTTTGCCGAAATGCTTGGTCGCAAGCCTCTCTTTCCCGGTGAGACTTACGTCCATCAGCTTCAGCTTATTATGAATGTGCTGGGCGTACCGGAGGAGCACTCGTTCAAGGAGAACCCGTTGGCCAACAAACTAAAGGGACGTCAGCTACTGAGCCGAACGCAAGCAGTGGCTGGTATTGACACAAGCACCATGTTCCCGAACGCCAATCCAGAAGGTTTGGATTTGTTATGGAAGATGTTGGTATTTGATGTGGAAAAGCGCATTAGTGTTGAGGAAGCACTGCGGCATCCGTATCTAGCAATGTATTACGACGAAGAGCGCGAGAATGTCCCGGTGGAGAAGTTTCAGAGCTTTGATCTGGATGATCTAGACGAACCCGATCTGAAAGAGCTCATGTTTAAAGAGATTTGTCATTTTCACCCCGAGGAAATGGTCAAGCGTGCTCAACAGCAGCGTGAACACCCTGAGACTGCCGAGAAACTTCCTCCTGGTTGGGTAAGGCGCGAGTCACGGAGCGTACCAGGCAAGTATTACTACAGCAATCCAAAGCGCGGCATTAGTACGTGGATTAAGGAAGAAATGGAGTAAAGTAAGTTAGCACACAAGAAAGCAGCTCACTTGAGCGCTAGACAGAGAAAAAAACTTGATGTGTATGAATGGAGAGAATGGAAGTTGTGCTTCCAGTCATGTAGAAAGCTGCTGTGATGGATAAAATACGGTATAAACTGCTGCATATTGTTAATCAGGAGGTTGAGTTGCGTCACAATGTTATCCTAATAGAGACGGGTTTAGTGCAATGATTGCACAAGAAGACAGACAGATCTAGAAAAGACACACGATTGAGATAATAAAGAAGAACTTGGGGTCACTTTAGCTTGTAAATGTCCGTGATAGAAACGACTTTGGTGATGACAAGTCATGATTCTCAAGCTTGAATTGATGTGAATTCCATGGTGAATGTAAGTGAGCAAAGTATAGGTCGTCTTCAAGATGTGGACTGGTAATAGCTCGATGAATCTTGATACTTGTATGCACGGGTGGACCTAAGCTCGAGGATCGACCAAGTACTGGTTGTAATATCAACAAGTGAGAGAGGTTATTGTTGCTGCTGTTGACTGAGACCCCGTAGTCCACATCACTCATCATAGTAGACGATGTCGAAAAGCATTCATCACTCAAGCTGTACATTTCAACCAATTCGACTGGATAAGGTGACTTTTGAGTCCGTCTTTGTCCACAGAAAAGTTCAAAATAATTCTCCAATAGCTCCACATGATAAAGATACGCTCCTTTCATTCGTTTTCCTTTTGTATCAAAGTAAAAAGCATAATCATTATTTTCTTCGAGTAATCGACTGTAGAATGCCGATAACATGCGACGACCTGAGGATGCCGTTGATTTGTTCGATTGTAACATAAAATTGTCCCAACTGTGATCACAGAGAGATAGACCGACAGATAGAGAGTAAATATATAGAGATATAACAGATACAAGAAATTACGTAAGAATGGCTTGTAAAATCAATGAATCAAGTAAATACTAGTGTGTCACATACTTGATCACCTCTTCGTCTTCCTCATCAAAATGTCTACCATTCCAATTTATCTGTATTCGGTCAAGTAGTGCGTAGGAATGACGTCTAGATACTTTCTTCTGCTGTCTCATGTGACCATCATCTGATTCTTCCATCCCAAAACATACGAGTAGTGCTCCCATTGTTGTAAATTATCAAGTGATATGGCTTCTTTTATGGAATGATTCAGGGGTGGGTCTAACGCAGCTGCCAGATTGAGTAGTTTTAACATGATTGAAAAAAACCGAAAACAAGGAAACGACATGACCTAATATTATCCGTACGATGTGACAATTTTGATGATTGGTTAAGCAAAGTGTCTTTAATAGATAAAAAAGAAGCAAAGGGGTGGGGAAAGAGTGGTATGTACTTTATCGTTACGACCGCATGAAATAAATTCATTTATAAAGGGTTTTATTTTGGCATAAAAAAGGAACAGCCTCTAAAAGTCACGTGTACACTCTCATTGTTTGTATCTACGATACATCTTTGCTCTTGTAACAAATAACTAAAACCTACGACTTTAGCTATGCTCAATTAAACAAGTGAAAGAAAATGTAAAGTCCGTGGTAAAAAGTACTGAGCATCCGTTTTTATCATGTGTGACATTTCAGCAATCTTCCGCGCTTCACTGAAAGGATTCCGCATTTTATGAGATTATGCAGCCAAATGTCGCGCTCATTTCGATACATCTAGTCGACAAACATCGACAAACCCACTGTTTTGTTGCTATCAAAAATAAGGTACAAAACATCAATATCAATGCGATGCGGCATCGGTCATTTGCGACAAAGATAAAAGCTATTGTAACGATTAATTGAGTGCCTGGAGGAGCCTCATATTACTCTAGAGACGCAAAGTACATACTAGGCTCACAAAATCGGATGAGAACAGGACGTGGAGCCGTCTTGAGAAGATAACGCGACATTGCATAGCCAATCTGGCGAGTGTCATCGTCTCCAACTGCTACAATCACCCATCCTACGACGGATATCTCGGGTTCCGAGTCAACTGAAGCCAAAATCGTTGCAAAGATACTGCTCCCTGCTGCTAGAAAGTTAGCACCGGAAGTCAAGAAACGTGCTGCTTCTTCTTGATCCTGCAGATGATGCAGAGCTTGATTGCCTTTGCCTTCTGCTGCTATATGTGTGACGGTCATTAGCATACGCCTTGACAACTGCAGTTTGGCCATCAAACGAGGTTTCAATTTCGAGGCCCAATGCTTTTTCTGGAAATTCAAGCTCTACTTCATGAGGCTGAAGCTCAATCGGTTTCCGTTCGATACGTCTAATTGCATCCATCACGAACAGATCGTAGCAATAACCGAGAAATGTATCCGGTACTTCTGGGCTTGCTGAATTGCTGTCACCTACTCCCAGTTGATGGTAATTCCGGATAAAATCAGCTCGAGTCATCTTGAACTTGCGTGCGAGTTTTGGATTGTGGGCGTCTGTGTTAAGCAACAGCACGGAGAATGCCAACGTATAGACTGCATCTTCGGACGGACATTCCAAGCTATGAGAGTTTTGACTGTAATAAGCTTTGGCGAAAGCCTGAAGGATGCGGTCGATCTTCTGAGCTTCACGAGGCAGCTCAAAGCGACCCAAGTATACACGTATTGCAATGTCAAATGACACGTTGTGGAATTGAAACATATTGGCGTATTCATGCAGCACACGCTGTGTTTTAGCGTCCGGTTCACCTAATATTTGTCCAATCTGGCAACAATTGACTAGTTTTAGTCCAGAAATCAGCACCACACAAGTGCAAAAGTACCAACCATCTTGGAATCCGTCATTTCTCGCAGATATTCGGCAATAACCTCGGGCGTTGACGGACTTTCTGGGCCCATTAACCGTAAAATCTGCATTGCCTCGATGCTCATTAGATCACAGGACGTGATCGTAGAGGACGACGAGCCTTGCGGTGAAGTCAAAGTTGCTATTTGCTATACATTAACACCATTACACAGCAAATAACGATGCAATTGAGATGATGTCAGTGGTAATTATCGACAGAGCAATAACAATAGCCAGCAGCTATTCAACAAACTGACCTGTACTTGGTTTTTCATCATGTAACTACTTTTATGCGACAACGTTTATGTCATCTATCGTGTAACCTAACAAAGATGTTAGAGGGTACATTACAGTCCTAATCTAGGAATTATTTTGAGGTATAGACACAACAGGGATCTTGAAACGACGCAATACATGTAGCCACTTCAATGAAAGACGTCAGTGTGTCTTGGCAAGGCGCGTGATCATTTGGTGCAGACTCTCACGCGAGAAGCCGTGCTTGCAGCTTGGCTCATTTGTGCCATCATAATGGCTTGGCAGCTTGTCGGCGCGCATGATTGAGCAAAGCAAACTTCATCCGAATATAAGATATTACGCTGGCCACGTTGCGGCTGCGGGCCACCGGACCGAGCGACATGCGAAGCTACATTACAAATGCTAAAATGGAGCAATGCACATGAAATGCCATCCGCAATTGCAGCTGCTTCAGTAAAGACTACATGTCAAAACGAGCTCGTATTTTTGCAGGAGCCGAGGTTGGCGGTTCCGCTTGTAAAACGTTTTTCTTTCACCACTGCCGTCGCTTTAGACAAACACTGTAGTCCAATACGGCAACATCAAGACAGGCATATAGCATGAAGCTTCGGCAGACAAAGTGCATGTGAGTCATAAAGACATGTTTCTTATCATTCAAACCGAGATGTTACAGCAGAGCTGGCAGAAAACCTCGCAAGTACCAACCAAGCATCTTACAGACACTGCTTGATGAACTTGTTAATTTCAGCACCGCGGTTGCCGGCGTCACCACCTTCAGCAAAGTGCAACAGCTTCTTGGTGTAGCCTCCATTCGGTGACGATAGCTGGAAGGGCCACAGAAAGTTAGCGGCCTGCTTGAAGTGCTCGCCCACCGTGAAGATTTCATGAATCAAATCCTCGATACAAATGATGCCAATGTGGCCCAGAGACTTCTCGATGATCGCATTGTCCGTCAAAGGAATACGTTGGCCGCGAACTTTACCGAATCCACGCTTGTAAATGAGCTCACGTGTTACCTTAAGGTTCGGGTAGCCGTATGTGACAAATGGTTCGACCAGACGGAGCATGTTGATAGTAGCCTTGTTAAGCTTTACAAAAACACCGTTCTGGATCTGACGCAGACGGAGAAGCTGCAAAATCTTGCGAACCTTTGGAGACACGCCAATAATACCACGGATGCGCATCACAAAAGCAAACTTGGCCTCAGCAGGCACGTAGAAATTACCCTTGGACTTAGCTTGACGACGAAGGATCACATTCTGCTTCTCAAGCTAAGATTACGATACAAAGACGTTGTTCAGCTGAACTGTTTGAACAATAATGTACAGCAACAATTAATCAACTTGCGTTCGGCTCTTACCTGACGGTACTCTTTAATGTACTTTTCAGCACTCTTGAAGGCGATCTGACGGACTTTTTTGCGGTGAGCCTTGGTAGCAACAGCCTTGGCAGCACGCTTGGCCTTCACCTGCTCAAGAGTGCGACGCTTCTTGAGGATAGACTCGGGGACAAGACTATAGGTAGAAATATAAACACAATAGCATACATTAGGACGGGATGCACGACACATCGGGGCCAGCTCAGTTTCAAGTGAGGCTTCTCCCGATACACCCGTCATAGTTAAATTTAAGTGGAGTAGCATACAAGCTACACACACCACAATCCTCCACGAAAATGATGTCATTAGTTGACTGACACATTGGGAGACATTGACAAGAAACGACCAATGGAAGTTTCATTCCGTATTGAATTAAAGAGAAGAGCGTATTCTTGCATTGAGCAGACACGCTTTACTCTCACAATCCATCCATACGTCACGTCTATTAATATAGAGACTATCAAGACGTAGGAGATAATCCATGATTCCAAGGGATAAGGCCATGGGTTTTAGACAATGACGTACACTTTAGGAGCAGTTGGAGCCATGATGATACGAGTCGGAACTTTCGGTTTGAATAGTGAAGAGATACATTCAATCGAATGACCAAGAATCAAACAAATGAATGGCCAAGATGCATTGTTTCCACGGATTGGCTAAAAGTAAAAGACTTTATTGTAGCTTGTTTCCTATAAATACGTCTTCCTATAAAAGACAATATTGGCCAATAGAAGTCGTTATTAGGTGCAAATGGGGTCACTACTGTTTAACGTAGCGCTCTTGGGCGGTGGCTTTGTGCTGGGCCGTGTACCATTGTTGCCACTTGCAGCACAAGTTTTAGATGAGCTTCATTATCTTTCTATGTTACATAAGGTGTGTGTGTGTTATGGTTCTCCTTTGGTGCATTGTCAGTCTCTCTCTCTGTCTTCTTGAAGGTTTTTAACTCTCTTGACATTTTTTTTGGTAGATGATCGTCATGACTCTCGTGTTTTTCGTAGTAGCATTATACGTGATTGGTATATTGCTACCTCTGAGATGGGTAGCAAATAATGTACGTTGTTAGTATGCAATGGTTCATGAGGATACAAATTAGTTGACGAGAAACTTGAATTTCTGTAACAGGAAGCGCAGAAATCTGCTCAGCGACTGGAGCAGCCAGAGTCGACATCGTTCCGACGAGAAATACGACGTCGTGGTAGCTACAGTGTGGGATACGTTATCGATATCAAATCTCATGTGCTTGCTTGCTGTTAAACACGCCATTTCTTTTATAATTTGGGAAGGCGTAAATGGATCGACCATGTCTTTGAATGGACTGCACGTCTCTTTCTTCGTGGTGCTTCAGCTGTATGATGAGATCGATGTTTGATGTCAAGACTGTGTAAGGAAGATCAGCTCGTCCTATATCTCCTCAAGGCTGAAGAGTTTAGCTGGCACTCGCGCAAGAAGAGCGCGTAGACGACTTGGAGCTCAGGATGTAGAACACAACATTTAATTTAGAACAGATGATCAGTGCAGGTCAAAGCTCTAGGAACGCAAACGCTCACAATGCTCTACAACCATGCACATCTTTGTTTATCTATCTCAATGTAGTATCAACATTTTGCGGGGTTTTGAGCTGAAGGGTGCTCGACAAATGGTTTCTCACCTCGGTGGTGTAGAGGATTTTGCCAGTCTCGTCAACAAAGTGGACGCGGAAAAACGTCCTTGTCATGTGTATGAACATAAAACCATGCACCAAAGCCGCGTGCACCAGGTCTGGATTCGCGCGAGCGCTCGGCTGGAGATCGTGGATTCGATATCCGCCAGCACCGGACGTAAAATAATTCCTGACAGAACCGTCAGTGTCCACCTTGCGAACATGCTGCATGGAGTGATCGTGGCCGTTAAAATATGCGTGTACCTTATACGTTTTCAAAAGCGGATCTAACGCATTAATCAACTCGGGCGTATCAGCATTACCTGCAAAGCTATACACGCCCCAATGACCCATTACGATCGTCCACATTTGCTCCACGCCGGCTGGCTTGTCAGCACTCAGCGTTTCTTCAATCCAATCGTACTGCGACTGTCTTGTCTTCGCTGACGATTGCTCGATCATGTGTTCAGTGCAGCGAAAGTCCCGAGGTTCACGGCCGCAGACCAAGTCACAAGCATCGATCACAACGAGTCTCAGGATCGTCTTCGGTGCCACAGGACGATCGATTGAGTAATATCGCCGCGGCAAATACCACAACGACTCTTGTTTTTCAGCGTACTGAAGCATTGCATCGACTGATCCTTCACAGTCATGGTTTCCTATTCTAGATCGAGCACCAAAAATACACACAGCAGAAACATTACATCTCGATCCGTGGTCTGTCCTGAGAATAACAGCAGCAACTAATAACGACTTACGTTACATACCACGGCACTTGCAGCTTATTGTGTTTGTACATCTGCAGCAAAAAGTAAACAATAACCTTGATCAACGCAACTGTCTCAATGCTTGATTGAAAAACCCTGTACCAATCCTATCGTACATGCTCAAAGTTTGTCAATAGGAGGGGGTCATCAACGGACTGGATTCTAGTTCCACCACAACAAAAACACTACATCAACACCTCGCATCGACATACAAAACTGTCACTAGTACCATGATTGCAACCACCACCTTACCCATGGTCATAAATCTGATCTCCTGTTGACAGTACAAAGGCCGGGGGTGGATCCATCGTAGACGTAAAGTTCTCGAGCGCCATCGCTACTTTACGTTGACTCTCATCACCCGTCCCAAAGTCTCCAAACGCAATAAAGTTGGTCTCTTGTGGAAATGGATCAATACTCAATGGATGTGCATTGTAATTGCTTACTTTCGCTCCTGTTGACTTTAGAGGAGCAACAGATGTGTGCCAATAAATGAGCGCAAAGATCAACCAGAGACTCAACGATCCCACTGCAATCAGCTTCACCCACTGATCGTACTTGGTACTCGTACCATGGAGTACTGATATCCATTCACTTTTACCTCGACGCACGGCTGAGTGACGACGATCCTTGCCGTCGTCGTGCTCCTCACGCTTCCGTAGCCCCTCCTCAAGACGCATTGGTGGTCGTGTCCTAAAAGTCAATATAATAGTTTTTGGTGCTTTTTTGCAGTCTTTTGCAGGACCAATCCTACGCAGGACAAGATGAAGGTCCTAGGTGTAATTCCAGCACGACTGGGCTCAACGCGTTTTCCTGCAAAACCTCTCGTTAAGTTCTTTGGCAAGACAATGATTGAGCACACGTATGCAGCTGCTACAAGGTCTAGACTGCTGTCAAAAGTGATCGTGGCTAGCGATAGCGAGCGTATCCTGGGAGTTATACAAGCAATGGGTGGCCACACAATGCTCACTGGCACTTGCAAGACTGGAACGGACCGTATTGTGCAGGCACTACATCTAATGGATTCCAAGGAGCTGAGCGAGTATGATGTTGTCGTGAATATTCAGGGTGACGAGCCGGGGGTAAATCCGAAACATATCGACCTATGCATTCAAAGACTGCGCAATGCTGGACCTCATATCGTCGTGAGCACACTCGCTACGCCAATTTTTGACGAGCAAGACGCTTTGAATCGCAATGTTGTCAAATGTGTCGCTGACCGCAATAGGTGCGTAGTTGATTGATTTATGAATGAATGAATGACTGAATTAGGAAGGGCGTGGGTTTGAGTTTGACCTGTGCGTGTGTGTGTTTGATGGTCTATTGTTGATTCTTGACCAGCAATGCTCTCTACTTCTCTCGAGCAATGATCCCGCATGCCAAAAACGGCAAGTTCTCACCCGAAACAACGTCGTATCTCCGACATGTAGGAATGTACGCGTTTCGCAAGGATTTTTTGCTGGAATTCCCGTCACTTTGTCTTTCAAACCTCGAAGAGAGTGAAGACCTTGAGCAACTTCGTGTGCTATCTGCAGGTTATAAAATTCACTTGGTACAGGTCGATTCAACGCTTCCAGGTGTTGATACTCGCGCCGATCTAGAGGACCTAAAAGCTCAATGGCCATTACAAATTACTTAAACCTTACTTTAGGGCGGCAAGACTTTTTGCATTCCGTTGCACAACTTTCTAGCAACATTCCAGCAAATCTGGAAAATCTAACGATTTTGTACTTCTTTCGTCTTTTTACCAGTTGCAACATTAGGGGAACTGACTTGCAGCAACATTGCAGCTTAAATTCGCATTTGTTACAATTGATCGCAGTATGGGCCCAGACTACTCGGCATCGGCCACAGGCAACGCAGTACTAGACGCAGCACGTGGTGTAACAGGATCTGGAGCTGCAGTTAAGACAGAGCAGAGTGTCACTGAATGGACGCGTCAAGAACTGTGCGTGATTGCCAGTCTGCAGCTTGCATTGGTACTAGTGTCCTACCGTTTAGATCGCTTAGAGCACCCGGTACTGATCTCTGAGTCTGCTGTTGCCATATTTTTTGGTGTATTGGTGGGTTAATGAGCTATAAGCGTACAGAAAGAGAGAGAGAAATGACAAATGGTTCACTCTGACCGTTAGTGTGTTTTTCTGTATTCTTTATCATGCAGTTTGGTATCGGGGTGTTTATTTTCAACCCAATGGTATGAAAAAGAAAAAGAAAGAGAGTGTCAATGAGTAAGCTTGGTCTTGTTCGCTAATGACAAAATACTGGTGATGTATAACAGGAATCACTGAACAATGGTATGGACCCAGAAGTGCTTTTTTACGCGTACGTTCATGACGAGATTGAATGGGTTCAAAGGAAGTTTACGTTGCTAAATTTTGTTTTGAATTATTTTGTTCTTGTAGTTTATTACCACCGATTATTCTAGAGGCAGGATTTAATATGAAGAAAAGGGTATGTGCTGGTGGGGTATGGTAATACTTTGGTCGAAGTGGTTGGTGATTGTTTTCTTTTCTTTGGTCATGATGGTGGCAGGGATTCTTTTCCAACTTTAACGCGATTATGCTGTTGGCTATTGTGGGGACACTGGTGGCGACATTTATCACGGGCGGCGTGTTGATTTGGCTGGGAAACTTGGGGCTCATCACTAAGCTGACTGCTGCGGAAGCGTACCTGTACGGCGCTCTGATATCAGCGGTAGATCCAGTAGCTACATTGTCAGTGTTTAAGAAGAATGGTGTGCCTCCACTTCTTTTCAATCTTGTCTTTGGTGAAAGCATGCTGAACGACGGTGTTGGTGGGTTTTTGCAATGTTTCGGTTCATGCCAAGTGTGCCTGCAGCTAATGCTTTTTACGTGCCTGTAGCAATTGTGTCATTCACGCTATTTCAAGGCCTCATTCGGAATGGTATTGATGATGTTACTTTACACGACGCAGGCATCATTATCATCAAGGTATTTGGGATTGGCTTTGGATCTGTTGGTCTCGCAGCAGTCGTGTGCTTTACGTCGGCATTTTTACTGAAACAAGCTGACCCGGTTCTTCATCAGCATCCGTCCTATGAGATCTCAATTGTGCTCCTCTCAGCGTATCTGAGTTACGTGATAGCCGACTTAGTTGGAATGAGCGGCATTGTGGCGCTGTTCTTTTCGGGCGTACTTATGAGTCACTATCACCTGTACAACATAGCTGACGAAAGTGCAACGGCTCTACAGCATTTGTTAACGACTTCGTCATTCATGGCGGATAATTTTGTCTTCATCTACATGGGGATGAGTGTGGTGGCGTATTCTGGATACTTTACGTGGGACTGGGGTTTTATTCTTGTCAACATGATCGCTTGTATCTTTGGGCGCATGCTCAACACGTTTCCAATGTGTATGCTTGCCAACCTTTGCCGGTCGGAAACTGAAAAAATTTCATGGAGCCACATGGTGGTTATTTGGTTTGCTGGGCTTCGTGGCGCAATTGCCTTTGCGCTAGCACTGAATGTTTATACGCCCAATCGCGTTCACGCTAGTGTGATCCAGAGCACAACGCTTTTCACAGTCATGTTTACGACTTTAGTAGGTGTCGTCGTCGAGTGATGTATGTTTGCGATGCAAAATGTTTGACGCAAATCATATCAATGTTGGCTGAACAGGTTTTTGGAATGGGAACAAGCCCTGTGCTTCGCTACTTTGGCTTAACGGCGTCACAGGAACATGAACGGGAGTTTAACAAGTATGTTAGCAACTGCCTGGCTGCAAGCTTCTTTTGTCTCTGTGCGCTGAATTGCTGTTATGTTTGTGTAGCGACGAGGATGCGAACGAACGCTTGCTTTCTGACGACCTAGAGCGCGATGCGGACGCTTCATTCCGTCCCATTGACCGACCGCTTTCTCGTCGGAGCATTAGCGGCATCCACAGCATTTGGGAAAGCGTCGATGAAAAGTACTTGAAGCCGCTTTTTGGTGGACAACCTCGCGATGAGCAGCAGACGGATCCGAGTGATGCAGAGCTCAAGCGTCGAGCAATGGGCTCTCCTGTCCCAACCACGAGCAGCAGTTCTTCAATTATCAGAAATTGCAACCGACCATCAATTGAGAAGAAAGACTCTACGCTGTCACCGCCCAATTTGCCGTTATCTCCCACAATATCGTTAGTTGAGATGGCAGAGCACCATGACAATACTGTCACGTGAACATGTCAGAATGATGTAGCCATGTCAACAATATCTGGAATGGAGTATTCCCGATTCTAAATTTCTTAATATGGAGCATAACTGTCTGTCTTGAATTATCAACAAAAAGAAGTAAAACCGTTTTTACTCCAAGCGAATAAACGCATTCTTATTCATATTTTGTATAAAAGCATCTTTTATTTTACCCTTTCATCATGCATAATAGCGTCATTGGGTAAAAATGGAACCCACGAGCGTGTCGAACGAAATGCTGACGCTGTATGACGCACAACGTCGTACCCATGAGATGATATTAGCGACACAATCACAAATAGAGGAAGAAGAGGCCGTGTACTTGGAAGAGACTCCACATGGGAATATCATTCGAGGATGGGATGGCTTTATTGATTCAAAACAACCACGAAAAGATGCGAATCCAAAGAAAATCAAGCCATATACTGAGTCGGAACATTTATTTTCAAGCTGCTGTTTGTATAAAAGCATGGCAAGTGAACCAAGTTTTGATCAAGTGGATTTATATGGCGTGAATACTAGAGATGAGAATCAGACTACTCGACGTAAACTTACAGTCACATTATCAGTGGGAAAAGGAGCAGGCACAGCAGCAGGGAGTATTAGTGGAGTGGTAGATAGTGTCATTCCACAAGGGGCTATTTTACAAGGAGCTATTCCATCACATGGAGCTATTGCATCACATGGAGCTATTCCACATGGATCGATGGTAAATTTAATGCCAAAGGCGATTGCTAAAAGTATCACTCCAGTCACGACGGGAAAAGTAGTAGCAGGTTTGAGTTATCAACAGAGCAAAGCTTCAAAGCTTAAAAAGAGAAAGAGAGAAGCTGAGGTCGTTGCAAGTGCTACTGCAAAGCTGGGACAAGAGACTGTGTCAACAAACATGATGACAACTGGAACTCTCGTGACAAGTGGAACTGGAACTGGAACGGCACAGCCACCTGCGAGTGATTTTCTTGATGTGCTGTAACTAACTGATTGAAGAAAACCTAAAGGCATTGCCGAAAGCAAGCAGGGTTCTTTTATATTAAACAGCAGAATCAGGCAACAGGTAGGAGGAAGCGAGTCGTTACAGCCTCTGGACGGCGTTTTTGTTGCTCGCTATCTTGCGAATTGAGCAGCAGCGCCTTGACATTCGTGTGCAGTACTACTTGGACGTGTCAAAGGACGTCAGCAAAATTTCTAAATCCTTCGTTGTTTGGCGGAAAAAGCCGTCGTAGTTGAACTGAATGACGGTAACAAAGCAGCAAATCAGCAAACGGATCAAACTATTTGACAGCAAATCACTCGAGTACTTACTTCAAAAATGTAATCCAGCTGCTGCGGTGGCACGGTGATGTCTGGGAACTTGGCGTAACCCTGTACACCAAAGTTTTGACATGTCAGCGGTCAGTCAGTCTGTTTGATAAGATAATTAATAACAGCTTTCACGTACCTTCAGACGGTCATCCACTGTAGCTACGGCCTCAACGGTGCCTTGAATGCTCTGGAAAAGGTGCGAAATACTGTTCCAATGCAGATCTAGCTGCGACCTCAACTGTGTCATGTACTCACCGTGCGAGAGGATGGCTGCAGACGGCACGGGTGCAGAGCCAAAGCTAGACGTGAGAGCGTTAATTGAGTTGTATGCATAGGCACCCATACCGATAACGTCGTTCGACTCACGCTGCTGTGCCAGAGGCAACGCGAGGATGCCCGCCTTCATCTTCGACGACTCCACCATCAGCTGCTTGAATCTAGTCAACAGATCGTCCATCTCTTTTTCAAACTTAGACAGGTTCGCTCTCAGTCGTCGGTATACGAGAGTCATGCCCGGAATACTCTTTTCTTCATCAACAATCCGACGTTGAAGTACCACGACGCAGCTAAGAATTGACCGAATGTGCTTCTTAAGAAGCTGCGATAGACGCGTACGATGCAACCTCACACGGAGCAGCAAGTCGCTAGAGCAAGAAACGCCAGCAGTTTCGTAAATGGAGCACAGCACGATGAAAGCGTCAAAATTACCTTCATCAATGGACGCAGTATGGTACGATGTCCGGACTCCCCAAGACAACTGACCGATACGCTGAATCGACTGACGCACTAGCAGCAGTGTGTCCAGCACACCGCCCTGAGCTGCGGCAATATCGGCGGCTTCCTTGGCTGAAGTGGACGATGATGGACCCTTTTCAATGTCTTCATCTTCGTCGGTTTCAGAGTTGACTGGGCTGCTCTCACCTTTCTTTATTCTCGGTGGTGTCTTTGCACTCACACCCCACGACACAAGTGATGAAAAGAACGAACCGCTATCCGAGCTTGGCTGCTTCTTGGGAGCGCCGACATTTGCTCGATTTGCCACCACCAGTTGGTTCTCCACATTGATCTCGTTCTCTGAGCTGCCGTCGTTCAGCACAATCACCCGATCCTCCATTTCCGACGATGACGCCTTTTGACTGCTACTGGTACGATGACTGGACCCAGACCCCGCTACTACCAGCGTGTTGCTCATATCTGTTGGAGCTTCGTCCTCCAGCAACTCGATGGTCGCATGACTTTCGGGTTCCTCCTTTCCATTTTCTAACTGTTTGTGGTGCTTTGCTCCATCTTCAATAAAGCCCCCACCTAACGCTGCCGTGACATACCTGCAGATAGAGTTGTTTTCCTCCACCCATAAACCTGTCGCCTGTTTAAACTGTTTGTACATTTTTTGTACGTGTAACGGGTCAGCGCTCGCATACATACGCTGAATAGGTTCTACACACGCGCCAAAATCACGGGCCAAGTAGCCTTCAAGCGGCAGCACCTTACTAAAGCTCCAACGCCAAGCCTTTTCCTGATTGGGCTTAAGACGATCCAATTCGCGGACACCGATGCGCGTGAGTTTGCTCACCTCCTTACTAATCTCTGACTGTACTGCTTCCAGCGACTGCATCAAACGCCGGATTTCTTCGCCACCAGGACCATACACAAGCAAATCGCCACCGGGACCAGCAAGCTGTCGAGCTTTACGACATGACACTAGCAAATCTGCAAGCAGCTTCAGCAAGCCATGCAGCTTGGTATACGCGTCGAAAGTCTCCTTTTGTACCTCTTTCCGAAGCGACACAACGCCTGAGTTGCTCTGCTGCAAAAACTCTGACGGAGTAATCACCACGTCGCTCGAGTTCGAGTTACGTCGCAGCTGCCGCGTCAATACGGTAGGAACCTGTGGATTTGCTTCCGTATCGCAGAAAACTGCAGTATGCGTCATTTCTTCCTCCTCCTCGTTTGTCAAATGTAAAGACGGTAGTGAATCCTGAGGGGACATTGCGGCCTGATTCTGAGGAAACAACTCCCTGATAAGCACAAAAGCACCAATCATACACACATTAAACTTCATCAACAATTTTTACTAACAGTATTGGCACTTGAACGTACTTGAAGGACGGAGTCGTAAGCAGCACTTCGAGCATCTGTCCTGACTTGCTGCTCATTGCATCCTTCATGCCTGCATGTTGTTGTACCTGTAAATTACTGATCGTACAATCTGCCGGTGTATTTGGCGTATTGCGTAGTACGTAGAAGAGAAATTGAATTCCATGCATTAATCCATCTGTACCACGTGCTTCCAATGTATGTAGTTGCTCACGTGCTGATGAGTGAGCACGTTCTGTTTCAATCGTTGGAAGAACTCGTGTTTCAATCACATTTCTCACATCTTTTAATGTACCAAGTAATGAGCGTTCGCCTGATCCCGAATGAAATAAACCTTGTTGTCCATGTTGTAATCTCAAGACATAACTATGTCGTCTTCGTACTTCAATCAAAATTGATTCCGTTGTACACGTTGCGGGTGCAAGTGTCCGCATGGCCCAATCTTTAAATTCTTCAAGTAAAAGTGTACGTGGATCATTTAAATAGCCCGAAAATGTAAATGCTCGATCATATCGTTCTCTCTGATATGCACAAATACTCGATATAATCGCTTCAGCAGGATTACGTAATAAACCCACAACATCCTGCATCTTTCGTAAATATGAATTCTCATCAAAATCCGAGATTGTGGGATGATGTAATGGATAGAAATTATCATCCATTTTTAATGCAGTGGGTAAATCTTCTTCGCTCACTTCCATTGCTTCACAATAGGCTTGATGAATAAAACGCATTTGATCCATTTCAAGCTGCGAATAGCTCTTGCTAAATGGATTTAAACGCATGCCCCAATTGGACATGATTATGACAAATGGAATAGAAAAGTAGTAGTAGTAGTAGTAGTAGTATAGTAGTAATGGATAGAGAGAGAGAGATATGTACGTGTGTGATTGATACAGAGTAAAGGTGATGAATGAATGAATGAATGAATGGGGTGCTGCTACTGATTGTGCTGCTGTCTTCCTTCCTTCCTTCCTTCTTCTCGACTACTCAGGGGTTTTATACGCAAGAACTCAGTTTAGTGGAGAGTGGTAGAAAGTGGATGAAAAACAAAATGAACAAATATGACGGGGTATTTGATTTAACATTATATGAACTAAAGGTTACTACGTATTGTTACTTTATACGTTTAGAACCGATCGATGAAAGCATACATTGTATGTAATATACAGGATGTTAGTCTCATACGTTCTTTTTTTTTGATACCTAGTACAGATATCTCGTCTAAACAGATATCATCTGTTTAGACAAGATATCATAATTTTAGCGGTCTGAAACGATCAAACGCGCGACATGCTGGAGCAATTAATTGCGCATGCGATTTGAGAAGGAAAAGGCAAAGAAAGCTCATTCGATTCATTCATAGTCAAGTACTAGTGTATGTCTATTGTCTTCTTCTTACTCTTACTAACTCCATAACAGAAAGAAGGTATTTCAAAAGCGTCAGAAGTAGGAAACAAACACTTCTAGCCACAAATTAGAATTTATCTCAGAGAAAGCCAGACACAAGACAGACGTTGAGTGAGTGAGTGCTGACGATGCTTTTTTGTTTTCATATGTAGCCATGTTTACGTTGCCATATAACGATTTTTCAGTCTAACATAGACAGTCGTTTACTTGTTAGCACATGTCGTTGTCGAGTGAATGTTCTATTTGCTAATGTCGTGATTACGAAACATATTAACAACAGCCGAACAATCTGTTTTACCAGCAAGTGTTTTTCTCTACTACGGCTACATTATGAATGTGTCGCTCTAGCTTTCGCAAAAACTCTGTAATGCCATAGTGAGTAAGGAATGAATGTAGACGTCTCGAATGCTCATCACAGCACTCGTCTACACTGGTTGAATGATATGTAGTGAACTCTAGGACCCTTCAAATACAAATACACTCTTAACTATTTGAGCTCCAAGCTTTCTATATTATTAACGTCTATAGGATCGATCATCTATTCTTACGATAGCAGTGAACAGCGTAAAGTTATTAATACGACACTAATTTAACGTGTTACACTACTTCTTCTTCTTCTTCTTCTCAAGAAGCATTGACGTTTTTGTATGGGACGCAATAGGAAGGGACGCCAATGTGGCGGTTATGGCTCCAAGAAGGAGCGGTGAGAGTCTAATCTACTTGCATAACTCCATGTGTGGACTAAACTACACTCTTGATCGATAACAGGTTTGTGCTGTTTAAACGATGGCAGCTGGAAGTGACCAAAGTCTCGCACAAAAATGCACAGACTCGGCAGGCACAAAATAAGCTGATTGACCGACGGAGACGCGCCGAGACGAACGATACTATGCGTCGTAGAGTGCGAGTTGACGTACTGACATCCTGGACGAATGCGCGCTTGAAGGACGACCATATTGAGAGAACTAAGCGCGAGGGAGCGCTGTCAATCGCATCGGAGCTCCAGAAAACGTCGACGGTGGACGAATGCTTCTCGTCGATGCAGGAGCGGTAGTGGACTGTTATTCTTACAACTTGTGTCTATCAGTACTAAGCTTACGGTTGAAAACTACGCTTGCTGTGTAAAATGCAGGTGTATCTACGAGATTGCGCGGACGTTTGACCTGTATAGCTCTTCGTGCGAGTTCACACAAGCATTTTTTGCATCTTTTGAGCCTTGGATGGTGTCTAGACTGGCAGAATTATCGACGGCGTTCAAGACCATAAGTGATGGCAATGTACGACTGTTGCTACTGCAGCCAACAGAGCATCTTACGGTTGGCTTTGTCCGGGACGAAAAGTCGTTGGCGCCATTATTTGATAGGGTGAACGAGAGTCACCATCACATGATGTGGCAGTTTGTATCTGATCATCCGGTACAGTGCGAAGCAGAGTCATGGGAAGATTTGGATGTAGAAGACGTGGACATTGTCCAAACTCAAGATGAAGTACGACTGCTCTCGTTGAATCTCGTATCGTGTCTTGGATTATCCAGTCGCTTCCTCACGCAATTGACAACAGTTCATCCCCACCTCGAACATCTCAAGATCGTAAACTGTTTCGATGCTGCAGCAGGTGAACAAGGTGCTGCCCTATTGCAGGAGCTCTCCAAGTCACGTGCTCTAAAGACATTGCATTTTTCCTGGTGTAGCTGGCTTACGACGGAGATTCTCGTCACTTTTGCTTATCAACTCGTTGAGCCTCCTCTTTCGTCACTTGAAGAGCTTTATGTATCGAATTGTTTTGATGTGCTGGGAGACTACGTTCAATCTGTCTTCAAGGAGCTTTTACCTGGTGTAGATGTATCCATGTGACGCCAACGCGTCAGTGAATCCTCTTTAAGATCATACTCGTCAATTTATTCTCTGACTCAGTTTTTCTTTCATCACACACACGTCACATTTCTTCAAGAGAGCTGTTCATCGTCATGAGTGTCTCGGGTCCACTGTATCGTCGTATCCCACGACTTTTTAGCCGTAATAAACCAGGGGAATGGAGTTTAGTCTATTGTACGTTATCATTAGAAAAAGGTGAGCTTCTAGTAGCTCTTGATTCGGATGGACGTAGTCGTATTACGATTATTCCCGTAAAAGACTCGGAACTAGCTCATGTCCGAAGTGACGGTCGTGATTGTATTGAATTAACAATCAATCGAGGCAAGAAAGAAACGTTTTCATCGCATGAATCGAGTCATGATGTGGATTGGTGGTACGTTTCTAGTAGTATTGTCATATAATAAGAGACATCATCCATTTTAGCTTTATTCTTTGATTCTAGCTAGTGTCGATCGATCATGTAACCCTCATTTCTTCTCTGTATTCTGTACACTTTGTTCATTTTTTACCTTGTAAATGCGTTTAGGATGACAACATTAATTACTGTAAAAAAGGACTTGGAGAGAGGAGTGAAGCCACAGATATCATTGTTAACACTGCCAGTATCCCAGCCAACGACAAGAGTTAAACACATGCGACGTCCATCGTCGCAATTGAGTCTGAATCTGAATCTAGCTGCGAATGGAAATACATTGAGTGGGACTGGACGACCGACACTAAGACGACGGAAACCGGCATTAGCAACGTGCGAGACACTGTTTGAACGCTTTACAATCTATGAAACACCGTCCACATTCTATATTGTGTGCTCGGATCGTCACTACTCACGTTTTCGAATGATTGAATTGGACCGAATGGTCGAACGACCAAAGACACTGGATAAAGTGTTGAAGGAGGATAAACGGATCTATGACTGGGAGCAGATGGAAGCGCGATTGCAAGCACTATCAGAGCTTGCACGCGTTCGAGGCACGGGCAATTTAAACAGGACGTTTACGGCTGTAGCGATTGTTGGATGCATCCGCTTTTTGCGCGGCTTTTACTTTATTTTCGTCACGCAGCGACGGAAGATTGGGAACATTGGAGGCAATTCAATTTACGGTATTTCGGCCACACAGCAATTAAATGTGAGTCATCAGGTAGAAGATCAGACTGCATGGACTCGACTCAATCGATGGTTCAATCCCAGTTCTGAAGAGGAAGCCGAGGCTCGATACCTTGGTTTGTTTCACTTTTTGGATCTCACAAAGGATTTCTACTTCAGTTACTCGTACGATATCACGCATACATTGCAGCACAATATGACCACGGAACACTCCGAGCCGGCGGAAATGTTTACGTGGAATTACTATTTGACCCGAGAATTGAGCACTTGTTTAAGTGGCAGGACTGCAGCTGATCTGATTGTACCGCTTGTTCTTGGCTGCTATGAGCAGCGCAAATGTTCAGTATTTGGCCGCCTTGTGAGCATTGTACTACTTGCTCGCCGGTCCCGTCACTTTGCAGGCACGCGCTACTTAAAACGTGGTGTGGCTGATACCGGCAAGGCTGCGAATGATGTAGAAACGGAGCAGATTATTGAGGATGAGAGCATGGGCCCTGGCAAGTTTAGCTCATTTGTACAGCATCGTGGGTCGATTCCTGTGTTTTGGTCGCAAGAGACGTCTGCAACGCTGCCAAAGCCGCCCATCGTACTAAACCGTGTTGATCCAACATACAATTCGACGCAAAAGCATTTTGCAGACCTTTTCTCACGTTATGGCTCGCCCATCGTAGCTCTGAACCTTGTCAAGCAGTCCGAGAAGAAGGAACGCGAAGTCATTGTAGGCAACGAATATATGAATGCTGTGGAATACCTTAACAGCTTCATGCCACCAAAGCATCGCGTGCGGTATGTGGCGTTAGATTATTCTCGCCTATCTGGGCCCAAGCAGAAAGGTCTTAACGTACTGCATTCGTTGGATAAGGTAGCCGTGTGGGCCCTCACACAGACTGGGTTCTTCTGTAGTGCACCAAAGCGACAGATAAACCAGAATGGTAATATGCGTACGGCCCAAGCATTTTTTCCAAGCCAGTCTTCCGAGGCATGGGATTCACTCACAACATCCAGTGACCTTCAATGGAAAGGAGAAGAGAGCGAGGAATTGGCTTCAGTCGATCCACCGCCATCTCCTACCATTACAAAAAACTCAGGAGAATGGCTAGAGCAGCGAGGTATTCTCCGAACAAACTGTATAGATTGTTTGGATCGCACCAACGTGAGTCAATTCAGTGTTGGAATGCGCGCACTGGGTCAGCAGCTTTATGTGATGGGGATTAAAAATGCACCACTGTTGGAAAGTCGCTCGCAGTTGGTTCTTGTTCTGATGAAGCTGTATTCTCTCATGGGGGACGCGATCTCAATGCAATACGGTGGGTCGGAAGCGCACAAAAATGTGAAAAATAGCGCGGCCCGGGAAAATGTAAAGCATCGTGAACTCCTGACATCCATTCGACGCTACTACAGTAATTCTTTTACCGATACTGCAAAGCAGGATGCAATCAACATCTTTCTCGGACACTTTGTGCCTACGGAAGACTCGCCTCCACTATGGGAGCTTGATTCAGACTACTATCTGCACAATTTTGAAGTACGAAATGGTATGGCTGCATGCGAGAACGTTCGCCGCGACCTCTCTTTTCATGCTGAAAATAGAAGACAAGCGTTTGGTGAGTTGTATGGGCTGCCGCCAACGCAAGCGTCTTGCTGCTCGTCATCGAACGTCTTGGAAGATGGGAACGACGATAGCACCGATGACGAATCCGCGCAGGAACGTGCAATAGTTTTGGCGAGTCGGAACAAGGCCAAGCGTGAAGCGTATGTTCGAGAATGTAGGCGAGTACTCGATGACTGGTGGAAAGCGCCGCTGGAAGCATTTGAACAACAAAAGTATTGCCTGCCACCAGTAGAGGAGAAGGTGCCTTGCGCGTGTGACCAGATTGTGCGAAAAGAGAGTAAACGAGAGCTTGTAAGAGATATCGACAATTCAACGCAATCTGACGCAAAGAACAAGAAAGCGTCACCTCGGTCTCCGTGTTCTGATGATTTTCTACACATGTATCATCCTGAAGAAATGACAACGTTTGACAAAGTCTTGGGGTACAAATTCATGCTTCCGATGGAGATTTCAGACGAGGTGAACGAAAAAGATAAGCGACGCTCCGAAAGTGCTGTTGTAGCACATCTAACATCTGCTCCGTCATCATCATCTGTATCCGGAGCTGGACGCGTTGACGAGGACAATTACTCCGACTTTGAGCAGTCTAATCGGCGAGGGCAAACAAAGGAAGGCACTAGATCTTATCGAAGCATGAGTGCTCCAGACGTTGAGGAAGATGTTGGCTCTCAACTCCATTCCAGTCGTAGGTCGCGCGACAGTGGACGTGAGCGCAAGCACGACCATCAGGACGATCACACGAGCATTAGTGGCTCTGGATCTCGTCGAGCTTCCCGGTCTGCTTTGGCGGATGCCACTAACAAGTACGGAGGTCATGGATCTGCAGCACTCAAGAATATTGTAAAACAGAAAGAGGACCAAATCAGCATTGAAGAGTACGTCATTAGCAAGGGGTACGTTCGTTCGTTTGTATCTCGTTCTTGTCTATCTGTTTTGATACACCCTTTGATCTTGGACTGATAAGTGTCATACTCACGATTTGATACTGATGATGTTTTGCTTGCGTTGTCAAAGGCGTCGCAAGTTTGTTGGCAGTTGCTCCACATCTGCACCAGACCCACTTTACCAGCAGTAAGAAACGATCATATATGTTTTCAAATGAACGTATGTAGGCGTGGAGATAGCACTGTACTCACCCAACGTAATTACTGTCATACAGGTACGTGCTTGGAAAGGAATCACCGCAGATATGGGAAAATGACAATGAAGGTGTCAAGATGTACTTTGAGGCGTATATGCGGAACAATTGCATTAGTCCTGATGACGCCCGAAGCCTTCGTGAAGCTCAAACTCGAGCTGGTGCAACGTTCAAGCTTCAAGCTGGTCCATATTCAGGGCTGGAACAGACTGTAAAGGCTCGAGTTCTGGTTGCGAAAAAGCTGAAAACTGATCCTGAAGATCGAAAGTACGTTAAGCTCATGGCTTGGTGCATTCCTACTTGCGGCGTCCCTTACATTGACTGCATGTCATGAATTTTCAGGAAATTTGAGGATTCGATGGACCTTAAGAAGCTTGTAAAAACTGGAAAAGCATCGGTTCCTGCGGAGAGTTTAGAGTTGTACAAGACCTTTTTTGATGAGGAGTTACCTGCTGTGGAAATCTACCGTCCAACAAAAGAGGTTACACCATCAATACCATCATCACGGTCTGTGGATTTAACACCACTCGTGACGAAACGGAGTAAATCGGCAACTGCTATCTCATCTAAACTTGCTCAGAGTATGCGGCGGCTATCGTTAGACAAGCGTAACCGTACTCGGTTCAGTGGCGGAGATTTAATATCGGTGGGCCCATTGTTCAAGATGGACGGTGGCAAAGACCGTGATTTTATCCTTTTCAACGAAGCTGCAGCGGAGAATTCGTTTGGTGAAGTGACGCAAAACGAAACAGAGTTGTCATTTTACTCGAAATAGGCTTTCCTTACCATATGAGCATACGAATGCCCGGAGAGTCAAATCAACTTTTCTTCATACTTGATTTCTTACTTTGTTCATGGAGTGTCAGTGAATCATATCACTCTTCCTAAACAATGTCGATGACTTGTTCTTCTTTGAGAAGTTTGTGTGAAAGGGTGTTCTCTCTTTTTTGCTTGGTCTTCCGTTTCCACCTCTTTGGAGAAAGCACATTCGTGCTACTTCGAGTGCTGCAACAACTATTCGTACCCGCCGATTCCACTCGATGCCTTCGAGTTTGAATTTGCCGTGGATTCTTCCGTCGTACCCGATAATGTGGTCGGTTGGGGTCATTTTGATAACAATTTCCACTGCTCGTAGGCACATGAAGTCTCTGACCACGTAAGCGGCAGGCACAAGTATTTGTCGTCGCTGCATCGATGCCAATACTGACTCCCGAAAAATTGCTTTGACCACTGACTGAAAAAGTAGACGCCAAGTGTGACAATAGCCTAGATCGATTCGACGTCTTGGGTTTCAAGATTGTGTGAGATGTATCGTAATGTGCTCGTTGAGGAACAGGTTCGTCGTTGGACTCAAAATTTGTGACCTCTTCCAGCATAGCCAGCGGTTGGCAGAAGTTAGTGTTGCCAGTATCAAAGAAATACACGGCATCGCTGTCTGCAAAACCTCTCTCATGATGAAGATGGTGCAAGAAACCGGCATCCATGAGTGCACGACCAAGCCGCACACCCTCTCCACGAGAGTTAATGAATGACATGTCATCCATCCGCTCGACTAAAAACTCACCGGTAAAGCATGTTTCCATGGGAATCTCCGGACACTCGATTCCCGGTCGTTCAAAGTCATCACTTAGATCCTGAGCGAATACTGACATAAGTTCTTCTTGAATGCATTCAAGCGTGCGGACAATCTCAGGCATGGTCGGTCGGGCGCTTGGATCACTATGCCATGCCCTAGTGATGATATCTCGAAGTTTACTAGCAATCGTCGTGTCAGAGTTTGTCAAGTCCGTGACATCCAATGGTGGGCGACAACCATTCAAAACGTCTTCAAATACATACATCGGATTCGTGGCGACGTATTTCTCACGGCCTGGGTGCAAAATATCCCAAAACGTGATGGCTAGTGAATAGACATCAGCTGATTCACCGTAGCTGGCTAGGCCCGTACGACCATTGATCATCTCTGGAGCCATGTAATTCACAGTGCCCGTCACTGTCATCTTAATTGGTGGAGAAGCTGGCGCACTTGTCACAAAGCTAAGAGGATCACTTGATTTTACTGATGTCGGCACGCCACGCTTGGTGGCATCGCCAGGTTCAGGTTTTGATCCTTTTCTGGGTAAACGTCGGGAGTCACCGAAATCGGTAAGCTTGACATTGTTTTCTTCGTCCACAAGAAAGTTGGCGGGCTTAATGTCACGATGCAAAAATGGTGGAGAGAAGCTATGAACATAAGCGACAGCGCGAGCACAGTCGAGCATGTACGCCACATTGAGAAGTACTTGCTCGTGATTAAGAATTTCGACTTCTTCAGTTTCACTGCTAAGGCCAAGCAGATGACGAGTATTTTCGTGGCGTTCGCTTCGTGCCATAGCTTGAGCGTACAGTACGTCTTCCAAAGAGCCTTGACAAAGCTCAGAGACCAAACAAATAGTCGGAGGGCACACGCACATGCCGTAGAACTTGACAATATTCGGATGAATCAATGAGGCGCAGAGTGCTGCCTCGTGTGAGAACTCAGCCACAACTTCCTCTGTGAACCGATACGGAGTGTAAACTTTCACGGCAACAGGACATCGCTGTTGTAGTCGTCCACTGAATATAGTTGCGCTTGACCCTATGCCGATCTTCCGCCGTAACTCGAGGTGCGCAAAGTCGATGACGAAATCCTTGTGCATTTCGATGAGGAGGTGAATCCTGTTCGACGAGATTGACTCGTCCAGTTGCATGTGAGAATACGGTCGGCCAGCTAGTTGTAGGGCACATACGCGATGTCCCATACCCCGCCAATATTCAGTGTCAGCACGCAGCAAATTCCAAATGACAAGCGGTATGAGCGAGCCCCAGACAAGCACGACGTACATGATTGCCCCATACGTACTGGACTTTGGTGCGTATACTTGAATCATACTCGAGAAAACGATGAGTATGTGATATACGATAACATACGCACCGTACTTGTGCAGTGTTGATGATTTTGCACGACCTGGTGGCCGATTGATAAAGCACACGTTCACCACGAAAATTAACAACAGCGAACGCGTCACAACTCTGACGTAGTAAAACAACGTCAAGTCTTTAGGTGCCAAGTGAACTAGTAGCCACACAACCGGAATTGAATACGAAGCGAGAAGAATGGACTTGGCCACAGCACGACGAAGAGCTGGCACCGAGACACTTTTCTGGCAAAGAAAGACAAGCGCAACTACAAAGACAAATTGTCGACCGGCATAAAGTATTTCGCCGTGAAGGCTCGGAAACTTCGACTTGTACATGGAGGTGTTGAGTGCAATGCTAAAGAAGATTGCGAATGATCCAGTAACCGCGGCAAGGATCCACAAAAGAGGCTCAAAAGCCGGTAATATGACTTTGCGTGTAGCTTGAGCATCACCTTTGAAAGCAACATGTCGATTCATGCGCAAATAAAGGAGCAGGAGGAGACAGAAGGAACACAAGACACAGTAGCCAACAAGTGCGATAATTTGACCCAGTCGCACTCGATCCGAAACAACCATCACAACAAAACGTATCTTACAATGGTTGTTCTTATCAATGAAACTTCTTTTGCTTTGAGTGGAAAAGTCAAAGTAACGAAGACCGAATCGGTGAAGTCGAGGTAGACGTTTCAGATGAACGTTGATCAAGTCACAATGAAGCTGATTTCTTCGATGGGGACTTCAAGAATGACGACCATACTTGATTGAATTTGCAGTGGGTGAAGAGTACCAGTAAATTCGACATTTACTTGCACGACATTGCGTTCGTCTGTCAATTCCCAACTTTGAACGTCATGGCCCAAGTTACCAGTACGATGGACACGAAATTGTGGTGATAGTCTCCAAATTTGCTACGGATAAGACGCCGTTTCGCGGTATAGCTACAACCAACTTTGAGTCAACACCGTTGGCTGGCTTTAGCTGCACTTTGCCTATCTTCTCTGGGATTAATGTAACACGTTTGAACGTCAACTAGTTCACATATTTCTGATCATATGCTAACATTTCAAGCTAGCCAGTACACTTATAGCAGCATAACATGACACCACTGGCTTCAAAACGGATACTTAGCATAGGGAACGAAACCATCTTGTCCGGAGCGCTGGGTTTGTCATGAATGTGACGAATTGGCAAGCTGAAGGTTTTTACTGTTGCAGCACAACCGTTAGCAACCTTGAACGTGACATTTGTCGTGTGAATATCAGCAACGGCTTGAGAACAGGTTTCTCTAATTGTATCGGAACTCTCAGCAATCAAACGCTGTTGTTTATGTCACTGACCTGGATCAGTAGTCATGCCAGGTAAACCAGTACATTTTTCAAACGTAAGCATTGTGTATTACTAGTAGCATCTTGGCAAAAAATCGTCTAGTGCAAGAGCACAGCGGCGACAATGCTGGCAACGCCTATAGCAATATAATTGAGAGGACGAGATGATGGAAGTCCACTTGAGGTAGCGGTCGTGCTGCCCGATGACTTGCTGGGCGTCGATTTAGACGACTTCTTGACGGCACTTTCCTTGGTGCATTGTAGACCCTCCCAGCCTTCCTCACACACGCATACCAAGCTCGAGCATTTTCCCTTGCCGTTGCAAGCTTCCTTTGACTTGGAGTCACACTGCGAGCACTGGTCGCCCGTAGTGCCAGCTGCGCACTCACACTCTTGCTTGTCAAGATTGCACACACCTGTGGCGCACTGACCCGGAAGCTGGCACTTGTTGGAATCGATTGCGTCGCAGAAGTCGCCGCTGTAACCGACGTTGCAACGGCACATGTAGGTAAGCGAGCCAATTGAGTCCGGGATGCATGTGCCCTGACCGGCACACAATAGCGTCGAGTTGCTGGTAGAGTTCGTACTCAAACAGCTTTTAACAAGCGCTGAAGCCGTGCCCAGGTTGTCGGAGAATTCCGTGGCGTCATCCTCACCAAAAAGCACTTCGAGAGTGCTCGTGTCAAAGTCGACACAGCCATAGATTGCGTCGATGGCCTTGCCGCTCGAATCTTTAGCCCCAGTCACACAGATAACACCTTCACCCTCTGACGACTCGCTACCAGACACGCATTTCTCCGCTGGCTTGTACGTGCAAACACTACTGATCTGGTTGTACGGACTCGCCCAAGACGAGAAGGTCGGGCATAGACCCGGAAATTGTCCAGAGCACACGTCCGTGTCCTGAACCTTGGGAAGGCACTGTTTGACCGTATCAGTGCCGGAACGTGTCGTCTGAAGCGCCACACACTGGTAACCGTCTGCCGTGCAGTCCTCTGTTTCTTCGCAGATGCCGGGACGTTTCGTGTCCTTGGATTTGGCTATGGCCGGATGACTTAGAGCCAAGAACACTAAAACACTTGTGACTTTCCGTGCATGCATCGCTGAAACTGAAGCGTGAAAGAGAGATAGCGTGTGTGTGTCTTCAGCTGCAAAGAGAGCTAAAAGGAAAATGACCGGCGACCGAGTGAGATTTTGTGCGTGGCGATAGGACTTGAGGGCGACGTTCCACATGGCAGCTGACTCGATTGATGAGGCTCTATGGAGAGCACGACAAAGCCACATCACAAAGCACGACATGCTGAGCGGTAAAATAGCTTCTTATTCTCAGGTATCAAGTAAGGTGTATGTTATAATTCATGTGACGGCATGACATGTTTTACTAAACGATGCAACAAATGATACTTGATACAGATGGACGTGCCAAAGAAACTGTCGACGATTTAACAGCTCGTCGTTTTTACACGGCATTGTTAAAAATATATTACCACCCGTTATCTGACATCGTAGTATGCATTTCAAGTTGCGTGCGAAGCCTGTATTCTTGTCTCAATTCAGACGTGAATAATGGCTCCAATGACAGCGCCATTTCGTCCAGGTGCAGAGGTTTGTTGTATAACATCTTCTTTCGCCAGTGTACAAACCCAGTCCAGTGTTAGCTTGCTCAAGCAAACGACATACAGACAAACGAGGCGATAGCTGCGTACGCCATCGATCAGCATCTATGTATCTGTAGTCACCAATATCTAGCGTTTCAGTAACGTGTCATTACGATATGCTGCTTCACACATCCAATGTTTACGATAGAAGATCGGCATCATCATGTACTGGAAGCTCTGCAGCTTTTGAACGTGAAAGTTGTCGTTTCAGAATACACAGACGATCTTTGGGGTGCTCACGATAACGATTGGATCCGGAATATCAACAACTTGAAACGTTTGAAGACGAATTTATCATTTTCACGCTGCAGCAGGGAAAACGTCTCAACTCGACATACTCTTGTCCACCTCGTCTTGAGTCAGTTTTGCCGTCGTAGTATTTTTAAGCTTTGTTGCAGCCGCAAGTTCATGATGCTAGCGAATTTTGTATAGGAAAGCGTCATAGACGGAATGCTGCCATTTCCTCGTCATCATTCACTGCGCATCTTTTCCATGCTAGATTAGACGCGTACTTTTCTGCTTCTCTCAACACGACGTGTTGCAAGCTTTGTACTCTTCAATGAATATTTAACACCATACTTGTGACGAACCTTTGTGATGTCTTTCTAGACTAGATTGTCGCCGTATGAAGTTACTCCTAGCTGCGAACTAAAGCGATATAGATTGTAATGCGATGACTGTTCAAGCAAACTCTGACGCTTCTGAGGTTCTGTTCACGATTAGCCAAGTTGCGCTACGCAATTGCACCAGTGGGTTGACGTCTAGCTTGGAAGTCGAGCAAATATGATACAAGAAGATGTATGCACACGTAAGACCGTTCATTTGGGTCCAGAAAAGACTAACAGAAGATCCCTCTAAACCACCTTATTCAGCCTGCAAACGCCAATGTGCTCTGTTTCGTACCAAAGTTCATTGTAAACAAGATCCAATTCCTGCTTGAAATGCATTTCTTATCTTCAGAGGTGAGTCAAACGTACCACGTCATCTTGCAGCATCTGGTCCGTTTGGAAGCGATTCTGCTGTAGTTGTAACTCATAAATTGTGGGACCCTCGAAGCTAGTTGACAAATTGCTTGGCAAAATAATAAGAGCAAGTAACCGCGATCAGCAGATTAAGAATTAGATTGCCACTTGTTAATTTGCTGCGCATGCAGGTTCATCATTCCAGAAAGACGAATGCACGTGAATGATGTTAATGTGGATTTTTTTGGTTTGGTATTTTTCACAGGTTGAGTGAGAAAGGCAAATACGTTTTACGCTGTTTCTCCATTCACTTTGTAATTGCCATCCATCGACATTGTACTCGAAGCAAAGCAATGAACGTATTAGACGAAAAAACGCGTCGTGTCATGACGGCGTCTTATGCTATACCAGATCTCCAGACGGCGGTGCAGCAAGGTGATGCAACAGTTGACGAGCTCTAGTGGTGTCAAGTGCTTACATGTATTTGGCATACTTAGTGGTCTACAATGCTATAGACGCACATGCAAAGACAATCAAATTGTCGGTGGACATTGAAAACGCATCGTTATTGGTTGTAGACGATGGTAAAGTGTCATAGAGGGCATAGTCATTTGTATGGTTGCGTGGTTGCGTCACTAAGTATCATCTGTCTGTTCAGGCTGTGGTATTCAGCCGGATAATCTATACGCTTACGTTGGGGAATGTTATGGTAACAAGAACCGATTCAGGGATTGCATGTTATTGATTTCTCTCACGATGCTCGTTGATGAACATCTACAGCTTCGTCAAAGCGTCCAATACCAAGCGGGAAAGACAATCATCAGAAACGGCAGAAGCCGTACGGTTGTCGCGGTGCTTTTCTTTACGAGCTAAACTCACTCGCTACTACTGTTGAGATTGAAAGTCGCGTACATGAACATTGGACTTGTTATTGCAAAGTCTTTAAGGTTAGAATTAATTTGCTGTTGTCCAACATCGCGAGTTACACACGTTTGTTTTCTAAATCGCTACAGGAAGGAAAAGTTGTCTTTAACGCCAAATCAAAGAGTCTACGCAAGACACCTGGGACAAAGGTCAATGTGAACAATCTGTTTGGGATGCTTCCTGTGCGGCGTAAGCATCTATCTCGCAACATGAAGTATCAAAATCGAGTGATCCAAAGTATACAGAATTTCTGCGTAAGCATGTCGATGATATGGCCATCAGTATCTTTTGACATCCAATTTCGAGGTACGCGATACGGTCATGGTAGCGCAATCATCTCTCAGCGTGTTCCGCGCCCGGGACTTGAAACTGATCATTGTGAGTCTATGCAGGTGGAAGAGTTAGACCGGTAACGATTCCTGCAGCAAAGTCCTGTCGCAAACGTTTCCTCGAGCATTTTGGGCATCTACTTGGGAATCAGCTGCAGGTAAGTGTACTGTATTCCTTTTCATGCTCAAGCGGTATAGTTGATCAAATCTTTTGTTACATTTAGTACGTGAGCTTTTCATCGGATCCTGTCCAGTTTTCAGTTCGAGGATACTTTGCTTTCATTTTTGGTGCAAGCGAAGCAATGGGACAAGGAATTAAGCAGGCCAAAAGCTACTATCAGTTTTCGTTCTTCGAAAACGAATGGGAAGAAGAGTGTCAGCAAATATGCTCGCGAACGATAACAGAAGCTGCTTTGGAGTTTTTGTCAGGTACTCTGTATTATTTGTTCTAGCAGCAGCATGACTTTACTAGCTCACATTCTCACGAGCCATGCTGTGTTTCTTAGCGATTCCCATTTTTGTTCTGAAAGTAGAAGCAGCCAGCGATCAGATTGATACTTGTGGGATTGCAAGAAAGGAGCGCGTACGCTTTAAGGCTCCTGAACAGTTCCGCCAGTTTCTTGTCAAGTTTGTTCAGGTACGAAAACATCTAATTTCCGATCGATAGCTTGAACACTCATTGTGCTTGTCAGGAATTGGCAACAGCTGAAGCAAATCAAGTCAAGGTGCGAATGCGTGGCAGTACATCTCGGGTGCGCTTTCCATTTTGAATAACCTCTGATGTGTTAGATCCAAGAATTGTTCATGCATCCAGGATCCAGCAATCAGTCAACCTATGACCCGTTGCCAAACGATTGTGATGCTATGCGGACGATCCCTTCCTTGGACAACACTACGGCAACCCACAGCTTTGATAACGATGCACATGAGAGCGTCGATTACTCTTGGTACGACGAAACTGCGGTATCGTGTTTGGCTAAAAATCGTACAATGTGGTCTAGCAACTTGAGCAGAAGCGACTACCGGTGTCAAGCATGCAGTCATGTCAACAATGACAGGTAAGGTTATGACGCAGTGTTCTTGTTGTTAGTAGCAATGTATGAGCTACACAAAGACGTTAATATTGCAAAAGTATTGCTACCTCATGTAGTAGCAAGAATACTGGGCTCGATGAAAACAACAACGATTTCTGCAAGGACCTTTACGGTTCACATGCAGCCGGTCAAGTGTCAGAAGCATCACTTGACTTCACCTCTAACCTTGCTCAAAACTATGCCGGCACTGACAGAAGCGAGGGTGAATTGGAAGACGTGTTTTTTTCACATGAGTCATCCCTACAGTTTTCTAAGCTGACAAAAGAAGCTGGTGATGTTGAGGTCATGCGTTTCAGTTTGATATCATTGTCCCTTCATCTCTTCTAACTTTTGATGGCGTAGGAGGAAGAAATTTGGGCTTCCGCGATACCATGGTTAAGCAGCAAGCCAGATACGTACGACTGTGCAGATTTTCTGTTGAACTTGTGCGAGGATACTCAGCACCATGAAAAAATGATATGCTTGGGGGAAGATAAGCAGCAGACCCAGGATCCCCAAGTAAAGCTTGTTGTCTTGGAACAAAGGTGTGGTAATAACAACACGTGCCCATTACTCCACGCACCAGCGGTTGTTGGCACCACGTCAAAGTATTTCACGATGCGTACGGTAGAGCCATCAGCAAACAAATACTTGAAACGTTGGCACGGCTTCAAGGTGGGTCCTGCCAAGAAGTTTGCTGCAGCGTTGCATGTCGACAATATTCGAGTGTTGGGAGGAGATCGTACGATCAAAATCGAAAAGTCTACACTTGCACAGTTGCAGGTGATTTGCCAAGTTGATCGCAAATTCATTCTTGTTCAAGCAGACACGTCTCGAGGCAAGTTGCTACTTTGCATTGACCAGCATGCAGCAGATGAACGCATACTTCTAGAAAAATTGGAGGTGGACATGTTTGGACACGATGGGTCGCTTCGTCAGGTGGAAGTTCATGACCATGATCCACCGCTGGTGCTACAAGTGAATTCAAAAGAACGCGAAGCACTGGAGTACAACGAAAAGCTTGTCAAAGCTTGGGGTTTTGAGTTTGAATTTGTCTCACCTAAACCAAAGCAGGCCTTTGTAAACGCGTACAATCAAGCCACATTTCACGAAGGAGACCGTGTCATGCTGTATGCTACTCCCAAGGTAGAGAAAAGAGTCTCCAACACGGACGATTTTCGAGACTTTCTCCAGCTCCTGTCGAGTGCTAGAGAAACGTATCTGCATTCGCGGATTCGGCCTCCGGTCATCACTAGATTGCTACACTCACGTGCGTGTAGAAGCGCAATCATGTTTGGTGACCGACTTAGTTTAACACAGTGCAAGGACCTTATTGCAGAGCTCAAGATGTGTCAATTACCATTCCAGTGTGCTCACGGCCGCCCATCGGTTGTACCGCTCGTCGAGATTTGCAATGGCAACCTTACTACTAGTTTGCAACGAAAATCAAGCTGAGTTCATTTCGCTAGACCATTGAATATCAAACATGAACCTCATTTGCCTTTTTACAAAGTTCAGTTGAAGCAGCCATCAGTACCGTTTTGATTCTTCTGGTGCATTGCTTATCCGACAAAGTTGCGTGCAGGAATTGTGCGATGACGTGACGAATACTCTGTAAGACGACCCTTTCTTATTCTCACCAGATGATGTTGTGTTGATCCGCTCCCCGAACTCTTGCAGACAATTTGTCAATTCCAGCGCTCTGCGTGTATTCAATAACACCAAAGGATCAGCAAAGCCCAGAACACGATCTTAGCCGATAAGACAAAACTAGTAAGCGGCTTAACTACAGCGAAAAAAGCGTTGGCCAGAGCTGAAGTTGTAAGGACTATGTTTATTGCCGACAAGAACTAGAAACGACACAGCAGCGATGACCAACTCCGGCTGCCAACTCTATGTATGCTTTTCAATGCTTCAAGCCGCTTACGCGAAGCGCATAACGCAAATGATACGCCCTGCAGTCGTTTTGAAAAGCAATAATCTTCAACAGCACACATCGCGAAAGGCCTTGCACTCGATAATGTCGAATGATAAATCTACAATCTTTTACTCGTATTGTACAGCGTGGTTTCGTCTGTATTGAATATTTCAAGCTTTCTACGGATGTTTATCTAATGGAAATTCCAGTACGGTGCTTTCAGCTTGTCTCCTCTCCTTTTAAAACGCTTTTTAAGATCGCTGTCAAGTCGTGATAACTTTGGTAGCTGACTGACTATCTTGTGGATCTGATCTCTATGTTACAAAGGAATTTGTACAGCTTATTCAACCAACGTCTACTTGTGCCCTTTGTATGTTGCAATCGACTACATTAACAAAATAAACAACTGTTTTCGAATCGTCGTCATGGCGGCCACACGCTCGACCGTGACATCGCCACGCTAGTAAAATTGCTGCGAAAGGCTAGTGTCCATGCGTTTCAAAGATGGTGGTGATCAGGACTGAAATTAATCTCTGTCCATAATGGTTTCCGAATTGTCACCAAAATCAGCAGCATCTGTGCGTCGTTTTAGGGCTCAAGAGGCACGTGTACAGAAAGCGTCCGGTAAAGAAAAACGGTTCAGTGATGGCAACAAATGGCTCGTCTGTAGGGTGAATGACAAGCAGGAAATGATGATTCTTCTTTGCCTACCCCTATATTCGAGTCCGTGATGGAAGCAACATGGAACCACCATTTCCGTGGCTGTAAGAGAACTGCCACAAACGTGACCTCAATGCTGAAAGATATCAGCGCGACATTTAGCTACTCATTTTATGAGTTGCAGCACAAAAGGACGTGATAAGTCAGGATGTAGGACGGTGACGTTCAGTTTTTTTGTTGACCTCGATTACTTGACACTGCACGGGACAGAGATGAGCAGAGCTGAGTAAGGGTTGCGCAACTGCAGAGCTTTGCCATCAAAATATGTACTGCTCGCGTCCAACAATCTCTCTCCAATCCACTGGCAGCGATACAACGAGCTTTTTATCATGGCTGAGTCCCAGCCTCGACACCATTGACCAGGGTAACCTGATCTTAAATACCTAAGGATTCCCAGTGAACCGTCGATCTCCAATCAGCACAGCATACAAACGCTATCGTTGCCTGTATTCAATGTGGAAATAGCCACAAACGTTTCGGTCACTATGACGACGCACAGCAGACTGTGAGCTATGTATGACGCAAAACGTCCCCATAGCCTCGACAACTGACATCGCATGGTATAATTCCATAGCCGTGATAACAAATGTACTGACATTCCGCCTACTACCAAATTCATTGGCTTAGCAAGGACAACCCGGCGTTAAGTTGTATCTGCTTGTAGGATTGCTAATGAATAAATGCCAGATATGTATGGTGTGTCACAACCCTTTCCCCCCATGAGCTAAGCTCGAAACGGTGATCCTTCTTTTTGCATACAGGATCAAGCATACAAGTTAAACCAAATTGCTCTGTAGGACGGTAAGAAATCCGACTTTGGTTAACATATCAAATAGACGCATGATTCGGTTTCACAACAAGGTTTCTCGATTGCAAGCTCTTTAAAAAATCGATCACAAGTTATATCATAAAGAACCATTCGAAGAGACCATTAAATACTACATGTTGAAAGCTTCTAAAATATTAACAACGGGATGTACACTCCTTTCTGGTAGTCCAATCGGTGGTTGCATGCGTTTTTTCAGTAATTTCGGTTTTAAATCTTGTTAGCACTATCTCAGGATTTTTCTCATACAATAAATAGTTGGCTGGCCCACAAAAGCCAGCCAGCCATATATCACTTCGAGAACAGAGGGGAAGGGATCAAGATCTTGACGAAAAAGAGCCACCAAGAGTCAGTGGAAAACTCAACGCCACCATAAAGCAACCTACCAGTTACGGTTTCAGCGGCGCTACTTACTTGCTGTCTATTTGTCGCTAGTATCGCATCTCACTTTACCCAACCTCAATTCAGTCATTTACGTATCTTCCCCCTTCTTTCTCCATGAACACATCTACTACATCATTCTCCATGTCTAGCCACCAGGCTATTATGAAATGTCCTTGGCAATGGCGCCAGCCCTTTTTGGATGAGAAGCGTGAGAGCCGCAAGCGCAAAGTCGGTGATGGTTATTTCTACGACCCCGTGGATCCCAGCTTTGTAGATCACCTGCTACCTGGTTACGCAAAGAAGTTTTGCGGTGCCGACGTGCTTGAATCTGACGAGAAGGAAAATATTCAGCGTGAGATTGAGCGCCTTATGACGAGGAAGGACGATCCACTTTGTCGCACTGACGCTGCTGTCACCTCTGGCGATGAAGACAACTTTAATGTAAGCCGCGAGAACCATGCACTGGTCGACAGCATCCTGCTCATGTCCAAGTCCGTGGAGGCCTCGTCGCTCACGCTGCTGGCGTCTCCCAAGAGTGTGGCTTCCTCCTCGCCGTCATCGGATGAGAGCAGCGACGACGACGACAGCTATCTCAGCAGTGGTGGAGAGGAGCCTCTTGACCTTGCTGAGGATCGACCGGCTAAACTTTTTGCGCACCGCAACCCATCACTCGAGCTCGTGTCTGACAACTTGCAGGAGGCCTTTTTTGCTGTGGAAGACAGTGAGTTGCTTGACTTCCAGACGACCGCCAGTTCCAGCGCAGCGGAAATGGACTGAACGGTGGTGGTTGCGAGACTTCTATCCCACCAGTACCGCGTCCTTTTACTCACCGACCTGTGCTCGTGTGAATTATTTATTGATCGACATCAGCTTTGATTGCCCGTAATGTATGAGTCGACAGTGGCGCAGTGCTCCTCACCTTTTGCATAAGGATGAGGAGCCAGAAACAAGATAGCCAGAGAAAAGACTTGCTTAATGAATTTGCCTTTGCTACCGATTTGGATCATACAATTCATATTTTTACTGCTGCTGAGCTAATCTTCGTGCTCGTATTATTGACTATATTACGACTATCCTCATCAATTTTCATGTCATTAGCCAACTTTCACAATGCATCCGTGGAAAGGCACAGAGCACAAGCAATACTTTGAAATACTACGTAGAACCGCAGTGAGGAAGAACCACAAGAAACCCACCAACTAAGCTCAGCGACAACTGATACTGTTATATTGTGTCCGCGATTGAATAACGGATGTACTTACTAATAGAACTCTAAGGACTGTCTTGGCCCAATACTTATATCGCCTTCTGCCAGAACATTGTACCCTCCACGACAAATGGACGCAGCAACCGTCTGGAGACTAACGTGTCGAGCAAGATCTCAATTTTCTCTTTCCCATAGTCAGGAAGCATTTCCAAAAGTTGATCGACGCTCTGCGCAACAAGTGGCTGTTAGTGATCAAGCGACACGAATGCATACAAATGGCCACCTGCGTGCGTCAAGCATGCATAGTGCACCACTTACCATTGCTGGAGTGTCATCGTCACTTCCTTGAAATTTACTATACAATGTTGACACCTGAACGGCTCCAACGCCTCGCTAGAAAATGCAAACACGAACAACATTAGTCATTATGTACGCTCAAAGAGAATACCCAAGGAGCCATACCTGAAATGCAGCTGGTAGTAGCGACAGCTCAAATTTTGGTGTCGGCTCCCCCGCGCTGACAGAATCATCGTAGTCCTGCAATCGTGTCTCTTGCGAAACACTTCCAACGTCAAGGCTGGCACCAACAAGACGGTTTGACAGTGGGGTATTTGGTGTCATTGCTTTCAGCTGCGTTCGCAACAACGGTGATGTCAAATCAAACTCTGGAGTCCTTGGCGTATCATCATCTATTATTGCGTCATTTGGTTGCCGTCGCGGCGTCGCCATTGCTAATGTGTGTCCATCGGTTGTAAGTCGATGACTTAGCGATGACATGTTACTTATACTGCTGTATTTTCTGCGCAAGCTGGGAGATTTGAATGGTGACGTAGCCTTCGCAGGGTAATGAGTTTTTGGGTACACTGGTGTTCCTCGTTTATCACCAGCACTGGACAGTGTCCGCTTCCAATCCATGGCACCTTCGGATGTCCTTGATGAGTTTGGCACATTGTCAGCATTCATATTCGATTCCACCTCATTCGAAGTCGATAATCGAACCGTACTAAATTCCGGAAGGTAGGGTGTGTCAATAGAGTCGGTCGTCTGATCCACTTCCATCTCCGCACCATCGGATTTAACATTTTTTCCACGGGGTGGAGTGTACTCGAATGCACCCAGCTTCATCAAATTTCTGCTGATACCAGGGCTGTTGCTATTATATTGCACGCTACTAATTGCTGACGGTGGTGTCGAGATCTGCCGTGGTCCGCTCCCTGTCTTTGGTTGGTCTCTCTGCAGTCCACAACAGACTTCTATCAGTTCATTTGTCAGCCCAAAATAAAAGCTTATAGTTGCACACACACCGATATAATCCCCGTTCGAGGTGGCGACGTCAGCCAGCGTCCGTGATCACTTGAGTTAAATGTCGACGTCGACTCCTGCGTCTTGGCACTCGATTGAACCTCCGATTTGGACATATACGGTGTCCTAGACATTCTCGGTAAATTGTCACTGCTAATACTAGCGTCTAAACTGTCCTCTTCTGCTGACGCATTGCGACGATCGCTAGCAGGCGGCTGGCGTTTCTTGAGCGTTGTGGTCTTGAACGTCTGCTCTTTGCTCACAAACGAAGTGTCCTCTAAGTCTTCGTCATCTTCTGCAGCACTTTGATACTGATTTGTGCCGTTATTTCTAGTGGATACAGGCGTAAATGGCCTAGAAAAACGCGACGGCGTCCGTGTTATTCGCCGTGCCGCTGATTGTTGTGTGAACGAGTCAAAGAGCGGCTGCCAGACGCGCGAGGACTCGTGGATCTGCCGCAAAATCTGGTGATGTCGCCTTACGGTACCGCAAATTTGAGTGGCTGAACGGTGTGCAGCGCATACGTTGGCGTCAATTTCCTGCAGCAAATACGTGATACGCTGCTGGGCGTCTTCGTCCATTTTGGCGCCTTCCTTTCGAATAGCAGTGAAGTTTTAACTCCCCTTAGGACCATCATTCTGATTGTAAAACCTAAGATTTAAACTTAAAAGCTTACGTTTTATTTACCGCACTAACAAAGACTTTACCGCGCGCATATTTTGAATTCTCGCATCTCAGTGCGGAATCGCCAACAGACTGCAGCAAGCCTTGCACATGGAGTATTGCATTTGGAAACGAGATACGAGTGGTAGCGAACTTCTGCCGGGATCATTAGAGGAAGTTATGCCCGACGTGATCATTCGTCGCTTCCTACTACGCGCTGGCTTCCGTTCCTGCTCGGACCGCGCCGCGTTCCAGGTGCGACGCCACGTAAGTGACTTCTTTCGTCGCATCGTGGGCTGTATGGTAGTCATGATGCAACATGACGGTCGCTGTAGCTTTCGTCTCATTGACGTCAAGCGCGCATGCGAGCACTTTGGTATTCGCATGTATGGCTACGATGACATGTGTCTGCTAGCTGCTGGCCGCATGTGCGGTCCTGAGTCTTATCACGTGACGGAGCTGGTTGAGGTCAACTCTATTTTCAATCGCCCAATGGACTCAAACGAGGAACCTGATAACGAGCCTGGTGCACGTTATAAGAAAACGAACTTTGTGGCCAACTACACGTCGTGGAAGGAAGAAATGGGGGAGCTAGAAGACGATGTGAGCGAGCCCAGCGAGTGGTCCTTTTCTGATAGTAGTGAAACCGAGGTAGAAGACGAGCGGGATGTAGGTATTGAACCTTTGACTTCTTGGCAACCTAATGAAGAGAAGTTTCTGGTGTCGCTGCGTGAAGCACAGGAGTTTGTGGACGACGAGTTGCTACATGAACCAGAAGATGAGGATGGAGACTGTGAGAATCAACCTGGTCAGGGGTACTTCTCGGACTACGACGATAGCTGTGAGCCGGAGTACTTGAAAATGCAACAAGCTCAAGTAGAGAATGAAGATGCGCAATGGAATAAGGTTGGCGAACTCCATGTTTTGCAGGATGGCGAGGATAGCGACCCTGCCGAGTTGCAAAACTTTAGTGATAGTTCCAATCTGTACGTTGTCTCACGCCAGGAGTTTTTTCGTATATATCGCACGCTTCTTAGCCTCACGCTGAGACTAGGAGAGCTACAGATTAGCTCGGTCGCGCTAAGCGCTCTGCACAACGCCACGGAGCAATGTCTCCACCGGTCGCTTACTGAAGGTTCGCTTCATTATCAATTGGCTGCTATCCTGAAAGACCAGGAACACGTCAAGCTAACGAGTCAGCTGGAGTCAGAACTGCAAATGCAGCGAGAGAAGGTAAATAAACTGTGTGAGACCATTGCTGCTAACAAGGCCACTTTCAAGGCTAAGGAGTTGGCAATGCAGAAACAGATCGAGCAGCTAAAGAAGCAATTACAAGGTCAACACGACGTGCAAATGCAGACACCTCCTAGCCTCAAGAAGAAAATGTCTGCAAAGCGAAAATCCGCGAGTAAGAAATCTCACAATGCCCGAAAGGGTCTGTCCAAAGCCTCAAATGGTTCTACGACCGTAGTAGGTGCGCTGCGTTCGCGGGATCCGAACCACTCGGGCTCCAAGAAGGTCAAGGTATGTCTTGTTTGAGGACGAGCGCAAAACCAGGTAGTTATAAATGCTTTGAACAACTTATATTGGCTTGTCAAACAGTTTGGTTCTCACACTGTTTCGGCTAGTTCCCTCATTGCATTGTGCGGGTCAGCGGAGTGGTAGCTGTTGGAGCAAGGGTGTCGTTTTGGCAATCATATTTACAGCGTCGTTCGCTGATGTAGGATTCTCTATCAATATTAGGGTATTTCATCTTCTATATCCGTGTAGCCCGTTGTAAGCTCATACCGTTTTACCAGTCGTCGATTTCTTCATCTCTGCAGCTCGAATCATGGCTGTCGCATGGCACACCTGGACAAACTCAATCAGATGTTGAAAAAAATCGTCGCCCAACGTGCTACATGTTAACAGCAAGTTCCGGTAAGTCTTTGTACTAGGTAACAAGTGCGAGGCGACATTGCTACGCACTTACCTAAGATAGGCTTCAATGTTGTTGTGGCCTGCATTGACGACCCACAACGGTTTGCACCTCCATTCCTGGTGGCAGAGTTTGAACAGTCCTTCGCCGTGCCAGAAGGGCACGACTTCGTCTCGAGTGCCGTGAATAATCGTCACGGGCGACTGTACTTGATCGATGATGTCGATATTGCAGAATAAATCACCTGGAAATGTATAGCGGAAATTAAAGACCACACGAAACATGGAGAGCACAGGACTCTGGAGGATTACGCCTGCTACGGGCTGTCCCAGATTTGATTGCTTAGCTGCAAGGTGTGTTGTTGGTCCAGAACCAAGTGACCGTCCGTATCTGTATCAGAAACCAAAGGAAATGGTCAAGCAGATATCAAAACCGAAAAGAAGGCTATCAAGATACGTACAAGATGATTTTGCAAGGTGGAATTTTCTTCACATTGACGAGGTAAGCAAACGCAGCTTCGGCATCCGCCACACAAGCTTCCTCACTAGGCTCACCTTCGCTGATGCCATAACCGGAGTAGTCGTACGACATTACGTTGGCCTGAGCAACAGTAAAGCACATTCTGCATTAAGATGCGTGTACAAACTTGTATAACGCTGTGGACGTTCACACCTGAAGTCTCCTGCTTACTATACAAAACCAATCGTAAATTATCCCTAAATCTGCGCGAGAAGAAAGACACACAGCGTTGCGACCACAATTAAATTAGTGGCATGTGTATGGACGGATCATTAAGCTTGCCTACCTTCTGCGTTGCCATGAGAGAAGAGAACGGTGTATTCAGCCTTACTACGAGGATGTTGTTTGCACGATTAGCAAAATGGCCAGACAATTGCTAATTAAATCGCTCACATGGTGTTGACCTACTCGCATGGAATATAGTATGCTGGAATCCGGTTGTGCATGGCCGTCACAATGAAGAAGTAGCGGCGCGTGTATCCATAAGTGGCAGGCGGCGGCTGGAACACAAGTGCAGACACTGTGCTGCCCATCGTGCGTTGACGTCCCAACTTCCTAGCTTTATTCTGTTATCACCGATGGAGATACAATTTATGGCCGTGTTTACAATTAATAGTGATACAGGCTTGCAGTCCTGCGAGCAGGGTGTCGGCGCGACTCTAGATATTGATTGAGCCGCGCTTGTTCGCTCGACTGATAATTAGAACACCTCTTGTAACCGATCATCGCTTGTAGCCTTTTCATAGGAATTTTTGTAAAGGTCAGTGTGAAGCTGAAGTCGATTAATTCGCGTCAAAACGAGTAAGAAAGCGCTTGTATTTATGAAGCGCTTTGAGCGAATTTCATCTCGTCCGCTCAATATATACTGATAAACTTACACAACATCTACTACAGCGGACCTTTGGACCATGTTGTCCTTCACCACTGGATGCGACGACGTTGGATGGGACGGCTCAGGCCACGCAGATCTTCACTAATGGCAAGGTTTGCCTCACGCTCATCTTCATCAACTGAGATGCCTTTTTCACGTAGCAGGCTTGTAAACCCTCCTCGACTAGCTGGAGTTAGATCTGGCTGTGGCGATCTACGAAAAATAGCCAGCAGCTTACTGTTGATATACATAGACGAGGTTGACGAAGGCAATAACAAGGTAGAATGCGTCATTTTTGAACTGAGCGCGAGCTGCTGGACATACTTGTAGTCTGCTTCACGGAGGTCAGTCCACCGACCTTGCAGTAACTTTCTCAGTCGTCGCTTCTTTTGACGCTTCGGGCGTGAGCTTCGAGACCATGACACCATATTGCGCGCTGTCTTTGCATAGTCCATCCAGTAGCTTGCTAATTTGTTGAGTCGTTTCAGTCCAGGCACATACGCCAACAAAAGCGACTTCATACTATGAGGTCTGCGCATTGATGCTCTGTACAAAGCCTGCATGGTTTGCAACTCCTCCTTCCGCCTTGAATGCTTGCTACACATTTGTACAGATGATATCCCATGAGTTGACATGCTAACTATTAGCAACCGAGTTCAGACCTGGACTCACTTTTTTTCTGCCTCCGTGGCACTAGAAAACGTAAATCCTGACGTTAACGAGTCCTTTATCTCCTTAACGTCTGCACATATTGTCATCAATCATCAGATCAGGATCAAACAAACTTCAATATCTACTACGTCGTGCCTAATTGTTCTGCAGTGTGCGTACCAGCCAATTGAGACCTGTTCGACGAGTCTTGTCGTAATTTGGTGAATGGAGAAAATGTCACGTGTCTACTGGATCCAACATGTCGTCGACTACTTACTTGCTTTCCTTTTCTCTTGGATGAACTGTTTGAGAACCTCAAGGGGCTTGCGTACGATGACAAACTCTTGAGGATCGGTCGGGGCATTGTCTCGTGCGGTGCCGAAACGGAGACTTTGAAACCGGTAAAACCTGCATCTCGATTGTGTGGAAGAGGTGAAGTCACAAAAATGATACTGCTAGGTAACGTGACATCTGTTCGTGTTATCGTTGTGAGTATATTCGTTAGCTTACCGGTAAATCGACGGTATGATTCAAAAGGTTTAATTTAAAACTTGAAGCTAACCGGCGTTTGCGTTCGAATACTTACTTGGTCAGTATCACCATCTTCATATTACGGTAGAATCGTCAACATAGACATCTATCACGAAGATACTACGGCTGAGCAATAATGCCGCCACGCAAAGCTTTAATAGTTTCTTCTAAATACTACCGCGGTAGAATATTCGAAGCCAAGGCTACCTCATCCTTACGCAGGTTCTGCCCAATGATGTAGAGCAGCTCTTTCTTAGAATATATCCCAGGTCGAAGGAGTCAGAGTAGCGATTGAGCGACGGTACTGCATCGGTTTGCTTCAAGGGCACCTCCTGCTCTAATCGGTCCAAGCATTTCGACAAGACTTTGTCAAGCTCTCGGATTGGATGGACAGAATCTGCCAGACGTGTAAAAGTATTCATATTCGCGACATCTCTTCTGGAAAGAGTCCTGTTCGCCATCACCATGCTCGTATGCGTATCCTGAGCAGACTTTTGCACTACAACATTGCTGATGGGTCGAAAGGAAAAGCATACGGCCAAGTCGTCAACACGTTTGCATCCAACCTCGCGGCACTGTTACCTTCGACAGTCTGGAAACGTTGGACCGCCTCTTTGCCTTAAGTTCTACTTTTACCTTGTGAATCTTATTGCTACAGCTGAAGCACCGACTGCCGCTTTTACAGTAGCTCGAACAATCTTAAACGGAAAAAAGAACAGTTGTAATACTTCATGCGGCTTGTTCAGTAATCAAAAAAAGTTCGTACTGGTCTGCGACGAATTGCAGTGTTGGATGGACCACAGATCGGTGCTGTCATCTCCATTTATGTGTCCTTGAATAGTATTTGTAGTTTATATTATAGGATATAGATACAAAGATGTGGCACACATAACATGAAAATGGCTGAAAAGCCTAGATTAGGTATAAATTCTCGACTTTCTAGCTAAGATCAAGTATAGACTACGTAAGGATGATAAAATTTGTTGGCTGCTAGCCGCGTGCCATGCTTAGTACCTAGCTTTAATATGTTGGATACTAAAATTCATAGTTTTAGGGAAGAATAGTATATAACTAGTGTGCAAATTCGCACCAAAAACGTTAGCTGTACGAGCTACTCCGACTGTGGATCCTAGTGATCCTTACAATCATAAATCTTGTGACTCTTTCGTTTGACGTTTTTCTCTGACGTTAGGAGCTGTACCAGCCCGGCTACAGTCTTTGCTACACACGTCTTAGCCTATCCAGCAACTGACTGACTCAATTCAAACATAGTATAATGAGCTAATGGAATTGGACCCCAGTTCGCATTTGAGAAGTTTATCGTCATTGTACAAATCTTGCGCATGGCCGTCAGATGGCATCAGGTCACCAGCTGATCATACTGAAGTCTCTAATAAAAGGTATTCAGAAGAAAAGAAGCTCTCACACGACAACAAAGAAGAGATACTGCCAACTCTTGATTTGGAATCGCTCAAACATTTGGGTATGACCGCTCACCTCATCTTGGTCAAAATATTAGTGGACAAGGTACAAAAGATTTTGAAGCAGGTACGATGCATCGCGATCGAAACATTACCCAACGACCTAGATTTGTAAAATATTGATGCCTTTATTGTTGACATCGAGTTATCATGTCGTGGGTACGCTTCCTGATAATTTTTGCTGCTACAGCCACACAAATTTGCTCCGGATCATTGTTGCTGGAAAACAGCCATATGCTGCTGAGAAAAAAGCACTGTTTGGTTGCAAAAAGGGATAAAAGCTGGAGTCGTAGCCACAAAAAAATCACTCTACGAATGTGTCAAAGTCGTTTGTGTGCGGTAAAACTGTTGTCAAGAAGACGCCTCGACCAGCTGCGGAATACCGGCAGATACCGGTATGACCTTCACTCAGCAGTACCGCAATCATTCTTGTAATTATGGGACAATGTTTACGCCACGACAAGATTGTAGGTACATGATGGGATCTACGTGGCACTAACTGATTGGCTGAAGTACTCAGTATCCAGTAAAGAATCCAGTAAAGTGTATCCAGTAGGTAGGACAAGAGGCTTAGAGGTAGCAAGTAGCTTGTGAACTAAGGACGTAAATCAATCACTTTGCATTTTGCACCAAGCTACGAAAGTGACCTTTCTTAAAAAAAACAATGGAATGTTAGAATCAAGGAATGAGTGTTTGCTGTAATTCTACATGTGCGTGAAAGTCTACAATGATCATGACCTTCATCATGTAAATAATGTTTGAGAGATTATCTGTAAGTACAGTTTCGTTACGTATTTGACTTACTGACAAGATTGCTAAGGAGTCGTACACAAGAACAGTAAAATTTGCTGAGTTTAAAGAAATATTTAGCGAAGCTTAGGATAGATGACTTAATGAATTACTATTAGCGCTCTATAAGATGAATAATTACTTGTTAGGGTAAGCTTTGACATAATATGAGAAAGCCAAAGCCGTTGAATAGCGCGTAAAAATATGGTGGAGCCGCAATCACAATATATTTGTGATCCCAACTTTTCACTTGTGCCCAAACGGCTGTCTACTCTGCTTTCGTGTTTTATAAGCTATGCTTACTTTGTGTATCGGTTGTACTCTTCTTGATAGCTTGGGTCGGTGATGATCTTGATCGAATTTTAGATTAGTGGGAAAAACTTCCATTACGGTCACATACTATTGCTCGCGAGGAGCGCTAGTATATAATATGTAAATATCTTTGCAAGCTTGGCTTTTCAAAATGAAGGAGACTTTATTAGTCACTACTTTTACTCTGAGTCGCTGTCGTCTACGGACAGCAATCCCCAGAGATGGCCATGATCATGACAAATTAAGCTGCCATCATGGGCCAGCTGGCAGAACTGGAGTAGCATAGAATGGCACTCTCATCGCAGATAGGGAATACTTTCGGACCGGCAAAGCAAGCGATGATAACAGCGCAGAGAGGGAATATCTTCGGACCGGCAAAGCAAGCGATGATAACAGCACAGAGAGTGGCTGCGCTAGAGCTTGCGCTTATCAGACTGGCGTCATCGTCGTTTAAAAATCAAAATTCAAATTAATCAGCACAGGATCTGGCACAACGAGCATCGACCCAGGTGATGGAGATCGACAAGCTCGGAGACATGTTGGTTCCGAGTCGAGGATGAGAGACCAAAGCGCTTGCACACAGTGGAGCGCACTCAAGCAGGAGAATTAATGCCACCACGGCGAGTACAGGCAGGCGGAAGAGCGTCTTAGAACAGAAGCTGCAGCGCAGGCGCGCCTAAGAGCAGAGCACGAATATTTTTTAAATTTTTTTTTTTTTTTTTTTTTTTTTTTTTTTTTTTTTTTTTTTTTTTTTTTTTTTTTTTTTTTTTTTTTTTTTTTTTTTTTTTTTTTTTTTTTTTTTTTTTTTTTTTTTTTTTTTTTTTTTTTTTTTTTTTTTTTTTTTTTTTTTTTTTTTTTTTTTTTTTTTTTTTTTTTTTTTTTTTTTTTTTTTTTTTTTTTTTTTTTTTTTTTTTTTTTTTTTTTTTTTTTTTTTTTTTTTTTTTTTTTTTTTTTTTTTTTTTTTTTTTTTTTTTTTTTTTTTTTTTTTTTTTTTTTTTTTTTTTTTTTTTTTTTTTTTTTTTTTTTTTTTTTTTTTTTTTTTTTTTTTTTTTTTTTTTTTTTTTTTTTTTTTTTTTTTTTTTTTTTAATTTTTTTTTTTTTTTTTTTTTTTTTTTTTTTTTTTTTTTTTTTTTTTTTTTTTTTTTTTTTTTTTTTTTTTTTTTTTTTTTTTTTTTTTTTTTTTTTTTTTTTTTTTTTTTTTTTTTTTTTTTTTTTTTTTTTTTTTTTTTTTTTTTTTTTTTTTTTTTTTTTTTTTTTTTTTTTTTTTTTTTTTTTTTTTTTTTTTTTTTTTTTTTTTTTTTTTTTTTTTTTTTTTTTTTTTTTTTTTTTTTTTTTTTTTTTTTTTTTTTTTTTTTTTTTTTTTTTTTTTTTTTTTTTTTTTTTTTTTTTTTTTTTTTTTTTTTTTTTTTTTTTTTGCAGAAACTACGAAGAGGCGGAAAACCAAGTGCAGGGAGCAGCTGCAGTGAAGGCGCTGCAACAAGCTGCAATTGAAGAACAAGCACAAAAAAATGGCTAAGCTGCAGGAAGAATACATGAGAAAGCGAAATGAACTGCTGCGGCAGCATGATGTAGAGTGTCGAGCTGTAAAGGAGCGGAAGGCTAGCACTGCCATGCACCGAGCGGATGTAGAAGAACAGAAGCGCGCTGATAATGAACGCGAAGCCAAACTGATTGACGAAGCTCAGAAGCTGAGAAAGGTCAACCAAGAAGTGAACCTGACTGCAGAACATGTACAGCATCAAGTCAAGGAAGCTGTAAAACATGGTTTCCAGAGGGGCGTTTCTAAAGCAAGGGTGGAGCTTGTACCCCCATTAGCAGCGGCACGAGCTGAAGCGCGCAATGCAACCCCTAGAGCGGGCGAAATAAAACGCAAATATTGCCATCAGCAGCGCCTCGAGGAACAGCGGCTAGAGTGGGGACAGCAGAGAGGACTATGCTGCGACATAGATACCGTTATTTAAAGACGGTAAGATCATCATGGGGTTCTTTACTGGTAAGGAGCTTCATGGTGGACTTAAGGCTGGATTTAAGTACTGGGTAAATTGATTTTTTCATTAACGTTTTTTAAAAAATCTACCTAACGTGTTAGATGTTGACGATAGTATAAAAAACAGACGAATTTTGAGTAGAATGGGGTCAAAGATTAATTCGAAAAACTACAGCTGGAGTACGGCGTGGTGGTGCAGTCGGGTCCAAGAAAGAAGTGGCACAATCAGGGTGGTTGTGCGAATTAGAGTTGTAATGTTCAGGCCTGAAGCAAAGTCCTTAAAAGCTTGAACGGGTGCAGAAAAAATCAAGAGAAGTGGGTGAGGGAAGCCGTTGCAGTGATGCAAGGTCGTAAAATCGAGGCAGGCTGCGCTGAGTACCATGACCATGAACGGGTGTAAAAAGATATCAAACCAGATAGAAGTAGCTTGAGAAAAATTCTCGACCTAGAGGTGGGGGCGCACAAAAAATTTAACGCCCTGTCGCTGCGGAGTGGGGGAACACGGCATTTGCGAGATAACGGATAGCATCTACCGCATGGGAAGGCGTCCGTGGATCAAAGATAAAGAGTCCACTTACATCCGTTCGAGCCAAATAGAGTCGCTCCAAAGGGGAACGGCGAGTGGCGGATACGCTTGGGGAGTGCCTGCCCTGGTAGTAAGGCAGCGGCTTTGACAGGAACCACGTAGATCGTTAATGCAAAGATCAGCAAAATAGATCACAAGTCGCGCTAGAGAGAGACGCAAGCTTGCGGTCATTGGACCGAAAGAAACTGTCGAAGTCTTCAACGTCCATAGGGTCAACTTTGAAACTTTGGGAAAGACGAGTGGTAGTGTTCCAAACTTCTCCCGATTGAAGTGGCTTCGCACTATCAGAACGATAGGCAGCATGCCGCTTAAGAAGGCGAGTCTGATGCGCCACAGGCAACTTGAAAAGGCGGTGAAAGCACGCTGGCTGGACTTGGTCAGTGGCGGGGACATCATTGTGAGAGGTAAACGACGAATATTTCACACCCTAAGTACTCATCAATAAAGCGTTCGAGTTCGTGGACCGAGACTGGCTCAACCGTAAAAATAATTTCCGCGCGCTCATAAGAGAGCGAATGACGTTCGAGGCAGGCACAAGGTCGAAGTCCCGAAACCTGGTCATTAAGGTCATAAATTTATCCAGTTCGGACGGGCCAATATCCACATCAGGAGTAAAAGATGCATCATAACCGTCGTCGTGAAGAACGTCATACATGGTGGGCGTGACTGGAATGGAATAAAGTAGCGAATGGGGGTCATTGAAACCTTTATACAACCGGTACGCCACAGCGCGTGGAGCTTCAATCTATTTGAGCCCGTCCCGATTAATGATCCTATTCTGAGAGTGTTGAACCAGTTTTCACATAGAGTCGTCTGTAGCAACTGATCACAAGATAAGAAACCTGTCTTTGTGAGAGCCAGATGTAGCAGTTGGCGGTAGTACGCCCGTACCAGTGACATAGAAGAGGACGGGCTCGGGGTAGGCAAAGAGACGGATGGAAGAGAGTTTGCAGTGGACGACATCTCATCAGAAGTGGTGGCGCCGTCGTATCTACGCATAGTGGCGTCAGAGCGAGTAGATGGAGGGAGAGCAGGCGCCCGGAGAGATGGTGGCCGAACGCGGTTGAACCGCTGAAGCCGATGTTGATCAAAGTGTGGCCTTTTCCCCTCGAGAAAATGAATTTCCCTAAGTGAGTCGCCATTTGGCTCAAGAAGGGAGGATGGACAAGCGGCGGAATGAAAGTAGACTGTCCGTGACCTTGAGTTTAGTTTCCGAAGAACTTGGGTAGGCGTGATCAAGACCGAGTGTGCATCTCGGGCAACAAACCAGTGATACACAGCTGGGTCGGTATCATCAGCGGGTAAACGCTACAGATCCACATAATAAAGCTTGTCAGAGCTGGAGTACTTATATATAGTAACCATGATTCCACAGATCGAAAGTTGCACTTTGCCTAGGCGGCGGAGAGCATCGTCTGACGTGCAGACGAAGGAAATACCATGCCCAGGGATACGGTTGAACTCCCGAAGATGGGCGCGAGACTGGTGACAGACGGATGGTTGGCTTCCAGCCGCAAGAAATTCAAGGATCTCGTGAATATTATGATCGGCCGTTAAACGACTGGCAGGGATCCACATGCCAGTACATAGCTTACGCGCCACAGAAGTAGTGGTGAAAGAGCCGCAAAGCGACGGTCCACATCGGTTAAGTGGACGTCGTTGAATCACTGAAGACTCGCCCGAAACAAAGAGTCATCGGGCACAGAACGTGGGGGCAGGGTGGGAGCCGCCCGAGAAGCCGTGGCTGCCGGCGAAGGCGTGCCAACGGGAGTTGCACGAGTGACCGCCATCCTCAAAGTGAGGTGGCGACGTGCAATTAGGGGGAAGTCGCAACTGCGATTCGTATGAAAAAAGCACCGAAACAAATTCAAGTCGAAAGCACCTCAATACCAGGGCAAAGTAGTCGGTGCAGCCTAGTAGCTTACTAACAACGTAGCCTCAGTCAACAGAAAGTTAGATGAAGGGGATAACAGTAGAATCTATAGCACTGCCTAGCGCTCAAACAAGGACCACACTACGATGATAATAATTCTTCTAGTTTGAGACAACGAGTCGATTCCTTTCGGAGAAGACTTAGCGCAAGCAAGTTACCAAACAACAGGGATGAGCCAGCAGCCTAAGCTGAGAGCGCCAAACTGTATGCAAGAAGTAGCGTCGTGACGTAGTCCCAAAGAATCCGCAAAGAGAAACTGGCGGCGGCAGCGAGACGAGTGAAAGCCAGCGCTCCGCAAAGAGTGCTTCGAAGGTGGCAGAAGTTGTCCGGCGGAGGATAAAATAGGTTAGGGTTCGGGGGGTGATGTGTGTCCGAGGGAGTAAATTAAGAAGTGGTTTTAAGCACTGATGCCGGGGATTCAGCGGCGATAGAGATAGATGATGAAGCCTGCAGAATTTCGTGGACTGAAAAGTACAAGATTAGCAAACTCGGTGGATGCTTGGGCGGTGAAGCAGAGGAGTACTTAAACGGACTCAGAGATGAGTGGTGGGAAATTAAACCTACCCTGGCATGTGCCATGGAATGGATAAATGCAGCATTTCTTCTCCAGCGCACAAGTAAGTGGGTTTTTCCATAAAGAGGAAGAGCGCGCAAGATACCTGGCACGGATACAACTTGTATCTCATGGCCGTACGGGTGCCGCAGCGGCAATGGTTCCCAAGTGCATGATCTTGCATGCGTCTCTCGATTTGGGGCGTGTTCGGGTAAGACAGACCAGCAAGAATCGTAACAATTACGTTGTACTGCACTGGAGATCGTCCAGCAGTCGCAAAAGTAGGAAGATGTGGAGAAAAAGGCGTTACATTCGATAAGAGCCAGTATTCGCTCGAAGACGCGAGAATGCAGGGCTTGTGGTGTGATAGGACACATTACCTGAAACTGCAAGAACAGAGAGGATCGACAGGAAAGCGCGAGCAATCCTCGGTGGGCTCTTCCAGGGCTAACGCCTGGCGAATTTGACTCCGAAGACTGGATCTGGATTCAGGTTGTAGCACGCACTTGTTTGCTGGTGCGTGACCAAGAGGTGCTCTGTGACTGGAAAGATATGAATGATACTACCGGATGTCAGTTGCCGGACGGGTCCAGCATGAAAACAACTTCTTGCGGTACAGCTCGCATTCAGATTCACGAGGGCGGAAGCTCATGTCGGATTACCTTGAGCGATGCTTGTTACGCTCCAATTTTAGCGTTAAATCTTATATCATTTGGAAGTCTTGTGGAACAAGGCTGCAGCCTGGGTATGAATCACGGCAGACATGCTGTCATGAAGTCAAACCGGTTAGTTATGTACAAGAAAATCAAAAACAGTGTGTTGGTATTGAACGTTGGTGCAGAATGCCAACCCACAAGGAAACTCAAGAAGTGGTGATGAGTGCGGTTGCTGGCGCCACGGAGGGTGTTTACTTCATTTTCACATTTAATACGGACTATTGGAATGTTACCGATAAACCTTTTAATATGAATACATGAATTGCGTTAATGTAGAGCGATTGGCTAAGGGCCTCCATAATGGGATCGAATTAATGGATCATGTACGACAAAACTGCTTCACATGTGCTGAAGGCAAGCAGACCAAGACTATACAGCCTAGAAGGACACCGGAGAGGGCGCTCCCACAGACGTAGTTGGGGCACCTGAAGGGCCAAATTACGTTGGTCGACCGGAACATAAACCGGTATTTGATCAACTTTTGTGGACCATCGATTTAATTACTGCCGAGTTTTTTGTGGTTAAAACTAAGGATGCAGCTGCTGCAAATTGCTCAAACATTATATGGTTTGGTTCGAACAAAGGTTTAACGTACGAGTGCACGTCTTAAGGACCGACGGCGGGGGAGAGTACAAGACTCTAGACCTGTTCTGACGCAACACGGGCATTGCAAGACATAACTGAGGCCACAAGTCTGCTGATAATGGAAAAACAGAGCGCGTGCACTATCATGAACATGGTGCGGTGAATTCGGTGTGGATTTTCTCTTGGGTATTGGAGGGTATGCAGCTGAGTACGCGGCATACGGCTCAAACCGTATACCAACTCGGGCGAATACGGAAAGAAAGTCGCCCATTAAAGTGTTTAAAGGAAAAAGTACGAGCACCGTTGACGTCGTGGCCTGAAGCTCGCCCTTGTACAGTCGATCAAAACCCTAAATCAAGTCTGTTACGAAGCGAGGAACCCCAGGAATCATCTTAGGGAAAAACGAAGCAGCAAAGTGCTATACAATACTGTTGCCAAAATACCAGTCAGTGATTACTACGAGACACGTCAGGAAGGTTGTCACGCTGTATGACGAGGACAACAGATAACTTCAGCGGGTGCTCGCGGAAGAGGCTGAGGATGAACGGGAGTATCTGTCGCGCTCGCGGAAGGCTGACCTTGCTGCTTGCACACGCTCTGCCCTCACGACGCGCACTGCGGTCGCTCCTGCGCCATCCACGCGAGCGCCAGCGGACGACGGATCGAACAACCCTGAACCCAGACGGTCCGGAAAATAATTAAATCGAGACGTTCGCTAGAGGAAGGCGCTACCTCCGACTCTAACGCTGGGCCGTCCAGCTTGACGTCACGGTGCACTAGTTGTAGCCAACCTCTTTGCGTTGGTGGCCTTAGGGTAGGGGAGGAGTGGGTGCGTGTCCGCGATTATTAGGGGAAAGCATTGTCAAGTATGCGCACGGAAAAACCCGAATGTACTGACAACGCTTGGTGGTGCTACCATACAGATTTGATGCTTTCACGAGAAGTGAATAATTACAAGTTATCGACTTGAGCGGTTTATTTGACTGCATTTTTGGGATGCCGCGGCTTGCATGGTATCAATCCGACATTAATTGGCCGAACCGCACGATTCCACCACGTTACATTAATGTTAGTGCGGTTTGCCGCCCTCAACAGACCAAAGAGTACGTGGCAGCATGTTGCCATTGTGGACCCCAACTCCACGACTTATTATACCCCAAAGTGTGCGACAGCCCTTCGAGTGTGGTGTGTAACTCCGCAAGTTTCCCCCCCTCAGTTGAACAGCGAACCCAATCCGTTGACCCGGTCCGTCGATCCGGTCCCTCTTCGGTAGAACTCGGTCCCTCAAGGTGTCCCATGGTCCCTCACCGGTATTTCCCGGTCTTTTAAGGCAGATGACGGTCCCTCAAGGTAGAGTATGGTCTTCCAAGGATTAAGTTACTCCTGGCCGATAAACATAAGGAACTAAGGTACAAGGCAAGGATAGAGTAAAGGAGATGAAGGATAGGGTTATAGTAAACACTACTCAATTTGCAATCCACGTGGCAAGACTCCGTCACGCTCATTAGGAGCTTGTTAAGCATTTCAAACTGTTCCGGGAATGGGTACGCTTTGTTCACCCATCGAAGACAGTTGTTTGGTAAGACTCAAGTGAAAAGATATCTCCAGAATAGATTTGGCCTGTGGATTTGTGATGAAGCGTTTTAAGTATTGGTAGGCCAGAGAACCGGTGGGTCAAAGCGAAGGGGACCCACCAAGTAGGAGCAACCGTTAGGAAAAGGACAGAGAGACGGGGCGCTAAAAAGGGACGGGGGACGACCGTTCGTTGAGGAGATTGTACAATTTTAGCGTGCTCCATTCAAAGGAGTTAACCGCGGTTAGTCTGATAGACCGCGGTTCCTCGAGGTGGACCGCAGCCTTTTCGAGGTTGACCCCGGCCCCTCGTTGGTAGACCCTGGTCTTTCGTTGGTAGACCTTGGTCCCTCGGTCGGTGGACCCCCTCGGTCGGTAGACCCCTCGGTCACCTCGGCCCCTTGGCAAGCAGAATCAAGAATCAGGTCTCGGGGGTAAGGATAGAGTAAAGAAGTTAAAAGATAGGACTATATTAAATATTACTCAATTTGCAATCTACATAGCACACCTCCGTCGTACTTCCAATGTACTTACCAAGTCTACCCACCTGTTCCGGGAAGGGATACATTTTGGCCCCCCGTCGAAGACAGTTGTGTGGTATGACCCAGTGCAAATAGAGCCCCAGGATATATTTGTCCTGTGGGTTCGTCTGAGTAGCACCCCTCAAATCAACCCGCTATTGGAAGCGGTCTCCTTACCCTAGTGGTCCGGAGCAAGTAAAGGCCAGGCGGTTAACACCCCTGAGATATCAATTAAAAGGCTGGGGTTGAGTATCTACCTTGAAGAGTTTGGTTATAAGTCCACCCTCGGCCTAGTCGACCGAGTGGCCACCTATCCGCCTACCGAGTGAAGTATACCCACTCGAGACACCCCAAGGTCGACCTCGCCCAAGGCCGACATCACATCTCAACCAAGCCCTTCGAAGAGTGCAACTCGCCAGCCGACGGGTACACAAGGTGAGAGAAGGTCTGTACGCGGCATTAGGGTACCCCTTCCGACAGTCGGCAGTCCGGCACAGTGAGTGGCTTGGGGTCTAATTACGCAGTTTTGAGAGCCCATTCCACCAGAGATTCATCTCGAGAAGCACCCCCCCCCAATCGACCCGCTATGAGAAGCGATCTTCCTATCCTAGTGTAGGTCCACCCTCGACTAAGTTTATCGAGTGGCCACATGCTAGCCCAACAAGTGAAGCACATCACTCGAGGCACCCCCAGGTCGACCTCTTTCAAGGCCGACATCTGCATCTTCACCAATTCTTTTGAAGAGGGCAACCCGCCAGAAAAGGTGAGAGAAGGTCCATACGCGCATCGGGATACCCCTCCAATAGTCGACAGCCCGGCACAGTGAGTGGATTGGGGTCTCATCACACCGATTTGAGAGCCCACTCCACCACACTACCACCATCGAGCCCCAACATGCTGTGTGCTTATTTTTCTTTCGGTGCAGCATGCTATATGTGACTTGCTGCACCGAAATGACTGCTTGTGGAAAGGGAAGACATTCAGCCTTACTTTCGTTGATTGTGAGGCTAGATGCCGCCCATTCAGTGAGCGTTCTCCCCTCGGATTGCGCACCAATGTCTGGCATCTGAAGTACACAGACACACGCTACTTGCCGTCGGACGACGCGAAACTGACAATACCAATACATTCTGTTACCTCCGCAGGCTACGAGAGTGACATTGACTGTGTCTTGAGCAGCCGTAATGATACATTGCCATTTCACTCATGCAAATCCACCTGTTCACGCTTATCGTGTGCGTATTAGTAGCTATTGGTGTCCTAATTCTTGATATTAGATTGCAAATACAGAAATATTGGTTCCGATGAAGATGCAATTTTGATTAGTTTTGACGAATGTCTAAATGGGTCTCAACAAGTCCAAATGTTTGCTTAGAAACAAACTTTTAGTACTTTTTGAAGAATGCTCGTGTATTTTACCGCCCAATTTTTTTTAAGCCGCCCCCATGATGTAAAATTGATGTACTGACACACCGTAACTGAATTCAAACTTTCGAATGGTTTCTTTCGCATCAGGTAAGAACACTGTATACTGACTTAGCTTTCAATCCATGAGCAAACAAAATCCGTTTAATCCGTCACAATACCCTCGGTTTAGCAACCTCTTCTTTTCATTATATATTCCAGTATATAATCCCGGCCAGTCCGCAGTTAGTTCATCCTGTCCTGTACTACTTGATCTTAGCACAGAGTCATGGCAAGCCCGAGAGCAGAAGTCCGGCGTTTGGAACGCGTGTCATCACCTTCCCTTCTTTACACTCTGCCTCCATGCCGTAGCAATTCTCGCAAACGCTTGCATCATGCGTCAGAATCAGATCTTGCCAGGACTTCGAGTGGACTCAAGAATGGCGTCTCAAGCGCCAAAAAAAGCAAGAAGGACTCCTCAAATAGCATCAAGTGCAGCGTTAGTAGCAGCAAGAAAGTCAGTATCATCATACTAGTGCGGTCGTTACTGTTTAAAACGAAGTCCAAACGTCCTTGTTTCGTGTGTTTGTGCATCTAGGCGTTAGACCGCTTTATCCCGACGCGAAGTGCCATGAATCTCGACTTGGTCCAGTGTAATTCACCTGACACAGCGGCCGCCATTGAGGCATCTACCAACAGAAGAAACAACACTAGCCCCAGTTCCTCAGGAGGTACCTCATCCACCAGTACTTTAGCTGAAGACGAGGAGAAACAGATTTATAAGAAGAGGTTGGCTAGTGCTTTGCTGGGAAAGGAGGACGACACAAATCACAAGATTCTTAAGTTTACAAAGGACAAGCCAGCAGTGGCCCCGCCGGACTCATTCAAGTCAACGCTGCAGGCAAGATTCTCGCACAATAAGGTGACGGTGCGACCCGCTGCTGCTGCCAAGAAACTGAACCGCCATGTTCCCTCAGCGCCGACCAAAGTTTTGGATGCACCAGAGTTGATGAATGACTATTACCTCAATTTGCTGTCATGGGGAGCCAATAACATCCTTGCGGTGGCACTGGGTCAGTGTGTTTACCTCTGGAACGCAATTTCTGGTGAGATTGATGAGCTCATGGCTCTTGATGGAGACGAGTATGTAAGTTCGGTTCAGTGGAGTGATGCTGCGGGCGGTTCGGCGCATCTAGCTATTGGAACAAGTGAGTCCGTGGTGCAGCTGTGGGATGTCACTGCCTCACGTCAGGTGCGAACAATGAATGGACACTCGTCCCGTGTGGGTGCGCTGGCTTGGAACAGCTATGTGCTGTCGTCGGGCTCCCGTGACAGCACTATCGTTCATCACGATGTCCGAGCACGGCAGCATCAGCTGTCAACGCTGACTAGTCATGAGCAGGAAGTGTGCGGGCTACAGTGGTCCCCAGATGGCACCATGTTGGCGTCTGGTGGCAACGATAATGCGTTGTGCCTTTGGAAGGCTGGTAGTATTGGCACAAGCCGCAGTATGCAAAGCCCCGCACACCGATTAGAGCAGCATACGGCCGCAGTGAAAGCAATTGCATGGTGCCCATGGGAGCGCAATTTACTTGCCACCGGTGGTGGTACTGCAGATCGCACGATTAAGTTTTGGAACGCGACAAACGGTGCAATGCTGAACAGCGTCGACACAGGGTCTCAAGTATGCTCACTGTTGTGGTCTACCACAGAGAAGGAACTTTTGTCATCGCACGGATACTCGCAGAATGAGTTGTGTTTGTGGAAATACCCTAGTATGAATAAGGTGAAAGAGCTGACAGGTCATACTTCTCGTGTGCTGCACTTGGCAGCATCGCCTGATGGTCAGACGGTAGTTTCCGGCGCAGCTGATGAAACACTACGCTTTTGGAAGGTATTTGGTCCCAATCGTAAAGCACAGAAGACCGGGTCGAGCACTACTGATCTGAGTAGTTCATCGCTATCGAGTGTTATGAGCATTCGATAAGTCTACTGTTCTTGGATGGCACGGTCATGAAAGCATTTTGATGCTGGAATACAAGTTGAGATTGCTATGCTGGATGTATCGCGAATTGGTATGTTCAAATGGTCATTTAATGAAACGTAGGTATGTTCAAATGGTCATTTAATGGAACGTAGGTCTAACGTGTATTTGCTTGAATATTACTGTATTAGTTACTCTTGTATTCCTGATGCGCATGAGACGACAAACTACTTGACTAGTAGAAGAAACTTCACGCCCAAATGCGTGTCTACTGTATGTTGTATTCATGTTTCCAGCATTCCATCACCACAAGAGACATTGAGATAGTTGTTGACTCTGTATGGATGTAGTATTATACCTATATCAGCAGCTACTAAGTTACCAAAACGACGTCAAAACAATCACTAGACCACATCATCTCACATCAATCGTTGATCTCCGCCTCCATCTGTCTCTACTGTACTGTTTTCTTGGTATATTTGACCTATTTCGTGTTCCCACCAATCACGTGTTTATCAATCTATTTTTCATTTTATCCAATCAACTATCCTAACCTCCATTCCAATTTCTGATATTACGTTTTTATTACAAATTAAGTTCAGTGAAAAAAAATGAGGTTTGCCTTCGTTTCTTGCTTGGACCGATCGAAGTGACGCTACGTAGAGAGCACAAAAGGCAGACGACGGACCGTCGTATACCCCGATCGTCTTGACGACACAGAAGGGGTAGAAAAGACAGGCCAGTTTCGTATTATTATTATTATCGTAGATTGTCTTCATCCCGATTTTTCGCGTAGAGCTTTGAGCTTTGAAAGCATTTGTTTACGTCATTTTGATTGCTCAACTTGATAGTAAAGACGCGAGGTTTTGTCTATATTTGAGACTCTATTGATTGAGCACGTATGAAGTTATTGCGACTAAAGGTTCAATTACTATTGGGAGCTACGGCATTGGGTTATGGTATTTGTTTTATACTTTGTGCATGGCTTGTTCTTTACATGCGTCATCATTCGTCTGGTGCATTACGTGGTGACATCAGAGCTGCACGGAGAGTACTATTGCCTGCATTTCAACCACTTTTATGGCTCTTAACGGTAGTATCTTTCATTTACACGATATGTTTTAGTTTAATCCTAGTACGAAAAATGAAATTCACGGATTCAGTTCGCGTCAGGTCCGAGATTTATTACAGTGGACGATTGTTTGTAATGGCGTTACCAGTGTTGTATCTTCAACAACGAGCAGTAACAACAAGAGCATTGATTCGAGCTTCAATCTGTTCATTCTTGCTTGCAGTATATAATATCCCGATAGTATGGGTAGTGGATTCGACAATAGATGCAAGGATAGCACATTATCTGACCATGTCGACAGGAGTTTTGCCACTGCTTATACTTGGATGGGTATGTCTACATCCTCCAGAGAGAGCTAGTCGTAAGACGTTTCGAGAGTATGCAGTGTTTTTGATGGTTTATTATATCTTGCGCCTGGTCTTCAATGAGCTGTATTTTGCGGGTCCAGAATTTGCAAATGTAGCTTTTATGACTACATTGGCAAGTGTTTTCTGGGGATCGCTGGCTCCGGTGGTCATTTGGCGCGTTCTCAAGGCAGATACAGCACATTGGCGGGGTCTTGGAAGACGTGCTGTGCATCTCCAATCACTTTTTCGACAGAAATATCACTACCTTCACGAGCACGTGTCGTCACGGGGACTCCATGTTCTTATTGAAATGCACCGAAAGCAAATTATTGACTTTGCTTATCTGGAGCTACAGAGAAAGATTGGCGCGGGTACAAACGCAGTCGTGTTTCGAGGCACACTTCATTCAAAGATTCCGGTCGCAATTAAAGTATACACACCACGAATCTTATGCGAAGATGTTGTGGCTGCGTTTTCACATGAAGCCGCATTATGCGGTGCTTTGCATCACCCAAATGTCGTCCGATTTTATGGCATGTGTGTGTACCCGCCTGCTGTGTGTCTCGTTTTGGAATTGTGTCGAGCCTCGCTCGAGGATGTCACGCGTGCCAGTGCCAGGATACGGTTAAACCGGCGCAGTCGACAAGACACATGCCCTCAGAACCGACGGCAATGCCATGAGCTACTGGTTGATCTGAATTACATGATTGATGCCACACGTGCTGTTGTGTACATGCACAGTTTTACGCCAGCTTTCCTGCACCGCGATATTAAACCGTCAAACTTTTTGGTTGACGATTACGGTACTTGCAAACTCACCGACTTTGGTGAGTCGCGCAGTGTTCCTATCGAACAAAAAGGTGATAGGGCAAAATATGTGAACGAAAATAACGCAACGGCAGCGGCAACTGTGGCAACGTCAGCAACTGTGTTTTTCGGAGAGTCGTATAGGGAAATCCAAACGCCGAGCACCTCCGCTCAAATTGTGCCCCCTCCAATATCTCTGCGGCCTTCTCTGCGTGATCGTGGACGAAGTGCAATGACTGTGCGTGGTACGGCAGACTATATGGCCCCTGAGGTGATCGAAGGCAAGGCCGGTACAGCTGTTTATGGCGAAGCTGCAGATATCTACTCGCTTGCTATTACGCTGTGGGATATCATGCATCCTCTTGTTCGCAAGTACCCGGAGGCAACCCGGAGTCATCTTCAGGTATTTGATAGCGTACTCAATGGTGAACGGCCTCCGCTTAGTCAGTCCCTACATCCTGAACTGCATCGACTACTGACTGATGCCTGGCACCAGCAGCCGGAACGTCGACCATCTGCAACGTATATTCTCACAACGCTAGAAACGCTTCAGCAAGAGGCTCTCGCACAGACGGCATTATGTCTTGTTACAGAGCTTGATCGTGTTGAAGCGCCATTTGCGATGATAGAAGGACAGCTTTTTATGCAGCGCATGATTGAGCTTGATATCGTGGACTCGGCATCAGAGGCTTGTCGTCTGGGGAACTCACTGATGAGTGCTGGGGTTTTGCACCATTCTCAGCACGCAGCGTCTTTCCGGCAAACATCGGAGCTATTCTATATTGACGCGGAGATGGTGGGTTTGTATGCGCCATCAACTTTTACTAGTGCCTTTCAGACGCCCGCCAGTCGTCGTAGCTCTGCTTGCATCAACGATCAAACGCCGTCAAGCCAACATATGTCAAAGAAAAAGTGTCAGCGTACAATGGATTCTCCTGCAACAACGCGCTGTTTTTCACCATCTGGTGAAGAAAGGCGTAGTTCGACGACTGCATGTCATCGAGCAAGCGCCGCATTGCGTATGTGTGCTTGCCAAAAGCTTGGTCGTAGCTTCATTTTTCCAGAATGTCGTCAAAAACGTCGATTCCGACGAACGACAAAGTGGTTTTCCACCATGGAAGAAAGCATTTCAACTGGAAAGTTTTTTTCCCACGATCTCGAGTCGCAACATTCTCTTGCAGAGACGGATGAGTTTGAAGATTATAACAATTGGGAAGACACGGATTTGAGAACTATCACTGGCGTGAACTCGTCCGTTACAAGTGTTGATGAGGGTTTGGAATTTGATTTTGGTGATACCGATTACAATACTCACGTTCATTTTGACAATAGCTGGGGCTCGATACAAGATTTGTGAGTGACAATCATTTCGCTATATTTAACATTAAAAAGTCATGTGTTTGTTGTATCCTGTGTATTATGATTCCATGTATAATAAAGAAATCGAGTTGTATACGAAATACCGTTTACCTTAAAATAAAGATAACCGTGTGCTTTATTCGCTTATCCATTCCCTGAAATAAAGCATTATACAATGTTTGCCAAGCCAATTAAAGTGAGTGGAAACGTGCTACTGAAGAATAAAGACGCTAAGAAACTTCGTCGTGACGTGGCTGAGCGCTTTGAATCGACCATTGAAGGTCCCGATGATTCAAATCTAAAGCAATTGCTCACGTCCAAGACTGTTATTAAGAAAATCAGCTTCCAGGCGCCATCTCGTGTCGTCGTTTTTACTGCAGAAGAGACAAAGGAGCCGCTCATGTTTGATGTAACAGGAAAAGGTGATTTTTGCTTTAGTGTGTACGCACTATGGCGAGTTCCAATGCTGTTGCCTCCACTTACGGTACATGCACCTGTGAGTGAATTTGTGCTGCGTGGAGCGGACGTGATGCTGCCAGGTGTTGTATTTACATCCATGGAGCAGATCCAGACGCTGTGCAAAGGTGAGCTACGAGCTGTTTATGCCCAAGGTAATCCATGTGCTATTGGTGTGGGTGAGGTGCTAGTGAATGCAGCGGATGTGGAACGTAGTGGCATGAAAGGAAGAGCGCTAAAGCTCTGGCATGTGGTGGGAGATTTGTTGTGGCAAATGGGACCAAAAACATTGCCGAACGAGGGTTTTTTGGACGATTGCGTGGTGCCAATTGCACGAGGACAAGAAGAAAAAGACGATGATGATGGTGGTGGTTGGACGTTGGAAGGTGTGAAAATAAAAGAGCAGAAGCAGGAAGAAGACAAGGAGAGAAAGGAGATGAACGAGGTGACTAAGGAGCAGATGGATAGCTACTATGTGGCTGCTTTGTTGCAAGCGCTAAGGACCTTGCAGATCCGCGAGATGGAGCTACCGATGCTAGCGAGTTTGTTCCATGCCAAAGTGTTGTTGCCATGTCGTCGTGCTGGTGTATCGCTGAATATCAAACACAGCTCGTTTAAGAAATTGTCCGTGTTCCTGAGGGGAATGGAAGCGCATGGATTGCTGACAGTGGCTGATAATGATGGTGTGCAGTCAATCACAGCAATTTGCAGACGCCACTCGTACGTGGTTCAATCGTTTTGTCACCAACATAGACTCATTACACTGACACGATAAATTGCTGCTTATCGGGTAGGGATGTGCTGTCGCATGAGGCGTATCGCACGGCTGCTGAAGCGCAGCAGGAAGAGCAGATTGCTGCCAATAAAGCGGCAGGGCTTTCTGATTTTGCTCCTGGCCAGTACGCACCTGAAGTGGAGGAGAGTGTCGGTCTACCGCCTGCGTTAAAAGCGCTGCTTTTGTCTGATGCTCCTGCTGGCAAGCCGTTGCAAAAGTACTGGTCATTTGCGATGATTCGAGACTTGGTGACGCAGTATATCGAAAGTCAAGGACTAGTAGAGGCTGGAAACAAAAAGTATGTGCGGCTGAACGCCCCTCTTACAGACGCTTTGTACGGCAAGAAAGTGCCAGTCGGTGGATACCCAGAGCGTCTCACTCGACCAGAAGTGTTAAACCTCCTGTTGTCCAAGTGTACGCACTACCATCGAATAAAGCTTTTCCCTACGCATGCAGCGAAATTTCGTGGTGGTGCTGTACGTCCGATTGCGATTCACGCAGGAAAATTGAAGCGCCGAAACAACACGACAGTTACAAACATTGCGTTCTATCAGCAGTTTGGCATCGACGGTGCCACATTTGCCAAAGAGGCGCAAAAGAAGTGGGGGTGTAGTGCTACACTTCAGATATCTGAGGACAAAAGCAAAGGCGAAGAGATTCAAATTCATGGTCAAATGGTAAACGAGGTGTTGGAATATTTGAACACCAAGCATTGCATTAATGCTAAGTACTGCATCGTGACATACGGAAAGGGTGTCAAAGCTAAGAAGAAAAAGTAAGTCGATTAACGTGTGCTTGAACGAGTACATTGAACTGCAGCAGCCGTGAGGTCTATCCGACTGGCAAAGGCGTTTCAGGACGAGGCACGAGAATGTCTTCTATTAATGTATTGCAGAGGAAGCAAACGAAGTACCCGCTTTGCGTTTCTTTTTCTTTTTGTTGCGAGACGTGGCCGCGTCGGTTGTCGCGGTTCTGGCTGTCGCCGATGCGTCACAACTCGCCGTGGTCGACTTGATCTTGGTCTTGCTTGACGGCTTTTGCTTCTTTGCCGACTTTTTGCGCTGTTTATTCTTGATGCGCCGAGCCTCGATTGGGTGGCGAAGCATGGTGTGATAAACCACTAGCGCTACAATACAGGCAAGCGTGAGATAGAAAGATAAATGAGCGCGGGACAAGCCATAAGTGGCCTGAACAGCAGCACAAATCTGAAAAATCATTGGCACAAGAGCATGCATTGTCAAGTCTGCCTTGCTCGCTTCCAGGAAGTCTTTGTACTTGGCAGCCTCCTGGAAATTTCCATTTCCACCTCCGCACAACCGGCACGATCGGATACAAAAGTCACAAAAGTCCCGTGAGTTCTTGAATCGGTACACGCAATCGCACGAAACAACACGGAATGTTAAGCCCACGTACACCACTTCACCACTTTTGCCCGCCATAACGCGACGCGTTGTTTGGTCACTAAATTCTACAAGAACAGCCCCGGGACCGCCATCCTCAAAAACACACTTCGGACAATTTTCAGCCGTGATCTTAATGGTATTGGCTGAATTACTCGAGGATTTTCCGTACACAGTTGCAGCATCTTGTCCTGATGAAGCCCCAAAAAATGCCGTCGGGGGCAGTGGAATCATACAGTCAAGCGATAGACTGACAAGGAGCGTGAACACGTTCAAAATTACAATATAGGATCCACCTTCGATCAGCAGATTATTTGAGATACCTGGCGGCGGTAATCGCACAATTCCAGCAAAGTACGCCACCTTTCCGACCCATGGGAATATGGACAGCAACAACACGGCAAACAACGAACGTTTCATACGTTGCTGGTCCAAGGTTCCGTCAGTATTACCACCGAGGGCCAGCATATACAAAACAAAAACCAAGAATGATACGAGTACCAGCAGAGCCAATATTCTGGACACCTTCACAGACGACGAGCTCGCAGTTTGTCCAATAAGCTGCGCAGTCCCGTGGATCATAATAACAAGTATCCAACTGCGAAGCTTGAGTCGAGTAGTCACGCGGTTTAGGGTCGACACAACTGGTGTTAGAATAAAACGCTGTAACAACGAAAAGATTTTTGCGACCGCGTATAACAAGCCTAGCGCATATGCGTAGAGAATCATGAACTCAGCAAATATCGATGCAGCAGCAACCAGACTTATCGTCAGCTGTTCATCAAACATCAACTTGGCATAGCCAAAGTAACTTGCCCCAGCCGCTATAGCGAGAGTGAGTACAGCAACGGCTGCTGTTGTCTTGCTCGAGCCGACAGTGGATCTTCTGTTTGAGAGAAATGTCAAACCATGCTTGACAAAGGTAGGAGCGTGTGCTACAGGGTGAAGCATCGACGTAAATGCTGGAAAGTTCTCTTGGCTAAAATCTTGGCGAGATGATATCGACTGCAAGTTGAAGCGGGTCTGCCACTGTGCAACTTGCGCGTAGAAAATCTGCAACGTCAAAGCATACATTATCACAATCACCGTCATGAATCTAGTGCGCAGCAGTTTGGTCAGAAACTGTGGAAGTAATAGCGCATATCCTGTGTACTCGCCGGGGTAGTAGCCATCCTGCACGTAACTTTGATGCAATGAGATATTTGCAACGGTCTCAATCTTCACACCATCTTCTGCATTCTCTCCATCAAACAACGTCTCTCTTGCAATTGCAAGTCGCGCACTTGGACTATGTACCAGCTCCTTTGTCTCAAGATCTACTACTTTGTACAAACTCTGTGCTATAACCTTGAGCAACTGATGACACCATAACAAGCAGAAATGATCCACTGGCGTCTTTACCGCTGGAATTGCTGATGTCAGCATCGCAAAGGCACGTGAAGGTTCTGTTACAGTGTCCACGCTAGTCCATGACGTTTGTACCAATGTATCCTTATGTCCCCCTGCAATGGACACATAGACCACATCGTCGTCTTGTTTGTCTCTCTTTGATTGGATTCTATCATACACAGCATTCATTTCTGGATCAAATGGAAAAGATGGTCGATCATAAGGCACACCTAATGCCACAACATGTTGAATGGAATGTTTCTTGTAATTTGGCAGCAATTCCGCCGTACGTGCGACAATGCCACCCATGGAATGGGCTACAATAATGACACTGTCAGGAATCACAAGCTGCTGCTTGTTTCGTTTCTTCTGTCTCTTGTATTCACGAAGAAGAACTCGGACAATAGTATTCAGATATACAGCTTGATCAGTAATGTAATTGCCACAAAGTCCCGTCGGTTCTTCATTGAAATCAAGAGCAAAGAAATCAAAAAGATGCTCATCAATGTCATAGAAATGACGAGATAATGAACGTGCTTGCTTGTAACTTCCCATATGACCAGGAAGGAATAGAACAGGGACACCAGATAGAGAATCACGTGGGGCTTTCATATCTACACGGTAAAACTGGTATTTTGAATGTCCAGGCACTGAACGCCACGTCACGGGCGTGTATACGGGCCATGACCATGTCATTTCACATGCCGATTGATAGTTTTTTGTAGTGATAATATCTACAAGAAAGATTAGTGTCAGAATGACACTAAAGAGTGCTAATAGAGGCAGCAACAGCACGCGTTGTATCGCCATGATATGATATGAGGTCACACGACGAGCTCTTTTAGAATGAGGATAATGAGGAGCGGTATTGATACCGGTTTTTCTCCTGTCTCGGGGTATTTCCATACATGTTTTGTCACAAAAGTACAGCACATATCCACGAATCAACATCGATCAATAGGATAGAGATACTAAACGCTTCATTAGAACAATGAAGGTGACAATCAAGCGCTGGCATGGCGTTGCGACGTGGAGATGGGGTGTAGATGAAGAATGTTGCGGTATCTGTCGTTGTGCATTTGAAGCAATGTGTCCAGACTGTACAATGCCAGGTGATGTCTGTCCTCCTGTATGGGGTGCATGTAATCATGCTTTCCATATGCATTGTCTCCTGAAATGGCTTGAATCACTTGCATCCATGCGTCAGCATTGCCCCATGTGTCGTCAGGACTGGAAGTTTCGCAACTGAAAACGTGAACGACATCAAGTCAAGAGCAAAGCACACTGGATCAAATGCACTGCTTGATTTAGTTGCACACTCTGTCTCTTGTTGTCTTGCTCAGTGTGTGTGTGTTGTTTCTTTTTGACTCGGTTTTTTTTCTTCTTCTAGTGCTGCTGCACTCTCATCAGCTTGAGTGTACGTTCGTGGTATACATTGCGTCGAGGCAAGTACGTGGAGATAAAATGCATCACATTGATATCACCATTGGCAAATTGCGTCGCAATGTCATCCGTCTCGTTTTCTACATCTTTTATGGCTGTTGAGAGTTGCGCCAATAGTGCGTCTGGTCGATGGCGCTGCACAAGAAAAAGCGTTAGTTTTTGCAAAAGATGCATGACATAAGAGATGATTGTTTACGTACTGCGGCAATATGCTGCTGTCGCACTCGCTTCTCAGCCAACGCCTGGTGTGCAGCACGTAGCTTAGTGCGTTGTGCCTCAACCAACGTCTGCAGTTGACGCTGCTCGCTCTCGTAACCCAATGTTGTCCTTGCAATCCCCATGTTGCTGTGCAATACTTCGTCTCTCAATTGGGTGAATTCTTTGACCGAAGATAATTCCTTAACAAACTGCTTGAGTGCACGTTTATCTGAACTTAGCATCTCGAGCTGCGACAGTCTACACGCATTGCAAGAAAAAAACGATCAGACACTCCAGTCTTCGTCAGTTCTTCGTCAGAAAGCCTCAGACTTACGAAAGCTCCTCTAGTTCTGGAAAGGTCGCAGGAATTACCGGCATCTGTGTTCGCTGTGTTTTACTAGTAGCTGAAGTTTGTTGTGTTGGTTGTTGAGTCTGAGCCTGTGGAGACGGTCGATTTGATAATGCATAGCTGGCTCTAGATCCAGGATACTGCAACAATGATGCAGCAGGTGCAGGTGAGCTACTTTGGGCCAGAGACACTAGTGATTTTTTCGCTGCAATACGCAATTCTGTGACAATTTCCGACACGATCCGTCCAAGATCCGAGTGCGCTGTCCACCTGTTAAGATCCGGATGGCCATGTACATTGCCTGCAGTATCCAGCCATCGATTTTGCAGTGGAATCGACGCCTAATATCACACCACGGTAGGTAAGATACTGCTCAATATAACGTAACGAATGATATTCATCTTCACCTTCAGCTGAGGAACCTTCACTGGAAACTCGGACGTCAATTGTCTACAAAACGACACATTTCCATCAATTTTAGACCTTGATCATCTCCATTTTCAATGCAATTCGCAGCTTACAATTGCAAAGATAACGGTCCACGAGATGTGTCGGCTATTGGCACTTCAAATATCGTTTGTTGTTGATTTTTAGCTCGACCTCCAGCACGCACGAGACTCGCCAACTGACGTCCTCTCCTAAGACCACAAGAACGTTTCATAGTGTGAAATCTATAGCTATATAGCAAGTAAATAACAAAGAAGATGATAGATTGTGTCACTTACAGCCGCTCAAGCTCACTCAGGTGCGTTTCCTGCGATGAAGATCTGCTCGAGGAGCTCCGGTACCCAAAGAATGACATGTTGGGAAAATGAGACGATGTAATCAATTTACACGTGGATGTACACGTACCTCGTTTGAGTGACATTATGGCTACATCCTATGGGTAGTATTGTTTTCATTAACGGACGCAAGAAGTTATTGCAATATTTTACGGTCGTAGTAAATTATTGCAATATTCCTTTAGTAAGAGCGCTTTTTTCGAGCCATTTTACGACACAAGGAGTGAAAAAGTAACAAGAAAACCAACCAAAACGTTCAATTCTTCACATTATAACTTGATCATCTACTGACTACACATCCTTCCTTACTATATTTATTGATTAACAAACTGAATCACTAAATCCAAAGATACTTTTTTTGTCTAATGGGCATAGAATGAATACCTAATCACGATCAATAACACCACGGCTATTGGCAATAGCAAATGTCATTTGCTTTGCAAGCACCATCTTACTCGAATAGGCTGGTAAATGTAGCGTATTGGTACATGTCCGTGCAAATGGCAGTGCACGATCGATATCGGAAGTATCAACAACACGACGGACAACTTCAAATGGAGGCTTCAGTGCCTGAAAACCTCCTGGAGGTAAATTTGGACAACCCGTTGCGTACAGTAGAAATCCTCGTCGCTCTGTGGTTGACATTTCCTCTAATACTTCAAAGAAAAATTGCACTGGTTGGCTGTCCTTTGTGTACCCATGTGCAAGCTTTGTGTCCTTCATCAATGAATCGACGTTCCATTGAATATCTTCCTCACCGCATAGTAATGACAGCAACTCTGGAACAAACAGCAAGCGTAGTTTTGCCAATGGAAGTACCTCGCTGATACCTTCACGAAACGCTAGCACCTGAGCACGAATACCCGAGTCGAGCCACAGCTCGAGCACAGCCCGCACATATAGCGTCAAGTTATTTGGGGTCACCGCAATATCTTCTCCACCAGCAACCAGAGGCTCTTGCGAAAGCGGATCAATAAATGTAAATCCTACGGCATCCAACCAGTCTTGGACGTCAATATGATCGATTTGAACATCCTGCTTTCCTGCAATAAGCTTCTTTGAAGCTTTGTACATCGAATACAGAATTCGCCCGTGGCTCAAAAAGATATCGCCCAGTTCTTCCAGCCCAAAACTTTCACCAACTACTAGCTTTATAAATTGCGGTGACAACGGTAACGGCAGCAAACGCTCGTCCATCAATGCTTTGCCTGCTAGCCTCCCCATCATTCGAAAACGCTGAATAAGCTTTGGACTCGGTGTGCGGTGAGGATATGGGAACAATCCATTGGAGTGACAAATCACAGGTGCGTCATCTACGATGTCACCGATGGTGGCAACTCTCTGTTTGAACTCAATCTCGTCGTCCTCACCAGGTATCCAGAATCGATCCTTCTGATTTTCAGTAACCACTTGAAGTGCATGTGCTATCGTTGAGTAGAAGGCCGCCGTCACTCCAGAGCCGTAGCCCTTTTCACCAACAAATATCACATCCAACACAGCTTTGCGCTTCGCATGCATCTTCATCACTGCCTCCGCAGATTGTAGGACATTTTCTCGATAAACCTTGACGCGTTCTTTTGGAATAGGCGATATGGAGATCTCTTGATTGTAAACGCCACCTCCGACCATGGAAGATATTCCCAGGTCGGTTGAGCTTTCCTCGATATTCAGCCGATTGCGAAACCAGTGTAGCGAGCGGGTGCAACCAAATGATGTAGACCGGAACAACCTCTCTCGTAGATCGCGTGGGAAAAAGAATTTGCAATGGGTCACTAGCGCATCGCACCAGGGCGGATAAATACCACTACACATGGAGAGCACATCTTGCATCTGTCTCTCCAGCTTATTATACAATCGCGGACTCGTCCATAATGCTTCGTCTTGAGACGCCGCATCCGCGCGGAATTGAAATAAATAGCGGAACAAGCGTACAGCGCTTGCTACCGAGTCAGGCACGACAATCCCATTATGCGAGCCGTTATCAGCCTGTGTGTCGATGATCCGACCTAACCACCGCAACTCATCTGTAGCGTCATAGCTGCCAAGTGTGGCAACACCATGCGACAACAACTGTGTCGGTGGTTTAGCTGCTATCGCTGATAAAGATTCTAATGATCCAGTACCACGGCCCATCAAATCAGAGACGCTTGTCTTGGGTGAAGACTGGGCCTCCCATTCGATCTGGAAATCACAGTATAGTTCGTACGTTAGCTTCCAAGGCGGTAGCGATGTGCCCGTTGTGGTGGAAGTCGTATCGCTGCAGGAGGGACTGCCACAGGTCCAAGAATGGTTTTCACGGCGCAAATCCTCGACACATTTGAGCACATTCTGGTCAGCAGGGAATCCACGAAGAACCAAAGGCTGTCGCACTTTATTGCTGGATCTCGTTGCAACAGCTGCCTTGGAGTCGTTATCAAACAAATCTTTCTCCTCGGCGTCGTCGCTGCTACTGCGGGACGCACTGGAAGCCAAGTATTTCTCCGAATACCCTCGTGACCGCAGAAATTTCAGCATCTGTTTTGATTTCGTTGCATCCTTGCATTCATGCACCACAAACGAAATAAATCCTTCCAATTTCAACAGTCTCCGATTTGTATCGGGGTCTGCATATTTCGAAAAGTTAACGCAATATTTCGCAATTGATTCGGTGTGACAAGATTTCTCTGCGCCGCGTACCGCCATCATAAACGCAATAAATTTTTCAATATCCCAAGAAACTCCGATTTGCACACCCCATTGGCCTACAGGTGACAGCTTCCTTCGTTTTTTCTTTTGTGATGCCCCCGACACGCTGAATGAGTTGAAAATTTCAAGCAAGACCTTACGTGCACCAGCATTTGCCTCAAATCGCTGTGTCGATGAGTTCAGCTGAATCAAAAGTGACGATGCAGGCGCAGCCTTATTCATCGTGCTTTTTTTGTCAACACGCTCCAGGCCGAGTTCGGATGAAACAACAATCCGATCCTGCGCTGTAACACTTGTCGCATCACACTTGCGGAACCCCACCACCAAGCTAACTTTTGGCAGTTGTGAAACAACCATCTTGGGCTTGGCACACTGAGGCTTAAGATACCTTCGTACTGTTAACAAATTCTCGTCATTTGACTTTTCTTGCATAAATACTTTTTCCTGCATAGATACCTCGGGCACCGATGCAGCTGCTTCGTCCTCGGTTTGCACTTCGCTTCCAGTCGGCTCATGTGGTAGCGGGGATAATTGTGCGCCATGTGTCGTAGTCAAAACATGCTCACCATTATCCACATCGTTGACCATACTACCACTGATTGTAGAGTTGTGCAATATCAAACTTCGAAGGTGAGCCATCGCTGTGCCTGATAAACCTTGTCCACCTCCATTTTGACGTTGCTGTAATGATCCTGCAACCTTGTCAACCGCTCGGTGAATGGCGGAGGTGCTGCCGTCATTGCCATTGCGTTCACCGCCAAATAGCCTGCTCGACCCACTGCGACCCGAAGCCATTTGCAGTGCCGCCAAGAGACGAGAAGAGCTACGACCGGGCAAAACGCCCCCATCAACAGCAAATTTAAGAATTCGGTCTTGGTTCACCCTCACAGTAAGAGGTGGTTGAGATGATCCAAAAGAAATATCGACCAGAACGGTAGTGAATTCGCAAACAGAATCCGACCCAGGAGGAAAGCTCTTGATCGTTCCTGCCACACAAAGACCTGTAACTGATGAACCTGAAGGAGGCAAAACCCACACGCGGTCACCAACGTTCCCAGCCACCAACGAGCTGTCCCTAGCCGAAAATAGTCGTCGCATGCTCATTGCCTCAATTCGGTCGCCCTCCTCTCCGACTTTGAGGAGTGTTGCCTGATGTGCAGGAAAACGGACACGATCCTTCTTTACGCAACTTTTCTCAGAGTCGGATTTCATTTTCACATCGAACAATACGCTTGCAGTACCACTCGACAAAGAGTCATTACTGTAGATGCGAGTGACTTCTCCAAAAGCACCATCCACTTTGACCACGCTGCCCACTTGTGGCTGAATCGTCCGCGGGCGAAGACAATCAGCTGGCACATTGCGAAGGATTCGGTTGTCAGCCAGCAGCTTTATCGAGTGAGTGTCCTGAGCGGCAAGTTTTTCTTCGCATGTTTGATCTTTCGAATTACGGGTCTTGTCTGATTCATTTACGAGTGTTGCCGCATACCAAGCTCCTGGCAGCTTTGCCATTTTCAATACACCAGTATTTCTTACCTCCACTTGGCAGGTGCTATCGTTATCATGCTGCTGTTTTTGAGTGGCAGACTTCCGTTTGCGCTTGTTCTTCCGTTTCTTTTTGCTATCTGCAAGATGACCAGCATCCATGGCATGAGGCGGTCCAAATAGCGTTAGATCCAGCGCAATATTTTCGTAAGCTTCTACATTTCCGGTCAACTTGCATTGAGAGTCATGGAGTACCATTTCAGCTAAATCATCGTCTGTTCCACCACTTGGTCTAACCAAGTGGGAGGACCGTGTATCATCATACCCCACCACTATAAACTTTTTCCATTTGCCCTCCACCACTTTCTGGATAGAATGTCCCACCAAATTGCAGTACAGCAAAGACAGGTCTGAATCAATCACAGGAATGCATCGAAAAACCGATCTTTCAAACGACTGAAAATGAGCCAACGGCGATAACTGAATCGATCTTTCCTTCGGATGATCGCAATTACCGATATGCTGCCTGGCGCCAGCATTTCTATCAAGTCGCACAAACACAATCTTTAGCTGTCGAGTTAGTGGGTACAGCTCCCTTCCTTTTCCAGCATTGAAAGAAACCAACGGAAACGTTTCTTCTTGAGTGATAATACTTTGAAGACGAAAAATCAGATGCTTCAGTGCCAAGGGGCAGCGCTCGAAAGCGCGCATTAACGCCAAAGCTCGAGTTTTATCAAGATCACCCTGCGGGGAGAGATACTGAAGGACCGCAGGCAAAAGCTCCGACTGCTTGAATTCGTACGTCGTGATAGAATTTGGCTGCTCAAAAAGATCCACCAAATCTATCAAAATTAGATGTTTCTCATGCAACCGAGACTCATCAGAAAACTCTCTCAAACGCCTCGCAAGATTGCGCATCTTGTGAAGATAAAGCATGCCACTTTCGAGCACGTCTGACTGAAGCGACTTCAGCAAATTTAGCCCTCTGCCAAAGATTGTGTCGGGATGTCCCCGGGAACAACTGTCATCGCGGCCAGTGCTGACCCAGCATGCTGATGCATCATTCAACAGCTCAATTTGCTCTCGAATGCCCCTCCTTTCGATTTGATGGAAGAGAGAAGATTCCTTAGACGACTTTCTCACCATAACCTCCAACATACGAACTGCTAAAATAAATGACGGCAGATTTTGAGCGGCACTGGCTACGTCGTGTGTAGCCGTCGGCGAAGAGCTTAACATCGCCTCATTTACTGAACAAGTTAATGCGACTGCGTTATCCTGGCGCAGCTTCGCGCCTTGAAGCAAGAAGTATATTGTGTCCAAAATAAGCACCACGTCCACCTCTCTTAACGCGTGAATAAGCTGTGATGGTGCCATTTCCAGCACACATGCTACAGTACAAATGACAGAGCGCTCCACATTCTGGATATCCATATCATGAAGCACTGCTAATAGACATTGGGTAATGGCGACACTAAATTCATAGACCTCAACAGCTGTGGCGCTACAGGCTTCGTTTTCCAATATCATATCGTCATTCTGGCAATTGTCGCCGCTTCCACCTATGGCATGATTCCGTCTAATGAGTCTCAAACCGTCGCCATCTGCGTTTTGGGAGGACTCCTCCAACTTCATTTCAGATTCAGGTAGAATTGCATCCGGGCGGCGCTCACTCAGTTCTGTTGCCACGTCTATCATATCCTCATCGCTCTGACCGCCCATTTCCTCATCAGATTGTCCTGCACCATCGAAACCTTCTAACTCGTCTTCGTCATCATTATCATAATCCATGTAGTAGCCTTCCTCACCATCGAATTCGTCATCATCCATGTCGTCGTCATCATCATCTCCATATTCATCGTCCAGATCTGATGCGTAAAACCACGCACGACTCGTACCACAGGCCAATTCATCGCTCTCTGATAAACCGCTGTCGTAGTCTCGCAAACCAGCAGTCCGCTGATGAAACTCTAGTAACTTCTTCATCGGGGACGGAACTGGCTTCATTGAACTATCTTCGCTTGCTGTCTTGTCAACCAAATTTACTACATCCAAAACAGTTCTCTTTTCGCGATCTTTTGCTTGTACACGTGCTCCACATTGCAACAGAAAAGCAGCAACATGACAGCGACCAGCCCTAGCTGCAACGTGAAGAGCGGTACCCCCAATTCCTACCTGGTGAATGTCAGCACCTCGCTTCAGCAGAAGCCGTACCATTCCAAGCGACGCGCACTCCACCGCAACGTTGAGTGGCTTATCAAATTCGTTTCCGTGAACGTCCAACATTCTTGAGGCGTTCAAATCGGCACCGTCCTTCAAAAGGGCATTCACAGCAGTAATCGAATCTGCACGAATGAAGTCCAGAAGCAATGTTGATAGCACATCTGGGTCCGGCAGCGAATTCAGCCGTTGGCGATTGCGCCTGCTTCGAGGCGATCGTGATGCTAAGCTTGTAGATACAGCAGACAGTTTGTCCCCTGGAGCACATACATCCATTGAACTGCGACAAGAGCTATTTGCGGATCCCAATGAATGCTTTCTACATACCACTCGAGTAAGCAAGGATACGAGCTTCAGCACATTCGTCCGGAGACTTGTTGACGAAGAGTGCAGCAGTGGCAATATGCCACTAAACAAATTTGTATAAATTTTCTCCCGTACAAATACGTTGACAAGCTGTGGGCGATTGTCAAACAGATGAAGCAACAAAGTGACCATTGCCAGACGTGATTCTTCTGACTCGTCGTTGTTTGTGTTTACCACCACTGCAACAAACTTGCGTAACACTTCAGGTGTCACAAGCTTTGCCATAATCTCAGGGCAGTCATAAGGCGTACGATGAAAAATAAGCAGCAAGCACTTAGCTGCCTTAACGTGCAGCGGAACATGTTTGTGCTGTAAAACATGGCGCAAAAAATCAATCAACTTCATAGCAAGCACTAGCGTAAGCTCACCATTCTCGGTCTGTGCCGTAGGAGAGCAAATTCTTTGCGTTTGCGTTTCCGGTCGAATAATGATTTTGACTGGACTTTGTGATCCATCGCAGCTTCATACAGCATTTCTGCAAGACTCCAAGTGCCGTCATTACAATACTTGGATGAAAGTCACCGTGTTTTTCTCCATCTCCATCTACTAAACTCAACAGGAAAGATAGATACCCAGCAAAATGTTCTTGCGCCATCACTTCTCGAAGAGCAGACCCCTCGGTGCTACACATAATTGATAAGCCGCCCAAGCACTCCTCCACAATCATCTGCTCGTTCTTTGCGGTACTAGAACTCACAGCACTTGTTTTGTTCTTGTTCTTCCAAGCTAATAGTTCAGTGATATATAACCTGACAACCTCCTTTATTTTTGACCGTGCAAACATGTGTCGGTCCATCTTCATCAAATAGTTGATGGACTGGACTGCCAGAAGTCGAACTTCCACTGAATACTTCCGTTCATGCCCACTAAAGATAATTACTAACACTGACAATAGCTCCGGGTCTTTAGCTGTCGCTCGTGATGAGCCACCACCAAAACTTCGAACCAGGAACGACGACCCGTCGGTCCACTCATTGTCCGCTGATGCATCCATCATTGCCAGTGTATGTGTCAATGTCTGCAAAGTGCCAACCAAGCGGCCGCTCATCGGGTTCAAAATGAGTTTTTTTAGCTCATAGATTGGAACACCATAAGCAATCTTTGCTTTATCCTGTTTCCGTCGCTTCCGTTTTGTCACAAGTATCTGTTCGTTCTCCTCTGACTTTGTCTTCTCATTTTCACGCACAACTTTTGTTCGTTTTGCAAAACAATTCAAACACGTGCTTCCATTAGCAAGTGCATTGCAACTTTGGCAAATCCAAGTCTCTTTATTCTCGTCTTCATCGTCACTTTCACTGTCATTTTCATCACTGTTGTTTTCATCACTACAGGAAGAAAACGACTCGTTTTCAAGAGCTTTGGCAATTCTTGAAATACTCAGACCAGACGCCAATCTAGGTCGTGGATTTAACGTGCCACAAACAGCACAAACACGCATTGCTGCTGGATTCACCATGGTACAGGCTACACAGCTCCATTCGAAGGCGGAAGTGGTGCCTCCAAACGCTCGAGCAGTAGCTGGAGGTTGAGACGGACCAAGTGTCTCACACATTTCACAGAAACAGCGTGACGTCTCGTTTAAAAACGTACAAGCAGGACAACTCCAGTGTTTCTTGGATGATAATGTGTCTTGTTCTTTTTCTTGTTTCTTGTCTTCCTGAGCTCGTTTTTCTTGAATCTCTTCAGTATTATAATCTTCATCATCATCTTCTTCTTCTTCTTGTCTTTTTAGACTCATCTTGCGCTTACGTTTACCACTACAACGTTGTAAACCATCATCTTCATTGGATGGAAATGATTGCTCCATGAATTCTTCTTCTTTTTTGTTAGTAGACAGGGTTTTCACAAGTGATACGAACCAACAGGTTTTGAATCTGATTAGGTACGAATAATTGGAAAAAAACGTGGTTTTAGAGGCACTTCAAGATGGTCAGAGTAGATTTTTAGACTTTCTCAATTGAGTAAACAATTATAGGGCGAGTTGTAATGAAGACATACTCACTATTGGCTCCAAAAATGAGCTAAAAATGAGCTAGTGATACCGTTTTTACCCATTTTCGCTCTTCACATACAGACAGACAAAAGACTGCGAGACGGAATAAATATGGATCAAGATATTCTACATGCATGATGTTCTTCTTCTTCCATTCCGACTTTCCATGATTATCCAAAATCTGCGTCACACGCTTCTGCTCCAAAGAGTTCCATGCAATTGACTGACGGAAAATAATGAAGACGGTCTCGAGAAGAATCAATGTATCGCAATTCTCCAGGTGAGAAAGCCATAATAGTGGCATTATGGCAACCTTGAGGGCTCTCCGACATGCTGAACACGTTGGTGACGAGCGGTTGTGGATCACGAAATACTCTGGCGTAAATGATTTCACTAGCCAGTAATTCTTCCAAGAGGAAACGCATGTCCTGCAGACTAACAACCTTGCGCATCTTCCGGTGCACAGCGCCATCTCGGATTCCAGGACAGCACATGACGATGTTTACGACCTTACGCTTCAATCGCAACGCTATCCTCGTGTTGACGCTTCCATTCAAAAGAAGCCACGGTCGTGCAATCACACTACACTCTTTATCAAACAGGAAATGCATCTTCTCTGCGGTCGATTCGCTTGTAACTCGGTAGGGATGTAACGTCCAGAGGTCTGAAAATTTCTCAAGCACAAAGCGGCTCTGATCATACCCATTCACCTCAAGCACCTTGCCATCCTGTATCATGTTATCTATCGCTTGCTGGATTACTAATTTGATTGTCAATGTGGTGCATTTTGATGTTGTTGCAAGTCCAGATGCTGCGTATTTCTCAACTAACTCATCGAGTGTCGTGCCTGACCCCGCAGATTCAGTTAGCATTCTTGATAGCCATGACGAAAATGAATCCTGCGGCATGTGTTTTCTAGATCTAACGTTGGCGTTGCATTGACTTGTTTCTTGGTAGGTCTGTCTGCTGTCAGAAAAAGCTTGCATCACCTGAATATCGTGCGCTTTTGTATAAGCATCAGACACCCCAAATACAGACTTTACCGTCCAATACTCCTTCAGAAAATCCTCCGGGAATATCCCACCACACTGCTGCGATAAATGACCAGCTAAACCCTTTACAGCCATAACACGCTGAATCTCGCGCCTTTCCGGGCGCTTGCTCGGTGCAATATATACTGGAACCAGGTATGAAAACCCAGAAACCATTGAAGACAATGCCACAGCAGCTTGTCCAGGTGACATATTTGCTTCGATTTCGTGTTCAAAGTAGCGATCATTCTCTTCATCAATTATCGTGGCTTCATCAACGTTTTCGTTGACAAACGACAAAAACTTGGCAGCATTGCAAAACGTTTCCATTAAGTAATGGGGAATCTTCAAGCTTTTCATCTCAAACACCTTGGAGTGCACTTGAAAACCTCGCTGTTTATGATCTTTCCCTTCGTTTGCTTGGGGTGTCCGCGTAATTATTCCTGCCAACCATAAATATCGCCATACCAACTTCACCTCATTCTCATTCCAGCTGCTCATGAGCATATCTGCCATGACAGAGTAATAACTGGATCGTTCATGTAAGATAACTTGTAATGCTCGGCAAAGCAACGCTGTCAATCGCGGTTGGCGCATTATTGCGACCTCCTCGTGAAATTCTCCACCTGGATTTTTCATTTGCGTAATAGTAGCTTTAGCTCGCTCCAGCTTTGCATGAATAGCGGGTGCTTCAAGTAAATCATTTATGCGCAACATACACTCGATTGGTTTCTTCTTGAAAACTTTTCCAAGTTCCTTCCAAGAGATTAAAGTACGGGACAATTTTGTCGTCCGGAACGCAACCCGTTCGTCCTTCTTTTGCAGCGCTAAAGGCACTTCAATAAACCACGTGCATGATACTTGTTCAAGGTAGAGATCAATCAATTGGAGATCTTTTTCAAGAGTCCATGTATGGGTCCGGCGGGATGTCTTTGCGCCCATGTGCTTGCGGAACTTACTGACACCAGCTTCACTCTTATCGGCTGGAGCCATCAAAGCTAAAACTGAGCCGTTGCTAGTCTTGGCAATCTTGCGTCGCTTTTGTAAAGACATTTCTGCAAAAGACGCCGCTGCTTGACAGCTCTTACGCTTTATTTCCTGGATAGGCCCCGCTGCTGCTTTAGCTCGAGCAGTGCTGTTTCTCGTGCTCGTCGTCGAGTGGGGTACCCACGCTTTCAAGACGTAAATGTTATGATCTGATAAAGGAGCCGACTGAATCAGGGCACCATCAAGCTTAATGCTCACGCTGTTAGGTTCACGCGATTTAGTACCCAGTCGAGCCCCCTCGACGCTCAAAAAACGTAGCGACTTCCAGTATGCTTTGACATCGTCCATTTCGTCAAAGTCAAATTCGAGAGGAACACGTCCAGCAAAATGATCACTTTTGCTCTTGCAAGAAAACCCTGGTGCATAAGCGTACGAATATTTGGATGGAAGCCTATGAAACACGCTTTTTCCTTGCCTTACACTAATGTGAACATGGCGCTTGATCTTAAAGAGTCCTCCCGACAACGTCGCAAATGCTACCCTCGAAACAAGCGAATCAAAGTCAACGGATGTATGGAATACATTGAAAAGACCCGTCGCAGATGTATCGTGCACTGCTTGCAGAAGCCTTAGATCGAGCAAGACACGCACTATCTTCGAAAATCGACCTGCTTCACTCCCCCGAAGCTTTTCAGTAATTGATTCAGGTAGCGTGCCCCACGATCCGCCCTTAGCTATAGCCACCCTAACCGTAGCCTCTTCGCGACTGGTAAGCAATTCCGCCACGCCAACAAGTTGAATATACTCTTTCACCGTCAAAATATCCAGAACATCCTTTAGCGCGAACGGTACCTCCTGCACCTGGTCGGAGTTCACACAGTTTCTCACACGATGTGATCCACCAAGAGGTGTACAAGCCTGATAACTCTCAATGAGTTCTCGAGCCCCTAGAGTTTTTATTCGATCCCAGATCATGAAATGAAACGCTCGGCACTTGTACATGATGCCAAAAAACATCCCAAGCCTCCGACTTTGCTTTTGTAGTTCAACCAACCCAATGCGTGCCAATTTGTATGACACCGCATTGTACGTGACAATCTCCTGATCACCAGTATCCTGCGTCCACAGCCCCTTTACCATACTACCACCGCTGTGACGCTGCTTTTGGCGATTGGATACTACGACGTAGTCATCATCATCGTGGTCCACAAGGTTTGCCTGATATTTTCTTTGATGCTCCTCCTCGTACGCTTTGACAAACTCTCGAATTGCCTCGCGGCTGCGTTGGTACCCAACTAACACGGCACACTTTACCTTCCGATGCGCTTTCTGGAAAACTTGCTTTGGCGGCAAAGCAATGTCCATTATGGTTAATTTCTTCTCTTCAACAAGTTCGTCAACAATACGGCGTACTGAGCGTATGTCCATGGTGCTAGCTTCCGCCACTCGCTCCATCTCAATCAAGCCACTACGTAACTGGTGCAATGATACCACCTTTTCCATTTGCACCCGCTTCAAAATGTACTTTCTTCGTCTGTCGATTGTTGATGCCCTCACCATTCCTCGTGTTGCCTCCTTCATCGTAGCTGGTTGAGGTTGACTGCTACCATTGTCGTTATTATCTACTTCTTTAGGTGTGCTATACTTGTCAGTAGCGCGAGTTACTCGCACACCAACATTAGAATCTAACGACTTGGAGCTATTGCTAATTGCAGCATTCTGACTACTTCCATCTCCTTTTGTGGCACCAGGAACAAACATACGATACATGGTACTCTTGCCCAGCACAATCTGTTCCACAGAAATATTGTAATGTGTAATCAATCCCTGGGCCAACTTGTACGGCAGCTTGAACGTTGGAACGCCCAATACATCTCGAAGTTCGGGTACCGTAGCGCCAAGATTCTCTCGGTCTTGAATTGCCGCAAACATTTGTTCCATGATTCCACGTTCGACAACAGGTCGGCCTACAGCTGTTGTGTTAGGACAAAGCTCCTCGGTGGCCACTGATCTGCCGTGCCGCCGACAAGACACAGCAGGCGAACCAGCTAAACTATTTCGTAAACGAACGCACCATAGTTTTCGCCCAATGCACTCGCTGCCTGTTTTACAGCGCGCCATAAACAGTTGTAGAGGAAAGTTTCCCTTTGTACTCATTTGCTGGATAAAATAGTTCCGTAATTGCTCCTGCTGGCGCTTGCCGTAGCCCAACTCGCGCCCAATGTCTGCAAACACGCATGTCCGTTCTCCTCGTTCTTTCATCATGCTTACGATGGCGTGTGCTAAAACGCTCTTCGGGAACACTTGCTCTGCTATTGTAGCGGATGGCGATATCATGGACGGGTGAAACTTGCTGGCAAAGCGTCGCAAATGAACAATATTGAATCGTCTTTGATCTGATGTCACAATATTCTTTACGACGTAGTTTGAAACAATCAACATATCTAGCAGGTAGTGCAGCTTACGCGAATCTCCAAACAATTTCGAGTTTGTCAATGCTGCAGCATTTTCCCCACGAACTCTTGCACGACCAATAATTTCTAACAGATCGAACTGCGGAGATATGGTATCGATGGAGCTTGCGTCTTGTACTCCAAGAAACTTCAGCCGTAAGTCCTCGCATGCTACGACACCTAACACACCATCTTGGTTGCTTGCCACAGCGTCTTCATAACTCAGTCCGCTAATATCCACCTCTTCTCCAAGGCGAAAACCACGTGGACTTTGTAAGACCCACCGAGATGTATCCGCAGCATCTTCTACCTCCACATCAATGTTATCTTTTGCTCTTTCCTTCATCTGCACGCATTTACCTCCCTGCTTCTCCAATTCGTCATCATCCACCACTGCTTTATCTTTTCCTGTATTTTTATCTCCATCTACTACCACTTCTTCTCCATTTTCGTATAACTCATCAACACTACCCTGTCGCCTTGTCCATAATCGACCACTACTCTCTACCTTACATTGAGCTTCTCTATCAGCATCTGACAACCTTTGACGCTGTTTTTGTGCTGCTATACGTCGCATTGATGGTAGTACAGGCTGTAATGGTTGGTTCTTGTGTTTATGTCGCTTTTGTATCCTATCGGTTCTATCATCACCATCCAGTCTTCGTGTATTCATCACAGTTGATTCACCGTTTCCATTATAAAGTAACGTCGTATGCCACTTCCGCTTCCGACGTGAACTAGTGCATTGATTCTTTCCATGATTCAGCATCTTGTGATCAATGCCAGTCCTACCATCTTCCTCGGTCCTCACTAATGGCCGCATCACATGGAAATGTAATTGATTTTCCATATGACAAAGCACATTCCAAGCATAACGACGGTAAGCAACGTCATGATGTGGATCCATTATATCCAAAAGCTCACGCAACGGCATGCCACAACGTCCTTCAAGGCCAATTTCTTCTAAACAACACGCTATAAACTGTGGCATCAAGTACTTGACACTCATGATATGATTACAATAGTCAATATGATGCTAATAACACACGCAATAGATGATAAAGAGAAGCTCCAGACTCCGCCTTGTTCGTATTCAATGCCGCTCTTCCAGTACGTCTTGTTACAATTTTGATTGGATAAAATACAGTGTGATCGATTTTATCGAATTGGACAGGGGTTTGTGGAATTTCCGAAATATGTTTCTAAATAAGACTAAAGTCATTTCAAAAGTCGCAATTTTTGGTATTATAGTATGTACCGTAGTATATATATCGAAAGGAACTGGATTGTAATTGGTGCAATCATTTCATTTCAGCAAGACATGAAGTAAGACTTGTCCCTACAAGTCAAATAAATAATTAATGGACGCATTTGAAGCAGCATGTGTTGCATTGCATGCTCCACCCACAGGACCTACAGCTGAACGTCAACGTACTGAGGCTGAGAATATTCTAAAGCAATTCAAATGCAGTCCTACCGCACTACGAGATGCCACGACACTACTACGTGCTAGTCAGACGCTACCCGTTGTACAATTCCACTGTGTTGCTACAATTTGTGAAGTAACATTACAGCGTTGGTCGTTATTAACACTCTCTGATCGATCACAGACACTGGACTTTGTGATGCAGTTATTACTAGATCAAGGCACGAGACTACCGAGATTTGTGGCGGCTGTAGCATTACAGACAGCAGTGTTACTGGTGAAACGAGGCTGGTTGGATCGACTCGAGTCAGAGCGTGCAGCAATCTTAACGCAAATGGGTGCCATGTTAGAGCCTCATAATCCAATTGCACACCGTCTATTGGCTGTGAAATGGCTCCTAGCATTTGTGACCGAGTTTTCATCCGCATCTAGAGCTAGTAACATGATGCAACCGGTGGAATTTCATACAAAGTCACGACGTACGTTAGAAAAGAGTGACGGACTCAAGAATATTGTTGCAATTGCTGTACCATTGCTGGAAGACTCGATTCAAAGCACATTGAGAAGCTGTGATAATGCAGGAGATATACCTCCAGAGCAATTGGAATTACTTGAGGTAGCGTTTCGACTTTGTGTCGAGTTGCTGAATTGGCAATTTGAAGATTCGCGGGTGGGAAATCTGACGTGGAGCTTGAGTGGAACAGCCAGTGATGATAATATTGGAAACCGGCCAGTGTTAACGCCACAGGCATCTTGGCGACCGATTCTGGTACGACCGGATTTGATTCACTCAGCTTTTAACACGTATGCTTTCTTTCGTAACGTTGCAGCCAAAAACGAGACGCTACTCCATTTGGCTCGCCAATTTTTAATTCAGCTGGCATCTCTACAGGGACCCATCTTTGAGCGCAAAGCGGAGCAAGTGCAGTTTTTAGGTGAAATCTTTCGTGGCGTGGTCACAATTGTGCATAACCCGTTCTTGGACCTGCTAGCGCAGAGTGATATTACTGGTTATGAGTTGGCCACTCGCGAATTGATTGATTGCTGTCAGCTCCTCTTTCGGCTCGTGAATAACATTGGTCTGAAGGCGCTACTGCAAGATAATTCCGGAAAGCTTTTTTCTTTGTTCGTCGAGGAATTGGCCTCGCTGACCAGCAAACTTTTACACTCGGCGTTAGAGCGCATTCAGCGTCACTTGTGTGAAAATTCTGATGAGGCGATCGATGAGCTATGGGAACTGGAGGGTGTCGATATTCTGTTGGATGCGTGGGTGGCGCTCGTAAACGACCCACTGTTGTTAGAGGTGGGCTTATCGGAGTCTTCGACACCCGATTTGGAACAAGGCCTGACATTTCTCAGCAATGCATCTGCCCCTGTTATAAAGCTTTACATTCGGGTTCAACTAGAATTGTGTGCGGTGGAGGTTCTAGTCGATCAGGATGAAGACGTGGACGACAACGCCACCAGTAGTGCACGGGAGCAGTACGAGCTGGCTGCCGCACTAGCCAGGGTAAACGCTTCGGCTTCAGCTTCGTTGCTAGTGTCACTTGTGCAGTCGTTGATGACTAGCGTTCAGCAGGAATTAGAAACACTACAGGGACGGGATGAAATGACACCGGTGCTCTCGCAAGTTTTCGAGAAGCTACACTTTGCTGTTCTTTTTGTGGGCCTTTTTCTCGCAGACGACTTTAAAGGTGAAAGGCCAGGCATCCCAAACCGAATTCGTGCCACCCTTCATGGCGTTGCCGCAGCTAAGGATTCTCCTGTGATTAATCTCATTATGCTTATCATGACCCATGTGCTAGAGTTCGAGACCTCACGTCTAGTCCAAAATCCAGCGAGCAACTGTGTCAGTCCGTTTGTGTCTGAAGGACTCATTAAAACGATAACACGGTTGTGTGCTACATATTTTGCCCCGAACATTCTACTCGATTCAACCAAAGTGTCGCCGGCAATCTTGCAAGTTTTTGATTACCAGGGTGGCGGTCGTGCAGGCGAGCTGCTGAGTTTCCTGGTTCAGCAGGCTATGGTATACCTGCTTCATTGGCCGACGCAACCCGTGGTGATGGAAAATCTGATCGACTTTCTGCTTGTTCTTTCTAATACGCGAGTCATCAACCCCATTCTTAGCTCGCAGGTATGGCAATCGATTGTTCAAGCTAATGCATCTGCTGAGTCGTTCATTGCTGCATCAGCAGGTGGCAATGAACCAACACTAAATGCTGCAGTTGCCAGAATCCCGGGCAACCTTCGTGGTCAGCTCACAGAAGCGCTGTGTCGAGCAGGAATGGCATCAGTTGATCAGAATATGCGCGTGGCTCATTTTCAGGCTGTGAGTGGGCCCGTTGAACAGCGACTACAACAGCTCGTCGCACTACCAACTTTTGAGTCCAAGCAAACGGTAAATGATGTGCATGTGCAGGAAGAGCTTAAGCTATTGATCGAGATGTATTCAGGCATTGCGCGGTCGGCTGAATCAAACAGCTACGGTCCTATTACAGTATTCTGTCTGCCTGCTCTGCCTGTCATTGTGAAGATTTTCCAGATCTTCCAGGGTGACTCACAGATCGCGAACCTTATCCTAAATTTTTTCTGCCTGATGGTAGAGGCGCAACTGAGCTATCTCTCCCCTCGAGATGCACTGCAAGTGTACACAGCTAGCGATGACCTCATTCGTGCGTACTGCCAACATAATTTGGGTAAGAAGAGCATGCTGGGCGATGCTGAAGAGGAAAGTTATGTCGACTTGTTGGCACTGCTTACATTGCTGTCGCATCTGGTGTCAAAGGACTTTATCGATTTTTTCGGAAGACGCAACAACTGAACAAGAACAAGCCGCCGCTAGCTGTGTTTCAAGTGTTGTTGCTGAGGTGGTCTTCTCTGGTTTGAGTCAAGTGATTCCGCTTATGACGGAGCAGTTATTGACCTACCCGAGCTTGAGCAAACAGTATTTTACATTGGTGTCGTATATGGTGGAAGTATACGGAGAAAAGCTTGTGTCGTTGTCAAGTGAGCTTTTTCAGATGCTTCTACACTCACTACTGGTAGGCATGCGTCACGTGTCCGCGGACGTTGTGCGCAATAGCTTTCAGGCGCTAGGTGAGTTGGCAAGCTATCACTGGAAAGCACTACAAGACCAGAAGCCAGGACTCGACGTACACCTCCAACAGCATCCCGAAATGTTTATTGCGTGTCTATGCATTATCTTCCGTATGGCACTTTTCGATGATTTCAATCCCGCCATGCTGGATGCCTGTGCTGGTACGTTGTATCCGCTCATTTTGATTGAGCGAGCACGCTACTCAGCGCTGGCTGAGGAGATTATCCACGAGCAAGAAAGACTGGACGTTAACAGTCAGCAACGCCTGGCCTCAGCATTCGCAGAGCTCATCAGTTTCTTGTCTCCTGGCGATATTGCAATGGGCACGGCAACTACGCGCAGAATGCGCACGCATTTCAAAAAAACCTGTACGCTTTCGTGGCTGAGGTGCGGGGTTTTCTTCAGGTCAAGTAAAGCATCCAGAAGTACTCAATAATTAGACCATCGTTTTCTGTGCCTGATAAGTATCGTGAGCATGCGAGCTATGCTGCCCGGACGTTCATGTGTTTGTCCATTGTGGTGCCAATCACCACAGTTTCACCATAAGAAGCATGCGTGAGAATGGCACATTTTTGCGATGAGAACAGCGTTTGTTGATTAATCGGCTACTGGACGAGTGCTCATCATTGTTTTGCGGTGTGATAAACGATGGAGCACGAACGTTTTGGTGTGTTGCCAAACATCCTCTGTAGGTATCTTCGACGTAACTTGCGCTTAGAGGGCCGCCAGGGAACTCTATGACAATTAAAGCCCTCTGAAGTGCTGCATGTAGCGACAATGAGATGAGTTAGCAAGGAATCACAGTCGCTGTCAATAGCTAAGATTCACAATATGAAGCAAAAAAACAATGGCGGTGAGGGAGAGCTCAGGATATTGGCATTTCTAGAACCACATCACAATGCCCACATCTTGTCCACGTAGCAGTTAGCATGCATCTCGGTCTACATCGTTTTGCTTAAAAAAATTCGTGCCTGCCAGTTCATCCGGCAGATAAGTCTGATCTTTGAGCTCATCAGCACTATAGTGCGGGTTGTACTTATACTCTTTTCCATAGCCCATCTGTTTCATAAGCTTCGTCGGGGCATTACGTAAATGAAGTGGGACGTCTGGTAGTGCACCTTTATCCCACTCCTTGATAGATTGCTTTGCTCGTTTGTATGCAGCATAAACTTCAATGGACTTCGGTGCGCGAGCAAGCATCGTTGCAACATGAGCAAGCACGACATCACACTCCGGCATTCCAACAAAGTGAGCAGCCTGGTACGCTGATACCGCCATAGGAAGTAACTCAGGCGCTGCAAGACCGACATCTTCACTTGCAATTCGAATAAGCCGTCGAGCAACGTATAATGGATTCTCACCGCCTTCAAGCATGCGTGCCAACCAGTAAAGTGTAGCATTCTCATCGCTACCACGCACGGACTTATGGAGTGCACTAATGCAATCATAATGCATGTCAGCATTTCGATCATAGAAAAGCGTTTGTCGATGCGCAAAGCAGTGATGAACATGAGCAGCAGTTACACGTAGTAGACGTTTTTCTGTATCCATTGGAGCCGTTTGAAGAGCCATTTCCAAACAATTCAATGCAATTCGAGCGTCACCATCACATTGTTTTGCCAAGTACTCAATAGCTTCATCTTCTGCTTCAATCAAGACATCACTTGTCTTCTTTTTGTCACTGTCAGGATCGTCATTCACCTGTAGCGCTAGTTTCTGTTTCAGTGTCAGTGATTGTATCCCTCCAGTCACATGATCATTCAAAGCACGTTGTAGAATGAATGTCATAGACTCTAGTGAATGTTTCTTGAGTGTATACACACGACATCGACTTAATAAAGCATTGGTTATTTCAAAGGATGGATTCTCGGTTGTTGCACCAAGGAGTGTAATTGTCCCATTTTCTACAGCAGGTAAGAGAAAAGTCTGATTCCATCCATTCAGTCAGTCAGTCACATGATATTTTACTAATAACGTACCTGTTGCGTCTTATTATAATGATGAATCTCATCAATAAAAACAATTGTCCGTCGATGAAATAGTTGATACGCTTTTTCTGCTTGAGTCAATGTATCTTTCAAAGCTGATACTTTTGATGTTGTAGCTGATAGAGTGATGAATTTACACTTTGTTTGCTCTGCAATGATAGTTGCTAATGTTGTTTTCCCACATCCTGGTGGTCTATTTCATACATTCAAACAACAACATCAATACAACAATATAACAATAACCAAATACATGACATGATCAGTTTTTTTGGAACACCGTATTATAGGGTTTTGATTCGACTTACCCCCATATAATCATATTAGGCACTCGATCCATTTCAATAAGGGTCGTTAAAATACGACCAGGACCTACAAGTTCGTCCTGTCCTACTAGATTATTAATATCCTTAGGTCTCATCCGTTCTGCCAATGGCACAGCGGAATGATTGTCACGTGGTGAGTGTTTGCGCTTTTTACCGACTTGAGACGGGGTGACATCTGTCGGTCTTTGACTTGGTCTGAATGGACTGTGATTACTACTACTACTACTACTGGTAGAAGACTGAGCATTCATAGACGATGATAAAGGAGACTGTAACAATGCATTGGACTTGTCCTGTTTGGCCAAACACGTGTCTACATGCAGCGAGAGGTTTTCAAGGCGCACATGACGGGAGCAGATTGGACACTCGGTTGATGTCATTAGTTTTAACAGGTCGAAAAGCGGAATGCACCATTTCTAGTGGGATTCTCTTTTTTTATTTCTTACCCAATTTGTTCAAAAAAAAAGAACCAAATCTACCTATATCCCTTTTTATGTTGGTTTCAGTTACAAAAAAGAAGAATAAGCTTTTAGGTACGAAGTTCGTAATGACGTGATCGTATTTTGTCTCAACGTAAACTATTTTCCAATATTACCACCCCCCGTAAAGCGCCTATAAATATAATACTGTCTTCAGTCATGGAAATCTTTCAAGAAGGCGAATTAGAGGCAGAGGTAAGTAATTTAAAATGACCGAGCACTTGTATCTTGTTGTATTAATGTCTCTCTCTCTCTTGTGTGTGTATGTGTAATATATAAAATTAGATTACTAAACATGAATTACGTGCAACTAGTGTTGGAAGTTGGTGGCATTTATTTTCCAAGACGTATGAAGAAATGGTCGAGTTGATTTCACGTCCTGTGCGTGCAATTTATTCAATCAATGACCTGGGACATGAACAAATTCAAGTGGCGTCAAGTGATGCAAGAAAACAAGGGCAAGAATTTATACGAGAAGATTTTTATCTAGAAAATCAACGAGGTGAACAATTGGCCTGTAGTTTCTGGCGTCGGAGACACGTGAGAGATGGAGATCCAATTGTACAATTGATGCTGTCATTGTCATGTTTGAGTGACGAGAAGAAGAAGAAGAGAGTGGATGACGTAATACGTCAAGACACTAGAAATACGGAGAGAAGGAGGAGATATTCGGATTGGAATTGTCAACAGACACGTGAGCGTGTCAATGTAGATCCGTGTATTATATATCTACACGGTATGTCTAGTTCACGAAAAGAGTGTATCTATATGCACCGTAAAATCCTGGCAAAGGGGTTTTCATTGTTTGCAATGGACTTGTCAGGTTCTGGACTTTCTGGTGGCGATCGTGTGTCCTTTGGGTCATTTGAACGTGATGATGTACGGACAGCTGTGGATTATCTGAATGCTACAGGTCGTGCATCTGCTGTCGGTATTTGGGGCCGCGATATTGGGTCTGTAGCAGCATTATTGCATGTCAAAGACCGCATGCCATATTCTTATACGACTAGAACGGTCTCTGCAAGAGAAGCTGCAAAGCTCGAAATTGTCAAGGATGAAACGGATCATCAGCTTTTGTGCATTCCTCCCTTGACAGGACTGAAATTTCGATTTCACAAGTACAGTGCTATAAACGGCGACTTTGTCTTGCTTGCTATTGACAGTACTCCTGTACAAGGGCTCAGTCCAGCATCGTGCTACCGTCTTATTCAGCAGAGTTGCAAGACAAATGATGGCCAAGCACGTTTACATGGATATAAGCGTTCCTCTAGTAAATATGGAAATGATAATTTTATCTTTGCGCTAACAGCAGATTGTGCTTATGGAGATATGGAGCAAGTTATTTGGGACATGCTGCAGATGATCACCAAAAGCGCTGAGCGACGTAGCCTATTTTTTCCGTCTGCAATGGTCACGGCGGTACAAAAGCTTTTGTCAAACTCCATTGGTAAGGCAGGCGGGTTTAGCTTCAGTGACGTGCGCTTGCTCGATGCAGTGCCACATTTCACGCTTCCATGCCTGTTCATAAGCGCATCGAAGAAAGATTTCTTCATGCCCGAACATACTAAAGTACTGTTCAACAGGTATGGTGGTTCCAAGAGCTACGTTCAATTCACAGGTCAGATTGATGACAACCGACCAGACGAAGTGCTGGACACAGTGATTTCTCACTTTAGCAAGCGATTGAAACTGTTAAAGAAGTGAGCGAGGATGAATGATAGGCACGAGATGGAAGAAAACACGATAGCAGGCGCATTTTACAATATTTTTACTTGTAGTACAAGGAATGCAGCCCGCTTGTGAATAAGCATGAAGTAGCCGTCATTTTCTTCACTGTCGCACCCTGTTGCCCAGTCTATTACTCAATCAAGACACAATGGCAGGAATCTTTGATCGGTTCCGGCTTGGTACCAAGCGCAAACACGATAAAGATGCATTGGATACTTGTCCAGATGCCGAGGCCACGTCAGAGGACAATGTAAAGAATGCCATCAAGGTTTCTCCTGTAAAGCGAGGCAAGCACAAAGCAAAACAAACGGAGCAAGAAAAAAAGTGTCCATTGAATGGCAAATGGCAGGAGCGTTGGCACGGTATTTGCAAGGACTGTTTTGAGCATGTACAGGAGTGTAAGCACTACCCTGAGCATCGCCTACGTTTACTTATTGTTGGCCACAATCCATCGGATCATGCGTGGCAAACTGGGTATTCATACAGGTAACAAATGCCTATTGTGGAAGAATTCCATTCAAGTCTCTCATAGCCAAGGTCTCTTTTGTTGTGACAGTAATCCGACAAACCGAATGTGGAGATTGTTAACAGGAAGACTTTCTCCTCACTCATGGGAAGGTATTTTACCTTCTACTGCAGAGATTGTCGAGCAAAACATCATGCCTTACGTTCTTGGTGTTGGATTTACATCAATTGGCTTGGAGGTAATGCACATGTCGATATGAACTTGTGCAGCACGTGATAAGATGGACTAACTTTGGTATTGGTAGCAGCCAGGAAATGATGCTTCAAAGTATGGCAAGGCAACAAGTATGAATGATTTACTTGTTTGCTTTTGGAAGGAAGGAACATACATGGTTGACGTACATGAAACTCATCTGTTTTTTTACTGCATGTAGTGGAAGTCTGGCGGGCGAATTTCTACCTGCGTTTGCGTCGACATGCTGCTCAAGTTTGCATCAATGATCACAACAATGCAACAGAGGTCGCCCTGAAGCACGGAGATGATGACAACCTAACAACGTGTCAGCTCGCTCATGCCCCTATGTTCATCGCTTTTTCCGGCAAGAGGCAATTCAGTTGGTTGTTTTCACCACCTCTGTCAAAAATTGAGAGCTATGGCAGACAAACTAGACTTCCTCCAGGGTGGCCACACGAACTTCGCGCTGACAGTGAGGTCTGGGTGCTTCCTAGTTCCAGTGGTCGAGCAGCAATGACAACGGCGCAACGCATGCTGCCCTACCAACAGCTAGCAGAGAGTGTTCGCCAAATTCCGTGGCCACATGGACTTCAGTCTGTAGTTGAGAAAACGTAACATGCTCTTCTTACTTTACCTTGAAATTGATCTCAAAACCTCGCTCAACGCCGGCCGTTGTGACGGCTCGTAGCTGATACATCGTAAAGCCAACTTTTTGAAATCAGCAGGAGCATCTTGTGCAGGCAATGGTTTCAATCGCTGCGCAACCACCTCGGTTGCAATACAAATATCTCCCATAGTGGGCCCGCGCTCCTCGAAAACACGCTGAAACAGTTTGCTCCGCAACGAAATCTCGCAGAAAATAATACCAAGCGCGTATACTTCAGCGGCTGCAGTAATCTTATCACCTTTGAGCAATTCAGGTGCTCGAGATGCTATCTCTCCGTCGCCATATGACCGGACAGGTACTAAATCTGTCCGTAGACTCAAAGCGTAGTCGAAAATATCCATCTTGCAAACAAACTGCGCGTTAAGAAGCACGCTCTTAGCCGTTAGATTTCGAGACAATTTGACTCGCTTCATCGAGCGAACGAAACTCAATCCGCTGCAAATATTTTTACTCATCTGAAGCCGCGTAGGCCATGCGAGATCGATTTTCTCATCTGCCAATACCAATCTCAAACTGCCCATCGACATATGCTCCACCACGATAAGAGCCTCTGCACAATCCGTCCAGCTGGACCCCAAGAAGTATACGACATTATCATGCCGAAGCGGGACATACGACATCCGGATCGCATTCAGTTCCTTGGTAGACATTTTCAAGTCTCGAGGTGCAAACTTTAGTGCAACAACCTTAGTGTCCTTATACTCGCCAAGCCACAGACCTTGTACTCCTAATTTTTTGTACAGCATGACCTGGTTCTTGCCGAGATCCATATCTGCCAAAATTTTCGTGACACCTGTTACTGTAACCTCTGATCTTTCAGTCTCACCTTGTTGACCAGCAAGCAAGCCGTGTTCACGATTGGAAGAGGTCAGCCGCCCATCGGCCAATTTGCTCGCTTTTCTCTTGAACCGACGGAAGAAAGACACAACTACTACCAGAACCAACGTGCACGTGCTCGACAGCACAATAACGATAATTGACGACACCCCTCGATTGCTTGACGTGCTAGCCGACAGAGTTTCAAGAGGCCCAGTAGTTTGTTCGACACTACCATCGCTCCCGTCGCTGCAAGACGCATCAGTACTTTGCACGTCGTCGACAATACAAATTCCCAAATCACGGATCGTTCTTGTTTTAATACACAACGCCGATCCATCATCTGGCGTATCAATAGTATTCGCAGTCGCTCGAAAGTCCGAGATGCGCGACAGCTGCACGTACTCACTTTCCGTCAACACAATAGGTCCGGCAATCGTATTATGCTCCAATATTCTATAATCACACCAAGCAAATCAAAAAAGCATAACTTAGTCACAACAGCGTCTTATCCCATTACAACTTCAGTACAATAAAACACACAATGTCGCAACACGAGTCTCCAGTCCTAGTACTGCCGTAGGAAATGATAGATTACTATGACGGATCACGACGTGCTGAATTGTCACTGCCGTCTCAAGCTCTAATTTCTTCACTGTCGTTTCATCAAACATCCTGCAATTTCCATGACACAAACACCAGCACTATAATCATAAGTCTCCATGCTTCCAGATATATATCCTTGTCTCAAGTCATTATCCTTACAATTGATTTAACTTCACACCCTGACGCAGCCATCCATCTTCAAACGTTGTCTTCATACCACTCACATGAATCTCAACAAGTTCTTTCATACCAGCTACTGCATTCGTATTAAAGACAAGTGATACGTCCACGTCTTTTGATTTCTCATCAGCTTGAATCCGTAACTGTGAGACGGTCACATCCAGGACATCATCGAGTTGAATAGCAATCAGTACTGATTCATTACTGGTATGAAACTGTGTCAGCATTGTTGATACCGGTATGCTCCAATTATTAAGTATCCAATCCGTGCCGTTCACGTACGTGTCGAATCGAACGGGTGCAAAATCCTGTGATCTCGTCATCAAAAGGTCCGTCAAAGCAGCGTAGGAAAGCTCTAGGGGTACGAGTTTCTGACCAGATGGCAACCAAGTTGATTTACCCATACGTGAGAGTATCAAGTGGTGAATACTCGACACTTGTGACGCCTGTAGTAGCAACAATAGCGCAGTAATGACAACGAATCTCCACCGTCGCATCTCCCTGTATTTGATTCTGACAATGACGACAAAAAGGAGGTGTGTAGATACCAGAGAGATACCGGTAGATATCGGTAGTATAAACATGCGGTTTTTTCTTTTTTTTTGAGAGGGACACAGACGTGACAGAAATAAAGTTCCATACCGGTACAAGTTTTTTCCTGAAAATTGATGAGGGTGCATGGATGGGCGTAATGGTTCGTCATGATGCTGATTTAGAAGCGACATAGTAATCAATCGATGAAGAGATGCAAGGGGATTCAAGCCAAAATGCAGTCTTTGAATCGCTCTTTCATTTCCTTCCTCGAAGAAAGGTTCGAATGTCAACGCATGTGGATACCCAATTGGTGTCAATCAATGGCCTTTTACATTCTTTTCTAAGAATGTAGCGACGTCATGACGTTTCGGAAGCTTCCTCAGAGATTTGCAGGATCATTTGTGAGCACCGGATACTCGTGCATCGAAAGACCGACGAACTTTGTCAATAACCTGAAGCATTAACGTTCTGCTCTCGAATGAATTGGAGACCACGTAATTGTCGCAACAGCCCAGAATTAGGAGATCCAGTGTAGCTCTTGCTCTTGCTCTTGCTCTTGCCATGCGCTTGCTTGCTCTGTCATTCAGCTCGTGGATACGTGTAGAAATTCATGTTTAGTATTGCAATCAAGAGAATACTGATCGGATGTAGAAGTGGCGTTTTTGCATCAGGTGTTCGATAGATTTCAACCCAGTAGAACTTGTCGAAACAAAGAAGCTAAGAAGCTGGTAATCTTGATCTGACTGATAGCATAATACAAGGCTATGTAGCTTCTAAATTAATGATGAGGTAGAGTGATTGTCAGGAATGGTTGTCAACTTCAAGCCTGTAGAAGCGCATAGCATGCCAATCACTAGGTTCATTCTCCGGACCAATGGTTTTGACAAGGTGGACAGGAGTGTCACTAGTGGCATCTAGTGCTCTTTGTGCAGCATTAGGCGCTTATTTGGGTCGATACTTTCTTCTTCGAGACTGGAAAGGACGTCTACAAAGTGATGACGTATTAGTGAAAGATCTGGAGCAAGAAATTAAGCGACAGAAACACCTACGTGCGCAGGAACGGACCGGTCGGACAAATGCTGAACGAGAGGCGCGTGAAGCTCTGCAACGGCAACAAGAAGCGATAGGCTACAGATTTGAGGCGATTGCTTGTGTGGATTCATGTTTTGTAGATCGACGTGGTACGCCGAGGCAAGGTGGTCTTGTCAAGAATTCAAGAGCACGCATCACGTTCAAGACAAACATCCCATCAGCGTCTCTTCAATGTCTTGATCAGTTTAGCCATTTGTGGGTGCTCTTTGTCTTTCATGAGAACACCAACGTTGCAAAAGGAAAGACGAAATCCACCTTCCCGGCTAAAATTGCCCCACCTCGACTAGGAGGAAAGAAAGTTGGCCTCTTTTCAACACGTACACCACATCGTCCAAATTCGATTGGTCTTTCGGTCGTCAAGATAGAAGCTGTTTATGATCGGTGCATTGAGATCAGTGGCCATGATCTTGTAAATGGCACGCCTGTGCTGGATGTAAAACCATACGTACCTGCAGACAATGTACTGGACCACATTATACCAGATTGGGTGGCTGCTGACACGGATGTGATCGCAAGACCTGTCGAGTTCATGCCAGAAGCTACGGTGTCACTGACAGAACTCGTGAATGCAAACTTGTCGTCTTTTTACTCCAATGTCGTAGATTTAAAGACTGCGATTGAGCAAATGCTTGTCTTGGATATTCGTAGCGTGCACCAGGGACGCGGAAAGGCTACCGAGACCCAGCAATTTCAGTGCCGTTTTGATACAGTGCAGATCGAGTTTACAACGTTGGATGAGTGTATCCGTGTGTTAAGTTGCACACGTTATACCACGCCACAGGAATCACGGGTCCTATTGAAACAACAGCAGGAGGAATAGTTTACAACTCAGATTTCAACTCAAACCAGTTCAGATTTCAATTCAAACCAGGTTTCAAAGTCCCTTTTCTATTGAAACGACTGGTGGGTGCATCACGTGATCCATCACGCATGACGACATGACAAACCCACACTTACACTGTAGGCTGAGCGGTGTATTTCCTCTCAGCATCCTTAATCTCTTCGTCAAGCTCAATCCAAGACTCATTAAAGAGTTCACCTGCAATGACACGCTTCGCCATATCCAGCTTCGGCTCCTTGTGCTTCGGGTTGTTGCACAAGTCAATAGTCTTTGCTGTAGCCTTGGTCTCGTCACTACACCACGACTCGCACCAGAGCCACTCTTGTGGCAACGAGAAAATAGGAATTTGGTGTTGAACATAGTTGGGCAGGTCCTGGTCCAGATTTGCCAGTGAGTTAGGATCATAACTCAATTGACTATACGTTGCACGCAGAACGTCGCCCGCAGCCATCTGACGGAAGACCGCCAAGTCAACTACGTACAGAGCACTGATGTGGTATGGTTTTCCACTCAAGTGATCCTTCCAGTAACCTTGACGCCAGAATTGAAAACCAACGTTGCGAGAATCACAGAACGGCGTGTAGCCATATGGTTTCCCTTCCAAGTCGAGTTCCAGGAGTTCTTTTAGGTCTGCACGCACGACTTGATCAGCATCCACATATATGATCTTTTGCACACCCAGCGGGAACAACACGTCCAAGAAAAGAATCTTGTAGCCCCAGATAATGCGCTGCTTCTCGGTCTGCTGACGCAGCCAGTTAGGCCACTTGTACGTAATAAGTCGAATATCCATGCCGAACTGTTCGCGGAGCACCGGGATCGACGCTTTGAAGTCAGGCGATAAAAAGTTCTCAAGCAGCCAAAATATCACCGGGTTGTTAGTGCGCTTGAGAACGCTCAACATCATGATCTTGACAAAGCGTTCATACAGGTAACCGGATGCCACTGAAAACACATGGATGGTCTCTCCCGTGCGCTGCTTTGACTGCACACTGACATTATCTGCAGCAGCGTCCGTTTGGTCAGTTTTGTCAGCCACATCTTGAGGATGCGATTCTAGCCCGTTATCCTGCTTGCCCATCATGTTGAGCATTGAGCTCCAGTACGCGCGAAGAGCACTGTCATCGCTACCGGTTGATTTCGTATCAACAGCAGAGGTTGGTTTCTGCACATCCTCGACCGACTGCAGTAGCTCTTCTTGTTCCATGCCACCTTTCTTACGAACATGCAGCTGCGAAATGTGGGAGCCAAAATCGTAAACTACGACGGGAAGAGCTTCCAATGGATGATCCGTTTCTGGATCGATGATATCAAAAAGCTCAGAGGCTCTGCCCTTTGCCAATCGCAAGGACCAAACACCAGGTGTTGCCTGTAGCTGAAAATAACCCAAGTTCTTCATAACAAGAGTGTCACGGTGCAACAGTTGACCACCGACCTCACGCTCAAGGGCCAACTGCAGACCGTTGGGCGATGCATACATGTTTAGCGTCGCATCACGGCACTGGCCATACACCAGAAGACTCTCCAATCGAAACACAGCTCTGGTCGTAGACTTTAGGTCCGTCGGACTTTCAGGATCAACCCTCAAATTGTCCAAATCATCACCCGCGCGAAGGGTTTGCACGTTCCAGGCCTCAGGGGTGTCAATTTTCATGGTCAAAATTGGATGGACTGGTAGTTTGCGAAACTCGACGCTTATTGCAGTAAGCGACGGCCTCTTCTCAAAGAGGTAGCGATAAAAGCGGCGCAGCGGGAGTTCCCTGTACTCCTCTGCAGGCAGCAGCACTAACTCGATGGTTGCGTTTAGCTGTAAGTGCAGCATCTTCAGCATAGAGCTAATCACTTGAGCTGCCTCGGACAGCGGATCAATGTAGGCTGCCACCTGTAGGGATGGATCACCAGGTAGCCGAACAGAATTCAGAGCGTCCTCGGCCACACTCAAGCGCGATGCTCGCTCAGTCTTCACGTACTTATCAACAATGCCCGTAGTCTTCATAATATCAAAACTCAATTTGTCAGCATCTCTAATCTTCAGAATGGCATTGCGCTTGATAAGCGCCTTAGCCACAGGCTTTGTACGGTATTTGAGATCATGTTTTATGATGGTTGCCACATCTTCATCTGACAACGATTCAGGAGGAAGATTCACTTGCCTACCATTAACAAACAGGCGCGGATGGGCAATCTTGGAAGAACCCTCCTCACTTTCCTCTTCATACACAGGTGGGAACCGCGAATGCAGTAGCATGTTAAACTGCTCTAATATACTGCGCTCCATTGGAATCAACCATTTGCCTGTCTTCTTTTTCAGAAGAGCTAACACCCTCTCATACACCAGGTCCTTGTCACTGTCTTTCGTCTTCGTCTTTTTCCAAATTTCAATTAGTTTTTCTTGCATCTCATCGGCACCCTTCTGCTTAATGACACAGCCCAGCGCTTCCATGATAAACTTGAGATGAGATTCATTATCTGAATGACCCACGGTGGCAAGAATAGCAGCCATAAGTTCTCCCACATCGTTGCGCACATGCTTGCTATTGCTGTTACTCTGTAGTTGTGGCACAACTCCAATTCGTAAGGACTGCTCCGAGTCTTCAAGTATAGTCTTCACAACACAATACGCATATCTAGCGTCCCGTATGTTGCTCAGGTCAGCTGGAAAAATTATGGTTTGCTTTTTTGGCACAATCCTAGAACCAGGCGCATGCAAATACACGATTGCAGGCTGTGCTGCAGCCTTCAGTCGACCATCCACATCATCAGCAAAAAGATGCTTTTGTGATTCCGTTTCTACACTCCCTTCGTCTCTGCTTTCCGGGCTTTCAAAAATCGACAAGAAGGCAGGGTATGCGTCTTGCGCACTCAAGAGTTCCTCAACAAGATCCATCTCATTGTCCAAGAGATCTCGATGAGCCATGTCAACGTACAATACTTGGTCACGTCCAAAGTTAGACATGATTGACTGCTGAATTTCCAAATCCTGATGAACCACTCCATTAAAAACAAACGAGCCCAAGGGCACGTGCTTTAGATGGATGAATTCTGTCATCGCCAAGATTTCGTCGTCAAATTGGTCGCTTCGCAGGCATGCCATCGCTTCCTCTTCATTTTGTTCAAACGATCCAATTTTGACAGCAACATCGGCGTAAGCTTCTAGCAAGTGTTCAACAAGAATGTCAGCCTTTTCGTTTTCACTGACCCGTCGTACAAATGCTGAGGCAATTTCTGTACTCGTGGCTCTTTGGTCACCAGAACCTTCATCAGCTCTGTCCTTAGCCTGTGCCAGCAATAACAGCTTAGCAAAATGCCAGGAAGCTGCCTTTTCTGAATCCTGGAATGCTTTGTACTTTTCTAAAAGAGCGCGACGATCGTCAGATGTCTTGCTCGCCATAAGCTCCTTTGAAGAAATAAGAAGTGCCCACTGTACAGGAGCACCACGAGCACGCATAAAGTCGATGTGGGACAGCGCTGCACGGCTTGCCACGGTTAGTGGGTCAAGAACAAGAATGCATTCATACATATTCTTGCGAACAAAAATGAGATTCCACGCTGGGCGTCTAAGCACGTTTACATTATGCGGCCAGCCCGCAGAGTTTGAGTCAGTTTCAATATTGTTCAGGTACAAAGGGGTTGTTCCACTCATAGATCCACGCATGTGAACACGAACTACAGGTTGCTCTTGGTTTAATTCGCGCACATGCGTCAGCATCTCCTCCAGTTCCGTATGATTCAAGGGTAAACGGCCTAGCTGCTTAGCTACAGACCACTCCTTTCTTAGTGTCGTCATGAAATCAAACACGTTAAAAGACCGTTCCATCGGATCTATCGCAATACCATTCATAATAAATTTGTTTATCAATCCATTTCTTGCGGCTTGCATTCGCATGGTGGCAACTTCTTCACGAAACTTGCTGGTGATTGATTTTCGCGAGAATGCCAGCTTTTTCGCCTGTAAAGGAAAGTCTTGTGAAAGCGTTTGAAGCATTCTCAATGGATTCTTTGCATCGACAATCGCACGTGCAGCACTCGGACCTAAATCCTTCATATGCCAGGCCTTTAGTTCTTGTTCCTGCTCGTCATCTACTCTTTTCACCAAAATGTCATAGAACTGTTTCAAATCATGAGCAATAACTCTATGACGAGCCATAAGAGGCTTAAACAGGAAACCTTGGACCTCTTCGTCATCAATGTCATCCTCCTCTTCGTCCTCATCGTCTTCGCCATCACCAATAGTATTGTCTTCTTCTGTCTTTTTCGAATCATCAATCGTCTTATACTCCATATTTTTAATGTCAAGCGCTACACCATATCCTTGTAACAATGTATCCAGCGGCGTGTCACGTGGATAATGACGGACCATATACTGGATCTTGTTTTCCTGCGCTTGTTTGATAAGACTCGTGTGAAAAGCATAAAATGGGTCCGTGCCTACAAGGCCATAAAGAATCACTGACATGCTTGTCTTTGCAGGGTTTAATGGAATGTGCGGATACTTGTGATCCACCGAAAGTTCCACATCGTTAACACCAGCGGCCAGACACACTTGGTCATGCATTTTCTGCTTCGTGTCATGTAAGATAGTCCCGAGCTCAGTTACCGAGCAAGCCACAGACTCAATACAATGTGGCTCTTGATAAAATACCGCCCACGTATCCACATTCTCTCCACATAAACGTACAGCCGAGTCCAAAGCCAATTGACGAAACATTTCCACTTTTACTGAATAAGCTCGTGTCGCTAGCATCAATTCCAAGATCTAATCATATACATTCATGAGATGTAGCCATTAGATGATACATTATGGTCAATAACCTCTGAGAATTAATAAAATACACACCAGCGCGTGTAGTCAATTTACTTACATTATTTAAACCAGGAGCGATTCCATCAGCCACAGACACCGCCAGTGTTTTCAACTCGTCCACATCATGACTCACCAACTGAATATACGGCGTACGTGTAGCTAAATTATCCAAAAACTGCCAAAAATACAGTGGATTCTCCTCGGCTAAAAACTCACTAGAATCAAATACAATACCTTATATTAATAAATTACCAAAAGAAATTATATTATAGAGGTTTTAGCGAACCTTGTCTCCATAAGCGGGAATAGCATAGAACTGGGCCAACTGGCTGTCAAGTTCACATGAACACCTCGTGCAGACGTTAATGAAACCTTTACAGTCGCTAATAATGCCACAAAACCAGCATGTAACAACATTATCATCCTTATCCGCATCGTCCTATTCAATAATCGCTCAAATTTTGACTGATTGGATCCACGTGGAAGTGGACGTTATATAATGTCACGCATGGTACTTTTGAATTATGTCATGTACGGTACTGATTTCACATCCCTCTATTATCGCATACTTTACCTATCATTTTGCATAAGTCCCCACTCCATTCGCCGCGCATTATTACAAGGTCAGATCGGGGTGTCTTGCCCTCTCCTTTGTGTGTCCTGTATCGTTCTCTACAGACACAATCAAGCCTTTCACGACCACGTATTATCATTGCCAGTATCTTGTCTATCTATTGATATCTTTTTTGCTGCTAAAACATCTCGTAGCTGCCATGAACAATCCAAACGCACACCGTAAGATGACACCCAAGGGCCAAATGAGCTCTAGTGGTATGGGACCTGCCATCATGCATTTGCCCACGCATTTGAAGGTTTTATTTGAACCTAATGCACCATTGGACCATTTACCACGTCTGGTGAAGCGCAAGATGCCGCCCTATTCGGGTCTTGCTGACTTTATGGACGCCTTTGAGACGGAGAAGCCGCCACCTCGACAAGTGCAAGAGACGCCCAAGGAACGTCGTGATCGACGTCGACAGGAAAAGATGCTGGAAAATGATGCCAAGATGCAGGAAGATCGAGCCAAGTGGGACCCAAATGCAGAGGACCCAAGGAAAACCCAGGACGCGTACAAGACGCTCTTTGTGGGACGTATTAGCTACGAAACGACCGAGCAACAGCTTCGACACGAGTTTGAGCAGTACGGACCTGTCAAGAGTATTCGACTGGTAGAAGATCCGGAAGGCAAGTCACGTGGCTACGGTTTTGTGGAATATGAAAAGGAGGCAGACATGAAGGCCGCATTCAAGTTTGCTGACGGCAAAAAGATTGATGGGCGGCGTGTGGTCGTGGATGTCGAAAGAGGGCGCACTGTGCGGGACTGGTTGCCTCGTAAGTTTGGTGGTGGCATTGGTGAAACCCGCAAGGGAGGGGCGGATGTTAATGTCAAGTACTCGGGAAGAGAAGCCATTGGACATTTTCAGGTGGGTACAACTCGTGATGAAGGAGCAGCAAGGACGGATCGATTTGGACCTCCGGAACCTTCGCGTGATAGAAGTCGGAGTCGCGTACGTGGGGGAGATCGTCGTGAGCGACGTCGATCACGATCAAGATCGAGATCACGGGACCGACGACGCGATCGTGGCACCGACCACAGTCGTGACCGCGATCGTAGCCGTGACCGGGACCGTGGTCGCGATCGTGATCGCCGTAGCCACCGTGCCTCGCGTGACTATTCTCGTAGATACTAAGCTACATTCGGAACGATCGCCGCGCTTAGGCGACGAAGGTACATTGTATTAGCGCATGGGTTTTCACTTTTACAAAGGTAAGGAAACGTCCATTGCAGGAGCGGTATCTCGCTTGTGCTGAGAAACGTTCCTGTCGGTTGCCGTCGTATAATGCCATCACATTCCCTTTCTCATCCAGCGTAAGTTGTCTTGTTTTATCTCTACGAGTATTACTGACGCCGTTACCCATAACGGTGGTACTGATTGATTGCCAAACAGTGACGGATTGGGACAAAGGACACGAACTTGTTCCGAAATATCCGTCGTTGAGCGATGGGTAAATGCTATTTCATTGGTTTCTAACAAACTCTTATTGCTCAATTTGCCTGAGGCGTTGAATAGCTGCACCTTATTCAATCAACATGTTTTCGTACGGGTTTACTGTTTTCGTGTTGTGTGTCGTAGTCGTAGCATTCGTCGTGTTGGTTGAATCAAGTAAAGAACCTGAAGGTGGTGTTGATGCGGATGTGCCCGATACAGGCGTTGTCGACGCAGACGAACGGGTATACATACGCAGGAGATTTCTAAAACGTCATAGCGATGATGATGATGATAATGACGATAATGACGACGATGACAAAAACGACGATGACGATGATTCGAATGACGATTCGTGTTAGTTTTTCAGCATTCCACTGACACACAAGTCGCTTGAACCTTGTCGGGTTTATTACATTAATTTGGTCACTATAACGCTAATGCACAAGCTGTCAGTTGATCCCTACAATGCTCATTTATTTGTAGTAGAGCTCATAAACTTTGCAAATGACGACCGTTTTGGCGTCTCGACCCATCATCAATTTTTTCTTTCTTACCTGTATGTATGTATTTTGCCATTCGATACGCCTGATCAATGGCATCCAGGGCTTGGTCCTTTACGATATTTTTCATATTCTATCACGATTCAGAAATATCTAGATGATACGAGGTCTATAAGGTTTATGATAAGAACATATCGTGCTATATACCATCGATCATGTTCCAAGCTTACTACTATCACACACAATGCAAGGCTCAATTTAACCAGTAGTAATGTCCGATTACTACATGTTCGTTAGCTCTGCAGAGTGCCAACTGCTCTTATGACGCGTTCTCGAGTACTAATGCAATACCCTGTCCCCCGCCAATGCAAGCTGATCCAACCGCATATTTCTTTCCCGTTCGCTTCAGTGTGTGCGCAAGGTGGGCCGTGATACGGCTACCCGAGGCGCCTAGTGGATGTCCGAGAGCAATAGCACCACCGCTTTGATTCACAATTTCTGGATCAAGCTCTAGCTCCTTCACGCACGAGAGCCACTGTGCCGCAAACGCTTCATTGATATCATAAATGTCAATATCCGATTTCTTCAGTCCCACGCGTTTCAATGCGCCTGTGATAGCAGGCACAGGGCCAATACCCATGATAGTTGGATCTACACCTGATACTTGGTAACTCATCACACGTGCCAAAGGAGTCAAATTGTGCTTCTTCACTGCGTCTTCGGAAGCCAAGAGTACAGTCCCAGCACCGTCTGAGATACCAGAAGCATTGCCTGCAGTCACCACTCCATCCTTCTTAAACACAGGCTTCAATTTAGCCAATTTCATCAAGTCGACAACACGAGGGGATTCATCTACTGCAAATTCCTCCGTGTTCCGTCCCACTCGAACTTCCAATGGTGCCATCTCGGCATCAAACCATCCTGCATCTTGAGCTTTGGCCCACAATGTTTGACTACGAAGTCCAAAAGCGTCACAATCTTCTCGACTGATATTGTATTTTGCTGCCAGATTTTCCGCTGTTATGCCCATCGGTGTCTTAGCATAAGAATCCGTAAGTGCTGACCATAATGTGTCCTGTAGCTTCATTCCTGCTCCAAGACCGACACCAAAGCGTGACTCATGGCCATAAACTGCCAGTGGACTCTGTGACATATTCTCAGCACCACCACAGAGTGCAATCTCAGCATCTCCTAGCAAAATCTCATGCATTCCTCCTACAACAGACTGGAAACCACTACCACATAAGCGATTGATGGTAAGAGCTGGTTTATCCTGTGGAATACCAGCTTTTAACTGCACATGACGTGCAATATACGCGCCATCGGGGGAGGTGGGAGCCACGTTGCCAATCTGGACCGTATCTACAAGCGCCGGATCAAGATTAACAGCTGCAAGTGTCGCCTTAGCTGCGTGTGCACACAGATCAGTAGCTGTAATGTCCTTGAGCTTGCCTCCATAATTACCAAAAGGTGTACGTTTAGCTGCTATAACGTATACGTTTTTCATAGTGATTGGTTAGAGATATGGCAAATGACAAAATGAGACTATTCATGTTTAGAAAGAAGGTTGAAGTGTGCCGAGATGCTGCCGTGAGAACGTTATCTATTCCATTGTGACTACCAGGTAGTCACAAGTATTTACCTGCACTTTAGAATACTTCAGCAGCTTTTTGCCAATAGGGTTTTGGGGTGATACTCTATTTTCGACAAAATACAGTACTGTAAAAAGCACCATATGGTGTTGACCTCACTCAAACCGGGGAATAATGCTGCACAAAACAAATGGAAAACTCGAGTTGTTGATCCTTCTTGTTGTTTACCTAAATACTTTCTTCATATGACGCTATTTTTGACGGAGGCTCCATTGGTAAATCCAAGTAATCAAAAGAGTCACGACGTCGCTTTCGTCCAAAATTGTGACGCTCAATCTGCCATGCACGTGAAAGTTCATTAAACTTGAAAAGCTTGGTAGTCTCCATAACGTCTGCGTTCAGCGCACGCGCATAGTTTGCTTGTGTAAACACAGCACCACTGGGTACAGCAGTCGCAGGAATCGACAAAATATCCCGCGCGAGTTTTGCTAGTGAAGGAAATCGAGTTTCGTTCGATTTCCACCACAAAAATGGGTCGGACCGCTTATCACGAATAAGCGTCGCGTCAAAGAATCGGTCGACCTCATCGCCATCGATCGTGTAGTCAGGCATGCCTTCGCCAATATCCAACAGCTTCTCAAACGTCGTGTACGCAGTTGAGGCATCATGTCGCGCTTGGTCATCATCCAGTCTTGCATCAGACAGAGCATCGTAGACATTCGTGCGCAGCATTTCTCGCAAAAATGCTTTCTTGGTAGACTTGTCGACGGACTCGTTTGAAAACCGCGGATCCAAGATTTTTGCCAGGCGGAAATAAGGTGAGGAGTGTTCCGTATGGTACGACTCAAGGCTAGATTTCACTTTCAAGCACACGGTTTGTATTTTGGTGAAAGCACTCGCTGTGAAGTCTGAAGCTGATGCAGCCGTGCTCTCGCACAAACCCACGATCGCCTTGCAGACATTGATGGAGGTGCTCAGCGAAATGTGTTTCTGGTCACTCTGACATGTAGCCATCTGCATGCACTTTCGCAAAAAGGTAGCCACCCATACGAGTAAATCCCACTCGATCTCCTCCAGCAGGAATACGTTCATGCCATTAGAGGCATCACCATACAACGCATTGATGGTGTCCTTGATCTTGGCGCTCTCCAAGATCATTGTGATTGTTGTTTTCCAGTGCTTTGGCGAATCCAAATTTGGAAGCTGGTCTGGATACTGCATCCCCACTTCCGCTGTACGCAGCGCAAAGTGCTCTTGACTCTCAGTTGTGGACTTCAGCAGCGACAGCAACGAACGGAGCTTTACAATCTCGTGACGAATTTCCTTGAGCGCCGCTAGCACACCCACATGAATAAGATGACCCAAACATGTCACGTTCCAGTCGGGAGAAATATTATCTAATCCTATAATTCTTTTAATCTTTTCACGAAGAAAACCCATACCCACTCCCAACTCATTGCCCATTGGCGTCACGCCACACAGTAGTTTATTGCCAAGGACCCAATTGTTCTGAAGCACATTGAATAGCAAGTCCGACATGAAATACGCGTTAAACTCTGATGGACAGCCCTCCAGACCAACTTGAATGGTTTTGTACTCCCAATCGGCATTGATCCAGTGCAAATAAATGGCCATATACCCTTTGTACACTGATCCTGACCACGTATCACATGAAAACGTGATACGTCCAACCGCAGAACGGTTTACATACTCTGCCACGCGTGTAAACAGTGCGTAATATTTGCGTTCCATTGCCTTTTGCAATGCATCCAAGGGTGGAATGACAGTCCTGATGCCCGCAGCAGCTAGCACGTTCAGAAACTTCTCGTGCTGCACTACACCCAAATCCTGCTGATCGTCTACGATCCACTCAATGAGCGAACTACTGAAATTCCGCAGCCTCTGGCGCTTCATTCCTGTCAAGTCACATCGTATCAAATTACAACGTCTTTTAACTTGCAAGCCAATCCTCGTCATCTATTACCTGCTGTATGTTCGTCTAAGTGCACCACCGCTACCGCTTCTTTCTTTGCAGTTGCAACCTTCTTACCTCCTGCACCAGTTGTTGCAACAATTGTGCCATCTACTCCCTTGATTGTCGCTCCATTTACATTCTTCTTTCCTTTCTTACCCGTGGGCGTGCCATTAGGAAAGTCATTATGCCGTTTAGCATGTCGCATCATGGACGATGTGCCATGCCTCGTACTAAAAATCTTACTGCATATGGAGCATTTGGCTGAATCAACCATTCCATCACGCGTTCCGCTGCTTGAAATGGGCGTAAAGGTCTCCCATACAACACTTGTAAGCTTTTTCTTGCGCATTGTTGTTTCTTCAAGCGCCGGCATGACGTCCATGCACTTTGGCGGTAGATCTGTAATGGAATCAATCCTTACTGCCACCGCCTTATGTTGCGCCAGAGTCTCTACGCCTTCCCAGCTGTCCTCTACCGTGGTCCAGACGCCAGCGTCGCTGCCCTCGACTGACGCCGCGCTTGCTTCCGTCTCGGATACGCTGAATGAGAAGATAAAAATGATATAGATGACATAGCAGAGTGATCCGAGAAGAAAATGGATGGCATTAGTGATAATGAATATATATAGAATACATGGAGAGAGAAGAGAGAGAAGAGAGAGCGACGCACTCAACACTTGGGTACGACCAAGCAAACACAATATATATATATTACCAGTATGAGCTTTGTGACTCAAAAGTGGCGATGTCGTGACGGGTTTAAAGAGACCGAGTGAAGGAAATTATAAATTACTTGAGACTTGTAAGCTATTGGGTTAACGGGTTGACTGGCTATGAGAACTAGTGAACCCACTTTAAGGTTCTTAAAACTCGGACACAGTTATATTTATATGAATACTGTCAAGCTCTGGCTTTATAATAAAGTTCATTGGCTATGAAATTATCAATAGAGAAAGAGATAGCAAAAATATTTTTTACAACCATAGCTCGCATTTGCAAAGTGTTACTTTACTGTCCATTGCTTCGTATCATATTCATGGATGTCTGCAACACACACGGACCGCAAATCGAGATATCTGCTCGTAGCTTTTATCCAGTGCTCACGACGCCTTCTCCATCAGGTGAATAGGCTTCAAAATGGACATTTTGTTTGTCTCTACAATGTTTCCATTCATCACCATCTCGTCTAGAATAAAGTGTGCTTTCTCCAAGTTAAACATGATCTAAACATGATAATGCATACGCAAGTACACCAACACACATGTAAGTTCACCACACAATACACACCATACATCACACACAAACGCATCGTCGAACAAAGCCGCTTACATCAAGTTCGCACTGCGGATACAACAACAGTTGCCCATAGTACATAGAGATCACACTTAGCTTCATCTAGCATCATTTACAATCAATAATCGTCCACATGACGTACCACACTCTCAAAATACTTGTCCATAGTCTCTACCAGTGCGTGTATAAATTCCAAAATACCCAGTTCGTTCTATTTACATCACAATCCATAAAGTAGCAGCATTAGCATTTATTACACACACATCTTGTATCTGTATAACTGCACCAGACGCACCTCCGAGTCATCATCCTTGACGCCAACAATGAAGAAAAGTGACGCATATCTTCGATAAATGACCTTATAGCCACGATATTCTACAAATGAACACTAGCATTTTAGATACATATAGACAGAAGATATAATAGTATTAGTATCTAAAAAAGAGAGAAGAGAATATAGTGAATGCACCTGTGTCTCATTACGACCGAGACATTTGCGAATAATCTCAGCTTCAAGTGCTACACGCTCTTGAATAGACAGGAAATCATAGTACTGCGCCAATCGTGTTTGACCCTGTTTATTGACCATTAATACAAACTTTATCATACTTTATCCAAGTCTTTTTCAAATAGGCAGGGGGGGTGAATTGTAATGTCGTTTCTATTTGACGTTTACAATGCAAAAACGTTAATAAACAACGTGGCGAAACGTTTGTGTGATGTGGATTTCATGTGGTACACATAACAATACCACATGCTACGAATGTGGTGTACACCACCTAATACTCACAAGTTGAAGTGCATTAAGTGTCAATGTTTCTTTGCAAGATGGTCTCTCAGATAATTTGCTGTGCCTTGACATCATTCTCTCTCTACATACTGCAATCATAAAACAAGTTCATACGAGTTCTAACTTCAACACCATGTGGTCTAAGACTGCAACAAATTTTTCAGCATTCATGGACCAAGCAAACGGACTCTTGCCTTCGCTTGCATTAGCTTCAGTTCCGCTTGAGTAATGGCGATAGCGTTTGCACGCTATAAGTGTACATGCTTTTGTTTTCATGTCAACTGCGAGCAATGACGTGGTCTCACGCATTGGATACTTGACACGGTTTCTAATCGATGCGGTCGTTAATCAGATAATGTCGGCTTTGCAACACACGTTCAACGCAGTCGCGACAACCAATCGATCCGGACGTTCGCCAATTCCATGAAATGCTGGTGACACATAGCCAGCATTGATATTATCGCGAGCGAATCAGAATCGAAGACTATCACCGGCCTCTGAATACAACAACATTGCATGCTCACAATTAGAGTTTGTAATAAGCTCAAAGTTCATTTGCTAATGGCATCACACATTACCATGATCAACCTCCAAAGCCTGAAAGCCCCGTCCCTCTTCCTGCGCGTTGTCGGGGATCTCGAGGGTTAGCATTTCCACGTCCTGGTCCACCATTACTTGATCGAGGAAAAGCAGGAGTGACATTTGCAGCATACGATCCTGCAACTTCTACTGCTTGTATTGAAGCGGTATTGAAGGCTGGAGCAGAGCCGTGAGAAGCAAAGTTCTTTGAAGCCGATTGTGGAGGTGAACCCAGTGCGGAAGGTTTACCTCCACGTTGCGTTGGCATATTCGTGAGTAGAGGTTGTTCATATCCATCAGGTGGAGGTTGACTTGGGTATTGCAGTCCCACCACACCTTGCTGCATTGTACTTTGCGGCGTTGGTGCTCCTTGCTCCCGTCCCCGGTTGCTACGGCGCCGTCGCCCTCCGCGTGGTCCGTCATTTCCTCGTCCTTTGCCTCGCCAACTATTGCCCGACGACTGAGACTTAGGTGGTTTCTCTCTTCTCAAATCATATTGTTGTGGTGGCCCTCGACGTTGATATGGAGAACTTCTTGGTGCCCCTGACGAATGACTCCTTGACGTTTCAGCTTGTTCCATTGGCTGCAGCGTAAGTAGATTGCACTGCGGGTTTTCCACATGAACAATGCAGTGCCGATCGTACGCGTGGTCCAATAGCGCTGCCCATGGTTTCGAGGACCGCAAAGTATTCTCCTTGCCAATTACGTAGCACGCGAACTTAGCTCGAGTAAGCGCTACATTCATTCGCCGAATATCGTTCAGGAAACCAACGCCAGCTTTCGGGTCGGCTCGGACAGTGGACACTGTGGCCAGTCAACATCATTTGTTAAGCAATCCACTTCCACAACAAACATTTTACAACAACGTACGTATAATAATGTCCTTCTCGCGTCCTTGAAAGCCATCAACAGTATTGATCTCAACCTCTTGTTCGTAGCGATTACCAAGCGCGCGGCGGAAACAAATCTTTAGCTGCTCCATTTGCTGACTGTAAGGTGTAATCATACCGACCTTCCCAGCGATCGAATCCGGAGGACAGGAATTCTTCAGAGTAAGGTACAAATTTACTGCCAGTTCAGCTTCTCCAATATTCATGCGTGATACTGATTTTGTTGACTTTTCACGACTGCTGAGCAGGTTCCAAAATACCAGTGGCATGAATGCTGAGCCAAGACTGTGGTACGGCTTAACGTACTCACCACCCTTCACATTCTCTCCGTCTTGAAGTCTGCCTCCATAAAAGTAGTTTCGTGGAAAGTCTGAAATCACCGGGTGACTAAACATTAGAGGGATAAACAAATGCAAGTTAGCTAACAGCTGTTTACAGCCGCAGCACGATTTGACAGGCTCCAACCTTCGATATTGCGTTCGCAGCATGTGCACGGGATGTTCACAGCTTTCCAGTCGCTCAAATAAACTCCGCTCATACAACGATTGACCGCTATTACGGGAAAAAACAGTAGCTGAAAGCTGCTGTGGATCACCAACCAACACACACTGCTTGCTCCCAAATCTATCATCACAGTAAAATCATGTCAGCTTGAGAGGTACCCTCGCGAGTCAAACACGAACAGCAATAAAAGTATCATTAGCAAGTAAAAGTACGTACTTCATTGGAATAATAGTAGACAGTTCAACAGCTTGAGCTGCTTCATCCACGACCAGCACGTCGTATCTAGCGCTCGCATCCAAAGCAGCGACACCCGCACTGCTCAATGTGGTGAAAACAATATGAGCTGTATCCAGGAACGAAACTTCTAATGACTGCCGTGTTGATTGTGACAGCTTCCCTCTCATCTCATAAACTGCCTGTCGAGCGAATTCGTGCCGCTGTAGCTCCAGTTTGACCTGGTTCCGCAACAAACACGCTATTAGTCACGCAATGTTTGGCAAAGGGCACAAATACGTACCTCGGCAAGCTTTTCCAAGCATCCATTGATCCGTTGAGCCATAGCGACGTAAGGCTGATACCGAGAGTAATCGATAGGGCCCCATTCTTGCATCTCCTTCACATCGGATACTGCCAGTGGAGGTATACGCGGAGACTGGGGCATAAATATAGTTGGAGTCGATGGGCGGCGCTGATCTTCAAGACGATCACTCGGCGGTAGTGATAATGGAGGAGGCGGAGGTGGCGGTGATACAGGAGGCGGAGGTGTATGAGGCGATGAAGAGAATGAGCCATGAGGTGAGCTGACTGTTTCATGATACTCGCTCTGGTTTGCTTGTTCTCGTACGAACGACAGGTTTTCAACCTCTTCATGAGCTACATCATTCGGTTCTCGGTCCAGCAACGGTTTATGCTGATCATGCGTATCGTCGCTATCATCATCATCATCACTCATCATCATCATCAATTTCAATAGGTTCGCTTGCTGTCGATCCGGCTCTATCATCGTTGCGGTTCCATTCTCCAGCCTTCTCAGAGGTAGGTATTTCTACATCTGTCTGCGCATGGGATGTGACAGGGAATGGCTCGTCATGCTCCTCCTGATCTTCGGTCTTGTCAGTGCCAGCCCCGACTGGAAGCGGCTCATCTTCTTCGGAGTTACTGCCATCGTCCAAAAATGCGTTCAAAGCTTGCCCACTGGCTTGAGCATTGAACGTTTCCTCGTGTTCGTCCCAAACAGGTGGCGGGGCCCCAAATGAAGCAGGAAACTCCTCGTCTTCTTCCTCTTCTTCCGGCAACCCAGCGCTGTCTTCTTCACCTTCAAAGACACCAGCGCTGTATTTGCCTCCCGAAAATGAAAGCTCGCTAGCAACGCCAGGGCCAGGAGGGGATGGAGGCGGTGGAGGAGAATCCGGATATGCTGATGGTGGTCGTGTCGGCGCCGACAAAGGCAACGATGCCACACATTCAGTAGGAGAAGAGATAGCCATACTTAACGGCGGCGGGGGCTGAGGAGATTGTGACGCTTCAGTCATAGCAGATAGAGACGCTGCAGTTTTCTCCCTTTGTTGTGCTTCCGCTTGTGCAATTTCTTGTAACGCTTTAAGAGGGTCGTGCTCGATCCAAGCAACAATATGCCGCAATTGATCCCGCAAAATCACTGAATCGCGCTCTACCTGTACGATTGATGATAGAATTATCAATGAACATCAGTGCAATCACCAAAACTCAACTCAATTCCTACGTACCACCATCAGCTCATGCCGCAATCGGCCAATTTGGTTTTCAAGAACATCGAGCGGTTGACTACAAATTTGATCGACTTGATTTTCCAAACCAACGCTTTGCACATTTGCACTCTGAATTGAAAAAGAAACGAAAGTGTTGAATATAACGTACTGTGTAAATTGTCATTTGCAACTGTAGCAAACGTACCAAGCCTCGTCCAACGCGAACAATTTTCGGAAAGTATCGTCGCCCTTCGCCATCACAGAATCCCTCTTCAATTACCTTACTAACAATATTGTCAACTGCAGCATTGGATGGGGCAGTGACTAAGATATGAGGCTTTTCTTTTTCCACCTGAGCCCACGCTTTTGCTGTCTCGTTATCTGGACGACGCGCTACATCCAATACAGCATTATAGTACCGATTGTACTCGCGCAAATGCAATGAATTGAGCAGGCCCTTGAGCGTTGTGGTTTTGCCTGTGCCTGGAGGACCCTTTATCAGAGTGAATCCCTCTGATGTTGCCGCTGCTGTGATCGCTTCCCGCTGCGATTCGTTAAAAGTTCTTGAAAGCCATTGGACATATTTAAGACCCAGCGAATCGAGCTCCATAGTTCCTGGCTTGTGCTTGCCAGACAACAGCAACGGCAGTAGCCCGTAATGACTACAATCACAAAGCGCACGGAACTCGCGAACACTAGTCACCAAATTGTTGAGCTTGAAGAGGTAGCTGTTTTCCTCCTTCTCCAATGTGCTCCATCCTGACCTTAACATTGTCATAGTCAGTCCCTCTTTTGACGCTCTCTGGGTTGACACAATTGCCAAAAATCCTACAAGAGGAGCGTCCGAGTCAGCTTCCCCATCTTTTGCTTCGGTTTTTGAGCCATGTACTTCGTTAAGTGAAGCCAAGGCCTTACGGAAGCATTCTGGGTCGGGAGAAATGAGCACCAAATCGTTCATTAACAACTCAGAAAGTTGATTGCGCCGCATACCAGAACGGTTGTGCTTTGTCGAGTCCACACGAATTCTGCAGCTCTTAGACAAGAACGTGGATCTGAAACCTTTCAAAATGACCGGTGTTGGACTAGGATGGTCTGTCGTCACAGCATTGATCGTTTGTGCTTGCACTTCTTCCAGTGCCAGCGGTTTCCAGACCGAGAAGTAGTGCTCATATGAGCGAAACTTGCTCGGTACTTTCTCAACCTTAACCTCAGAAGTCTCAACCTCGCCTTCCTCAGAGCCATCGTTTGCCGTGTTATACGAATGACTACTTTTTATTTCTCGCCTCAACGCCTCAAAAAACTTCCACTCTAAAATCTCATCAAAGAAGTTGTCCAGCGTGTAGTTTGACTTTACGGCGCTGTATGGTGTCTTTGTCTTTTGCACCTTGCGGTCAGCATTTCCATGTATACTGGAATGCTTCTGTTGCTTCACAGGTCGTCGATGTGCATCCATCACCTCGTCCTTAACCTTCACCGAATGAGTCTCGTTTCCATTCTGCTTCGTCTGTTTTTTCACTGTAGCGTTCGTGCGTCTCACAGCTGCTGCACTAGCCGTGTGATCCTTCTTCACGTGAGGTCGTGGTGGTGTCGGAAGCACTTTTATTGTACCTTTTTCTTTCTTCACTTTGTTCATTCGAGTCCATGAACGACTGGTCTTTTTCTCCTGGTCAGTAGAAGAGCTATCACTCTCAATAACCTTTCTCTTTTTCCCACGAGCTTGACGTCTAGTCATTTCTTCTTCCGACGATGCCGAGTCCGAGACTTCTTCTTCTTCCTCGTCCTCCTTATGACGAGGTTTCCACTCATCCTCCACGTTCTCTACACCCTATAACCACACACAAGAGCACAACCAAGAAGAGGAGACAAAGAACAAGTCAGATTGACCGAGTTTGTACTAGAAAGATTGCATCTCTTGTTCAAAACGACATTCTACGAAGAAGAATGTTCGTATTTTGTTGCTTGAACTGACCTTAAGCACGTGTTGCGCGTGTTGTGCAATTAATTTGGACATTCGTGGAGCACGAGCACCTGATGCAGCTTTTAATCGCGTTGAACGTCGCATTTTCGTTCGCTTTTGCTTCGAATGAAGCAAGGAAAAGGTAAGAAATGTACGCAGTGAAAGCTTTCTTTTCAAGTGTTTTGTGAAGCTTACAGAGCAGCTACAGATACTACAACTATACAAGGGTAAGGACAAAGATCTCTTCTAACCGTTAGTATGCTTAATAAAGACTATAGTACGCTACTTTTTCTTCAATGGGGCGGCGCCTGCGGACTTGACGACGCAAATGAGTTAATGAACGCGAGTCGTTGGGCATTTATACGTTCCAAACCAATCTGAATTTAGGAAGATTGTTGATTTAAGAACATGACACAGACTCAAATTTAGACATAATCTGACACTACAAAGTAGATCCCTCATGTGGTAATGGACCTATACTAGGAACCATTCTAAATTAGATCACATTCAAATGTTTGCTTCATTACTAAAATTTAAGTCATCTAGATTAATGCCTATGTACAGCACGCTAACTTTCTACCTCAGGATGGCTACATGTGAGTCTTCATTGCTCAGCGAGATTGTCTTCGGACGCTGATTCGAAGCCTATTGCTCGTCGACTCGTCCACTTCATTGCCATTTGAAAATTGAATCCCATCCACACGACCTTCTATCTTTCGACTCACTTGTTCCTGTTTGATCGTGCGAAGATAATTGGGCGACTTGAGAAATTTGTTCGGTGTGCGAGCGCCAGTGACCCACGGATGTGCCAGCGCCTGCTCGGCAGAGTACCGATCGGTCGAGTCCACCTCTGTCAAAATAGTGAGCAAGTGAATACAACCTACTCGATGCTATGAGAGTTGTGTTTGCTTACCAAGTAATTGCCGAAGTAAATCTTTTGCAGATTCTGATAAACCGCTCGCCCAGCGAGGAAAACGAAGACAAAACTTGGCCTGAAAATTCAACAACACAGCTGATACATTAATTGTCGACATTGGCAGCCTATCAATCATTCAGATAGTGTACCTTAGCTGCTTTCGCGTTGGCAATTTTGCCGCCATCATCACCAAAAGGCAGACAACCACAGAGCAAAACGTAGACGATGATTCCCAATGCCCACATATCTACAGACATGGAATACGCCTGACGCTGCAGCATCTCAGGGGCAAGATAACCTCGTGTTCCTAGAAACGAAGCCGTCTTGTCATCCGCGTCCAGCAACTTTGCCAGACCAAAGTCGATAATTTTTACATCTGCTCCACGCGACTTGCTTGTCAACATGAGATTCTCTGACACAAGCATCACACTTAGCACAGCAACAGTTGATTCTACTTTATATAGCTGCACCTGGCTTAAGATCACGGTGAATTATTCCACGTGCATGCAAGTAGGCAACAGCCGACGTGATCTGTCGTACAATCGTGCTTGCTTCAACCTCTGACAACGTCCCTCTGTCGACGACATAATCAAACAGCTCGCCACCTCCCATGTACTCTGTAATCTAATTCATCATATCCACCAGACAGTTGAGTGACAGAAACATCATGAAGGAGAGCATTCCTTATGCCGCACCATACAGATCTTTGAATCCGACAAGAACACGTCTTCAATGCGAATAATGTTTGGATGCCTCAGTGACTGGAGCACTCGAATCTCAACCTGCATCACAAGAGCAAATAACGTGAGATACCCAGCACCATAAACGGAATGAAACTGCCTTTGCATCAGAGATCGGGACGTACTTGAAATTGTTCCATAACCACGTTGTGTTCTCTCTCGACTGCGCGTCGATCAATGATCTTGCAAGCACGTATAATCCCGGTACGACGCTCACGACATTTGTATACGATTGAAGTACCTCCATGTCCTGCATCAGAAATCAAAATACACTGATTCAGATATTGCTCAAAATGCCTCACAGCTTCAGAAAACGCACCAATCTCGTCCAGCATTTCATATTTCGCTTCTATACTTCCACTACTATACGATGGCCCTTGTAGCTTGATCAGCTGTTCACCATACAGTCTCTTTTTCTCAGTACATGTAGTTGCTATAGCGCCATTCAACTGCTGCAATCAACGTCGTACCTGTGGTGCTGACATCACTGGCTTTGAATCGACAGTGTGTAGATCACAGTCGTTCTTGAATCCATTCGAAAGTCGCTGGTCAGGCTGCGGCATGTTATCATCTCGATTATTCCAATTGACTCCACAACACCACGACTGTGCTGCTCCCATTGTATCTATTTTCTCGACTCCTTCCTCCTTCCTCCCTCAACTTTATCCTCAAACTGAATCCTTAGGACTTCGTAGATTCAGTGAGAGATTTTTCAAGCGAAAATGATCAATCGGATTGGACGGGGACCTGTACGCACCCTTAGCGGTTTGATACCATGGACACTCGCCAACCGTGCACTTTCTCAAAGTGTCAATGTATTTATTATCCATCAAGTGAGTTGATGGTAAGTTACTAGACACGAGAACTATCTTCATTAGCTACAATAGGCTAAACTTGTACTAGACCAACATTGTGAGCTAAAATGGTGGATGCATCCTTTCAAATTGCTAGTTCTTTGTATCTATTGATCGATGCATACGAGCAGAGCTTGTATCGATTATCACACAAGAATCTTGCCAAGTTTTTTTTATCGAGTATCCTGATGTTACTAGTGCTCTAAACGTCGACCAATCTCAACTTGTGTATTTTATAGAAAACTGTCTACCCTGGACTAGACGGTGATGTACGCAATGCTGATACACTTGGACTATCTGCTTGATTATGTAACGCTTATGGCGTTTCGACAACGTGTTAGTTACACATGGCTACATTTTCAGTATATTTCTTCCACGTTGTAAAACACATGGCAACACCAGCTGTCCATATCATGGCGGACAAAGAGACGATGTGGCAGCGTAAGTTGGAGGTGGTGCATAGCTACAGAAAGCATCGAAGAAGAAACGCCGTTGTTCTCAGGACGAAAATGGCGACGAATAAAGCCATGACCGTTACGATAGCTGTAGCCGCAAAAGAGACGTGTAACAGTATGAAACACGATGCAACGAAAGCGTAACAAGATAAGTGGTAACTCCAATCTCACCAGATACTCTCTCGCATGGAAACGGCGACTTGACATTCAAAAGTGCATGAACGCAGGCGTGGAGCAATCGGACCGTGATCCTTGGACACAATTGTGTAACTCAACGGAAAGCCGTAGAAAGGGATTGACTTTGATCACACAGAAGATCACGAAGAAGTTGAGAAGCTACGGACGCCATCCTTACTGCGGTACAGGAACCTCGGGTGAGTGATTAAACAGCGTGTTTGAAGTACTGCCAAACCTGCAACGTTACAACATCCTTTGGAAATGGACTTGCACTTATACTTTCTCGGCTTTATAGCTAAGATCAAGTGTAGTACGTTGCGTCTGACCGTTTATACATGTATAAATGTACACAGCACGTGCATGAACGATACATTCTATTGCTCTTTTTTACTCTTTGCGATGATGAGTACGGCATACGAAATTACCACTCAGAAACGGTGTAGTCCTTCAAATATTCGCCAAATAGCGGTTTGTCCGTGCTTCCATCTTGATACAGAGCAAAAATCGGGTCTAGCACAACATCAGTCTCCATCAAGAGGCGTCTGGAAGTTATGGGTATCTGCGATGCAAGCAGCTTTATCACGCGGGTTCTCGTCGTTGATCCAGCCTTAAATTGTTCATAGCAGAACAAATGACTACATGGTACAAACAGGATCGCTGATAAAAATGATATACGCTTACCGTGTCGACACTGTTCATGTAGATGCCCTTGCGCATCAGGTCTTCGGCACACGTCCTCGTCATCATGTTTGCTGCTGCCTTCGCCATGTTCGTGTGCGGATGGTTCAGTGTCTTACTCCGGTAAAACTTGCCTTCCATAGCACTAACGTTAAAGCGCCGTGCATTCGAGCTCTATTTACGGAAAGCAGGTCGTAAGTGAAAGTAAGAATCAGTGTACATGTAACTAATGTATCATAGCAGCCATAGAATATCCGCTATTTGCCTTCTCAAGAATAGGAATGGCACGCTTGTTGAGAATAAACGGTGCCATCGCATTAATCGCGAACACTTTTACCAGCTCTGCATTGACACACAGATAATCGATGAGCTTGTAAACAAATCATACACACAGCACGCATACACTGCGACGTACCCATGGTTTCAATTTCGCTGATCTTTTGGACCCATGAATTCGAAGTGCGCAGGTCTACTTGCTGCTGGTTATTGTCAACTTAACCCGCGGGAAAGAGAATCTCTGTTTCGTCAGAATAGTGATCCTCAGCAACAAGAGGCATCTGTGCCAGGTCTACAGACGAAGATACGGAAGCAGATGAACCTGCGATCATGGTCGAGGAGCCACTGTTCGTAATGACAATCGCGGTCCCGTCGACAGCGACATTGCCACTTCCTACACTTGTCGCGGCAGATCTGCCAAGAAGACTAGCATGACCCCGTAGAATTTGAATGGCCTGGGCCATGTTTTCAGAGACAGGCGCTAACTCACACTTGATCAGGTGCCTGTAATAATGCACAAGTCGCCGAATGGTTTGCGTCGCGTTGATGATCAAGATATCCAAGCTTCCAAAAGTTTCGGCGATATGGTCCATGAACTTGTCAATAACGCCCAAGTCACGGAAGTCCATGCCGTAAATTTGCAGTCGGTCCTTCCACGCTTCAAAGTCCTTCTCCTTGGCATATCGGAACGCTGGATCTTTTGGAACCGTGTAGTCGCTATGACAATCGCCTCACTACGAAGCAGCTTCAGCGAAACTTTGTATCCAATTTTCACTCGTGCACCTGTCACAATAGCAATATGGCCACGCAGATCAGCCTTCTGCAGACGCTTTTTGTAGTTCAGCTCCGCACACGGCAGACACAATCGGTCATAAAAGTGGTGTAGTTTACGAAACTTGACCTTGCAAGTATAACATGATCGATAGTCGCGTAATTGCTCCATTCCTTGCTCTCCACCGCCGTCACGTTTTCTCCACTCTCTTTTAAAAGCATAGGCTTATCCACTACAACGACACCATCCGGGACGTTAGCCAGCAGTGGATTCTGCATCTGCAAAGCCGCTAATCCTGCGAGTCTCTTTGCCCGCAACTTGGTGTTATTCACAGACTGCTCATCCCATGCCTTCTTCCTCGCTTGCTCCACTTTCTTCGCTCGCTTACGCTCCTGACGCAAATTGTCATTGGCTACTGAATTGCCATGGTAAAACTTTGCCCGTAAGTCGAAAGTAAGGTAGCAAGCGCCTTCCGAAGCGACTTGAAACGTGGCGATGACTGAAACAGTTGATGCGCCGCTTCATCCTGTAGCTTTTGTAACGTCGCAACGCACGCGACAAGCTCCGAGTCCGTGCCAAGCAAAGTGTAACGTATCCTACCGTAACCCCAAAATGTAGCCAAAGGTTATACCATTGTCGTTATAATGGAGCACGAGCACGCAATCAGTTTAACAGGACGCGCCATGAAGAAGTCGCTTCCAGATCGCGCTATTGTGACAAAAGATGCGCGGAAAACAATTAATTCGGCTACAAGCGTGTTTACGCTATATATAGCGTCCATGTGTGTTCATTGTTGCATGAAGTAACGAATTGTTGGAGTTTATTAATGGATATTGTTTTCGTCTTGTGGTTGTGTGGATTGTAGTGCACACGAGATATCGGTAGCTAACAAGCGCAGTACTATTACATTACATGACGTACTACAAGCACTTTGTGATGCGGATTTTGAGCATTTTATTGAGCCAATTGAGGCGTGTGTGCAAGGTTGGTGCGACGCTTTAGAAATAGAAAAATGTGGGTGGGTGTTGTTTTTACTGGTTTTTGTTACTGCAGAGGCAAAGGTTGTGGCGACGAGAAAGAAGTATCAGAAGGATGTAGATGATAAGAGGGAAGAAACCGAGGTGACAAGTGAAGTTACAGAGCAGTTTGAGGAAGTAGCCATTGATACGAATGAGGAGGATGCTGATGGAGATAAAGATGAAGACATGATGTCAGCGGACGAGTCGTTGGATGCTAATGGGAAAGACAGAAATGCAAATGTGAACGCGGAGGTGCAAGATTCTGTGGACGTATCCATGCAAGATGAAGTCAGGGCAGAGCCTTGCAACCATAGTGCACAAAAAGGGAAGATAGAACATGATGACTTGGTAGATGCAATGGAGTGACTTGGACATAGGACGTTCAGGTGCACGAAGCTGAAGCGATATCAAGTCACACAAGATGAATTTGTTACATGGTATTATCTTCGGTGGCTTCTACCTGGACGCCTCCAATGATTCCTCTGCGCTTGTCTGCATGCTCTAGCACCGCCATACAGGATGTGGAAATAGCGTCAATTGCCTGGCCATACTTGAGTCCACACAAGAGTCCGATGTTGGTAACGTCGTAGGGCGACCGGAGCAGAATATTGCGCGTTGCACCACTGGAGAACACCAGGTTTTTGCCACCGGTGAGACGGACCAGGTTGCTAGAATTGGAGAAGAAGTATCGTCGCCCAGCGGTGTCGCCTAGACACGACGTATATGTTATCTCAAAATAAATTCCACGTTTAATAGCTGCTGTAATCTGCATATCGCACAACCGAAGCATTGTATGAACGCTAGCGACCACAAGATCACGACATAAGCAAACGATAGAAAGAGATGCTCATACCCATGGACGCTTTATCAAGAATGGAAGTCGGTTGGTCGCATCAAACGTGATTAAATCAATGTCAGCTTGCTCGCACAGGTACTGGAACACCTTTGGTGTCGCTCCTTCGGCAGCAATGATATCATATCCCTTGACCAGATCCAATGCAATCTGTGTACGTACACCGATGTAAGTGATGCTTATCAAACATTGTGTCCACTGCTCAATGACTCACCAGCCTTTGCGCATTCACAACTTCTTCCAGCTTGAGTGTGATGCGCTTTCGCTGTCTCGGTAGCTCCTTCATGTCGCCTATCCTTGCATCCTTTTTTAGCTGCAATCCATTATTAATCGCAGCCGTGTACTGTGTCGCTATCTTAGAAGCTCTACCATTCTTTTCTTTCTGCAAATATTGCACAAGATCTGGTATCATTCCTGCTGGCTTGGGCTTTTCCAAACCTTCACAGTCCACATTCACACACACGATCGCATATCCCACTAACAATACAGCACCAGCATCATCATCAGTGTCAATGCATGATCCAATCATATCAATCCATATACATTGCACTAAATGACTTACATCGTTGCAGCTCGCTTGCTGATACTCGTGGGGTTGCACGCACATTTAAATCCACATACATTGGCACGCAATGCAATGAGTAGTTTTCTAAACGGTGTCATGTTGTGCATTCAGTGGTTCGATGCATCTAGTCTATTGCCACCGTATCTGTAAAAAACCTCACTTTATAATGTAATTACACTGTCGTCTGTGCACCAGTCGATTTGGCAGGACCTTTTGCCATGAACGTCACTAGAGACTTGTATTACGAAAAACAATGGCTGATCAATCCGTGGATGAGAAGAATTTGGAGCTTGCTGCGTTGCGCAAGAAACGTACGTTCCGTAAGTTTAGCTACCGTGGTGTGGACTTGGACAAGCTTCTAGATCTCAACCATGAAGAGCTTATGGAATTGGTGAATGCCCGTGCTCGTCGTCGCTTTTCGCGTGGACTGAAGCGTAAGCCAATGGCTTTAATTAAGCGTCTACGTAAGGCAAAAGCTGCTGCGAGACCAATGGAACGCCCTGAAGGTATCAAGACCCATCTGCGTAACATGATCATTGTTCCTGAGATGATCGGTTCAGTGGTTGGTGTTTACAATGGCAAGGAGTTTAACGGCATTGAAATTAAGGTATGTTTCCAGATATCGTCGCGTACTCTCGGGGGATGTGCTGGCTTATAACCCGAAGAGTGGTGTACTATATAAGTAGTACACTCGGCTGCCATCCCCTTTGCTGACGTTCTGTGTACGGGGCGACCCAGAGAGCAATTTGTGTATTCGAATTGGATTGTATGAAGTGATACTTCCTATGTCTAAAACAACAGTCAAGACAAAGGAAGATATGGTGTAATGAACTGACCTTGTTATCTGTCTTGCTTCTTACTATGATAGCCTGAAATGATTGGCCATTACCTTGGTGAGTTTGCCATTTCCTACAAGCCGGTGACCCACGGTCGTCCTGGTATCGGCGCGACGAACTCGTCACGTTTCATTCCGCTCAAGTAGAGCAGTTGAAAGGTGCGATGCAGGTAGTGACAGGGTGTTTTGTTGTGCTGCTTGCTCCCTTTGGGTTGAGCCATTGTAATACACTGCTCCAGCTGGGAACAATGTTCCCAGGAGACTATAAAGTGGTATGGTATGCGTTTTGCTATTGTCTTTTTTTCTTGTCCTGATTGTGCAGACTGGGAGCTGGACTAGACATGCAACACATTAGATTTGAAGAGAGATGGGTGTCAGTGAAGCAACCTCGCCAGAACCAACGATTCAATGGTGGATATTCATCTTTTTGATATTTGTACGTCAGTCTGAGGCACCCGAATCTCTCAATAGCTCCCAGTCTAGCTTGCTAAATGCAGGCTCACGTGCATGTTTCGTAGCTTGTATTGTTTGTCTGTTTGCCAATGATGACCAGTTCTTTTCTGATCAAGGTTGATGAAAATGCTATATAATTCCAATTGATCCTACTGAAGGCAAGCAGACAGCATAGGTATTCAGTATGTAGAGTGTGATTAAAGCATCAAATGACTTTACTTGACATGCGTACTAGTTTTATTTCAAATCAATTGCACTTTGTATCGATGCTGTGGAGTCCCCAGTGCTACAATTACTTGAATACCGAGTATTTCCACATTGTGACCGTGTAGCTGTCGTACCCATTACCGTCTCAGTTGGCCTGCATGGACCACCAAACCACTTCAATTACTATACTGGGCAATACTACAGATTCAAGTCGGGTCTCGTGATCTCAAACGCGAGATGAATGTATTACAGTCATACTGTGCCTCTTGCGACGTTTTCAGGTGTCGATACCACTGCTCACATCTTTCAAAGATATACACGCAACTAAGTCACATGTACACAAAATGAAGTGAACAAGGGTATCTGATACATGCAACATCACGATAAGCTTTGGGGTCTGGTCTGTTGTTGAGCTGGTTTTCAGTAATGACTTTCACTATTCCAAACGTCGTTCAGTGTGAGCATATCCTGTCGTTGAGCTGTTTTTCAGTAATGGCTCGACTAGATATGTGTCATCATCACCGTTCTTTGTATCACTTGCATGCTCTTCATCTTCGTCTACTTCATCATCGTCAGTCTCAAAGTAGACGGAGGACGAAGATGGCGTATCACCGCATGTCTCGGATGGAACAGGCGCAGTGGCAGCAATGATATTCCAAGAAAATGAAGGTCTACCGACTGGCAATGACATAGCCACCCCGATCCCGACAAAAATGATGGACGAAGCCACAAAGTACGGGAGTGCCTGGGACACCACGGATTGCTGCGTCATAGCAGCATACAATGAAGAGAAAATGACGGGTCCAAGCGCATCAAAAACTGATCGAGCACCGTAAATTGCGCCTTGTAAACGTCCTTGCTCCTGCAATACACAATCGAAAGTGTTAACAGGTAAGGTACGATGCGATGATTCCTCACGGTATGCAGCGTACTTTTTCCGACACGTTCATCGACTTGAGAGCTGCAATCGCGGGGAATGACAGGTCGTTGAGGCTTCCAGGCACACACAAAGCGTAGACTACCCATTTTTGGGGGTAAAATGCCGTTCCAATGTAGCCAACCGTCTTCACAAAGCTGGCGATTGTCGCAATAATGATCACACCTTTCTCTTTGAAGCAGGTTATCAGAGGCTTGAGCAACAGACCTTGCACCAGCAACGCCAAGACGACCCAAAGAAGCATCAAGTTACCAAAATCTTTCACGTCAAATCCCACGATAGTCTAAAGAGGCAACAACACAACAGTCATTTACAATAGTCGAATGCACACGTAGCGCAGTTCTGTCATGGCAGCTCACATTCAGGTAGAAGAGCTGAATCTGAGACATTCCGCTCGTAGCAAAGCTTGTAAGAACAATCAGGCACGTCAGTCGCAGGAACAACTTGTTTCGGAAGAGGATCGACATAACGCTGATGGGGTTTTCCATGACCCAGCGCGTTTTCTTCATACGTGCTTGGAATGGTAAGGTCTCAGGCAAGATAATCATCGCCCAGGCAACTCGTAACACGAACAAAACAGCAGCAATTTGCAAAATATGATCCTGTGGAAAACAGTTCCTTGTCAAACAAATGAACCATTATACCTCGCTCGATACAGAGCGAGCTGCACTCACTCGAGAGAAGAATGGTGCGATAAAAGCACTGACGCAATAACCAACTGAAAGACTCGCGAGCAAAACGCCAAACGCTGCCGCTCGATTTTCGGGTCTTACAACATCAGCGACAGCACCGTTCATAACTCCAGCAGTCCTGATTTACAACAAGTTCGATCAACAATTCAAAGAAATTCCAGACAGCATCACCCTTACCCAAATCCATAATCAATCAGTCTCAATACCAAGTAAGGAGCAATGGAACCCCCTAACTGCATAAAGTACATGACGGAGAATGGCGTTCCAACCCTGACAAGCTGGCTTAGCACTAGAAATGGCTAATCACACGATCACAAATGTTTGACACAATCGAGTTAGTTTCTCCTACACAGCAAAAAATGTTCTTGTATCACGAGGCTAACCTTGCGTCCGTAGACATCTGAAGCTTGACCAAGCATTGGGGCCAACACAAAGTTGAGCACAGATCCTAAAGCAGAAAAAAGGCTGTCATATGAACATCACACAAAGAATAGAGCTCACCATTAGTCAACAAGTATTCTGCACTATGTCGTGATGGAGCTTTACATACCTTGATACCCATGCAGCCTCTTGTGATCCTTTAATACAAGCCTAAAGCAAGATTGATATCATCTAAAGCATCAGAACTATCACTCTTCAAACGAAACCTACTTATGGTGCCTCAACAGCTCAAGAGCATTCGTTTTACAGTCTTTAACGTACTTTCTCATGTGGATTAGTTCCACAGTCAATTGACAACCCATTTCGATGTAATCTAGCAAAATACTAGACAGATAATGATGCACCAAGTATGAGACTTAGTATTCCTAGTACTTTACATACTGTACAACAAAATGTATTGTACTTTGTACTAACTTCGGTCATGACAATAGAGATAATCGGACTCATGACACCAAAAGCAGCGTCTACTAGAAACTGGAGCCCAACAATTGCACCAAATTTGCGCGAGATGCTACACTTTTGCTGCAGTTTACATGACGTTGAGCTGTCATTCGTAGTGCGACTGCTTTTCATCCTAACCTAGGTTTTGAAAATGGCTAGAAATTCTTATCCTCGACGATAGGATTACAGGACGGTTGTTCATTTCAATCACTCAAATGCATACAAAAAGCAAGTACAAACTATTGTTGAGAACGTTTGAGTGGAATGTCCAACACAACAGGCGGATGACATGGCTTGGCGAGTAACGTATTACTAGCGGCATTGATAAAGACGGTAGTTCCCACACGAGTAGCTCCGTAAGCTTCATGAATGTGTCCAAAAATATGAAAACGCGGTCGAATTCGAGTCATCGTCTCTTTCAGCAGCCCCTCGCTGCCAACATGTAGCCCCGAGAACGTCGTATCCAAGATACCGTACGGTGGACCGTGTGTCATCAATATATCAACATCCGATGGAACCTTGGCCCAATGCTGCTTGTCGGCATAGCCTCGCGCTACATTGAACGCTCCCGCTCGTCCAGGAATGGATGGAGTCATTGGAGACCCATAAATCTTAATACCCTCAATCACAACCGACCGATTCTCCAAGTACGTGCAATTCGTGAGCAAATTTCTGGATAAACTAGGATCATTGTATTCCTTGTGACGAAACGCCATGTTCCATTGCTGATTGTATTCGACTGCGTCCATGCAGACATCGTGATTTCCTGCAATAACTACCTTGTGTTTGTGTGGCAAAAGCTCAAGCCAGTCGTTAAAGTCACGAATCTCATCGTGTCTCCCTCGATTCGTCATGTCACCACAATGCAACAGGACGTCACCAGCTGGAATGTTCGTGAGCTTCCGGTGCTTCGAGTGGGTGTCGGAGATGCAAACCACACGAAGTGTCCCCTTTTGCTGCGGGTTACTAGATAAGGAATTCATTATCATATTGGAATTTCGCAGCCAAAGACTTTTCCAGCCCATGACACCTACACCATTCCAATAAAGCCAACGGAGCCCTAAACTAAGCAGTAGGACGATAGCAAGGCCAGATGCAATGGAACCAAAGATAAGGTAGATAGTGAATGCTACAATTACGAACAAGACAATAAAACCGCTGGCTACACCTGCTACGATCTGCTCTAGAGACGCGTCGTGTGGAATGCGCTTGAGCACTTGATTCGACATCACTGCGTGCATCTGTTTTCATAAGCCATTCAAATGAGCTGAAAAAGATGGGTCAAAACAAATAATTTTCTCTCCATACTATCCGAAATAAGACCCAATTTGGCAGCTGGCTACACTTGTGACGTGTCCGCATTAATGAAAAAACCGAAAGATTCGCTCACTTGATTGCTAGTCAGTGACAATATGAAGTATCTTCTACTTGCTGGAGTATTAATCGAGCTTTTTAGCAACCAGATTGTTAAGTAAAAGCAAATAAACAACTGGGATCCAAGACCGTTCATGAATTCATGCTCGCATTATTAACAATACATTCTGACAAAGAAACACCTTTATCAGCAGCATCATTTGCTATTCAAACACAACCTGCTCAAGATATCGGACAGCAAAGTGCTTGCAGCGACAAAAAAAGCAAGTTGAATGCTTGTTCTTTCGAAAAAGCTGCTATTGCTGCATTTAGTAATGTTGTGACTAGGCAATGAAAATCATGGTACCTACTTGATCAAGTTTGTTTTGAGCTCTGCTAGTGTATCAAGCAAAGCTATATTATTTGTATTTTCGACTTGTGAAGTGTTTTCATTCAATGAAATGCCAATGAAGCTTACATAATACCATAAGGGCTGTGCTGTCATGACTTTGGACCGAGAGTACAAGATATGCTGAGACTTCCGTTGGCTTACATGAAAAGCTTTTTCTAATTCAAGGTCGAAGAATTAAATAGATCTTAACGGTTGTGGAAAGCCAACCGAGTTACTATCTGAAGAATTCTACTCCAATGCTGAGGTGTGCACAAGCCAGTGTTTTCGATGTTCGATCGGTTGCAATGGGTCTGATAAGATTGTATTATTCGGTACGGATCATCTGTTGCTTTACCTGCTAAGAACAGCAAGAAGGAGACAGTTGTCGGCGAAGGTATCCAAGTGCTCTTGACTGGCAGTCTACCAAATTTAACCACGAGATAATTACTAGCACGAGCAAGTAGGTAAAGTGTCACGCTGCGCGACAATACGACAAGATGGATCGGTGCCAGAGTAGGTACTTGGTCGTTTTTGGCATGTGCGCAACAATTGATGGACAGAGGAGCTACAGTGGACTTAACATAGTACTTTATGTGATTGTTAACTCGACTCCTGATCAAATGCTGCCGTCAAAAAGCGTCGTTCTTTACAAACTTGCTGAGCATGTCTAAGGCCACTGCAGGCTGATCATGAGGTACCATATGACCTGAATTGAACACGCGCAGGAACGTAAGCTGGTTGTTGAAGGAGCGCACCATGCCCGCGTTCATGCCGTCCGCCATGATGAAAGGTGTCTCAGGTGCTGCATTGAACCCGTCTCTTCCCTTCCATTGCAATGCTTGTGTCCAAGCATGGTTGCCATACCAGTTACACACGAGATCTGCGTCACCCGCGTAAATGAGCACACGAACACCGTTGTTCAGCAGATCGGCCATGTATGTATTAATCGGTGTGACGGCATCTGCGGTCTTCAGAAATACTTCACGCACTTTCGAGTTGCATTCCTGCCAGTCACCCGCGCGTTTCACGTCGACACCAAGTGATTTGCGCACGTTGGGAGCGTCCAAATACTTTGAGACATATGACATGTCGTAGCACTCCATGCCATTCCCTTCGTTTTTGCATGGCATGCGGATATCGTACGGATTTCGGCCAGCCTTTAGCAGCGGAACATACAGATTCTCCATACAAAAGCCTCGTCCATCAATACACGCCGTCGTGTTCTGTGGGCACTGCTCCAAGAGAGAAATGCAAACCGGCATAGCCACTTTCATCTTATCTAGCTCTGTCGCGTTTACCAGCGAGATATTGTATGCATTGTCAATCGCCATGTCGATGTAGTGCGGCCACTGGATGGACGCCTGCATCAATCCGTTGCCAATAGCAATACCTTTCAGGTTGATATGTTGTGATGTGTCAGTGGTAGCTTTGTTCTTCTGCCACACGTAATGCGCCACCACAGGCACAGAATGTCCACCGTAGCTCTCACCCGTAATGTAGAAGTCGCGACCAGACAGTTCCAGGTGCTTTTCGAAGAAACCCTGTAGGAAGTAGTAAATGTCCTCACCCACATTATCCTCGCCGTTGTCAGCGTCGCGTTCGTCACCGTACGTAAAGCCCACCCTCGTAGGTTGATCTAGCCATATCACGTTGCTCTCGTTCGTCCAGGAGTACGGGTTGAGCTGCGTGGACAGGTCCGGCAGCACATGACATGGTCCATTCTCCGTCAGCAACGCTGTCATACTCGAGCATCCTAGTTCACCCGTGAGCCATAGCACGAGTGGATCAGTGCTTGGTTGGCTGCGGGATTCAAAGTACCAGTAGAAGTAGTGATCATCGACCTTATTGGACAGCTTCACATATCCCGCATCTTGCGTCGTGAGTCCGCAAAGGGCTTCAGCACTTTCATTGCCAGACTTTACAGGCATACCTGAGTTCATGTTCTTTGTAAGGAACAATGGCTCGCCAACATACACGACCAGCAAGCAAATACCAATCAACGATATGACGGCGATCAGTGCACGATTGGAATTGCGGTTTCGAGCCTCTTGCTGTTCATAATGCCGCAGATCATAGGTTTCTCTCAATGGTGTTGTTTCTGACGACATTATTCGTAATGATGCACTGTATGATTGCACAAAGTGTATGCAATGTCTGCAAAAGAGAAGTGATTAGTCTGTCATGACCAAATCAGACTGTAACGGTTTTGAGAATATACCGAGAATAAGTCTTTCGTCCGTATTTGATTGCAGTTCAGCTGTCCGACTTTAAGGAGAGCTTGCGTCATGCCAGTCTCCCATCTCTGGCCTCAAATTTCTCCTCCCGACTTCGTTCGTGTGTGTCTGCTTTTCCTACAATGCGACAACTCACTCCACCTCATTTCCCAACAAACTAAAAAGACAGTCTGATCATGCCATCGGAATCGACACCACTAAGTCTTCGTTCGACGTCGCTGCAGATTAATCTAAGCATCTGGAGACGTGAAGAAGCTCGTAGGCGAGACATCAAGCGCGGTGGCTTCTTCATCCTCGCACTATGTGCCTCAATCGTTATCGTCACGTATGTAGCCGAACCTACTGTCGAGAATAACAACACTAACCATCAAGTCCAGGCTCATGCAGGGACACAAAATATACCTGTCAACATGACAACTAAAAGTCCTGAAGCCTTTTGCGGACTCACGACGCAAGATGCGGGATATGTGAAGCTGTCCAATAAGGTCGATGATCACTACTTCTACTGGTACTTTGAATCCCGCAGCCAACCAAGCACTGATCCACTCGTGCTATGGCTCACGGGTGAACTAGGATGCTCGAGTATGACAGCGTTGCTGACGGAGAATGGACCATGTCATGTGCTGCCGGACCTGTCCACGCAGCTCAACCCGTACTCCTGGACGAACGAGAGCAACGTGATATGGCTAGATCAACCTACGAGGGTGGGCTTTACGTACGGTGACGAACGCGACGCTGACAACGGCGAGGATAATGTGGGTGAGGACATTTACTACTTCCTACAGGGTTTCTTCGAAAAGCACCTGGAACTGTCTGGTCGCGACTTCTACATTACGGGTGAGAGCTACGGTGGACATTCTGTGCCTGTGGTGGCGCATTACGTGTGGCAGAAGAACAAAGCTACCACTGACACATCACAACATATCAACCTGAAAGGTATTGCTATTGGCAACGGATTGATGCAGGCGTCCATCCAGTGGCCGCACTACATCGACATGGCGATTGACAATGCATACAATATCTCGCTGGTAAACGCGACAGAGCTAGATAAGATGAAAGTGGCTATGCCGGTTTGCATTTCTCTCTTGGAGCAGTGCCCACAGAACACGACGGCGTGTATTGATGGACGAGGCTTTTGTATGGAGAATCTGTATGTTCCGCTGCTAAAGGCTGGCCGAAATCCGTACGATATCCGCATGCCATGCAAAAACGAAGGGAATGGCATGGAGTGCTACGACATGTCATATGTCTCAAAGTATTTGGACGCTCCCAACGTGCGCAAATCACTTGGTGTCGACGTGAAACGCGCGGGTGACTGGCAGGAATGCAACTCGAAAGTGCGTGAAGTATTTCTGAAGACCGCAGATGCCGTCACACCGATTAATACATACATGGCCGATCTGCTGAACAACGGTGTTCGTGTGCTCATTTACGCGGGTGACGCAGATCTCGTGTGTAACTGGTATGGCAACCATGCTTGGACACAAGCATTGCAATGGAAGGGAAGAGACGGGTTCAATGCAGCACCTGAGACACCTTTCATCATGGCGGACGGCATGAACGCGGGCATGGTGCGCTCCTTCAACAACCAGCTTACGTTCCTGCGCGTGTTCAACTCAGGTCATATGGTACCTCATGATCAGCCTGCAGTGGCCTTAAACATGCTCAGCAAGTTTCTCAAGAACCAAGCGCTCTCAAGTTGATAGAAGTTGGCTACAGCGTTGTCATGAAAACTTTCCTTCATTCTGCTGCGGCGTAAAGTTTTGAAATGCAACGCGATTGTGCTGTACGTTTGGCTTGCTGCTGGTGTTTTGATCAGAGCTAGAGTCAATCAAAGGAATCACATTTTGACTCGTATTGAAGTTATACCAACGACTTACTTCATATTGTAGGGCATAAAGGTCTTGGCATTAGCGCTCGACTGTTCATGAAAGCTTGATACGGCTTACAAGTCTGAATTGGAAGTTCTGCAGCAAGCAACCAAAGTGTATCTAAAATGCTATGAATGCTTGATAGAAATCGAAATAATGAAGTGAAAACTCGTTTGTGGTTACAAGTTACATATAATGCCATAAGTTAGTCCCTATCATAAACGATATTTTTCATTTTATCTCTCGCTTTCTTACCATTTTTCAATACAAATGTACGCGTCAAGCTCGAGGTTCCTTGCGACTTATTTCCTTGATCTCATCTATAATGCTCTTGTTTTCGTCTATATGCAGGGCTGCTAAGGTCACATTCAAGGTCACACTAACATCGGACCCAAAATTGCCATACCGAGTGTGCGTTTCTTTTGCAGAATCACATTTTTTTCTCGGTAGTAATGTCTGACTTTGTATTGTTTATTATGTTTGTTTTAGGGTGAACGTACCAGAGCAGGCACCATTTACAGCGGTGCTTAAGTACGTTGCAGAAGAGGTATAAATGCTGCAATATTCTGTGGTTTACTTGATGTTCAATGGAGTCATTAGTAATGGAATTATGCTTGAATTGGCGTCTTTGCTACCAGTTCCACGTGCCAGCGGCTACCAGTGCTATCATCACTAATGGTACGAAAACTGTAGAGGATAGAGAGGTGCAATGAAAGGGAAGAAGGACTAACGAGGCTGTTGTTGCTTGGTTGCTTTTCGTTGGCAGATGGTATCGGCATTAACCCATCGCAAAGCGCTGGCAATGTGTTTCTGAAATACGGCTCGGAGCTGCGTCTGATCCCGCGCGACCGCGTTGGAGGCTGCTGTATGCGTTAGATGACACTTGGGACGATTGCATGTGAACATAGGCTACAATTGAATACTACATACACAAGTCAATTGACGTAAGATGAATGTATGCATATGCTATTGAGCGGTTGTATTGGTATAGTATTCTGCATTGGCAAGATGCTGATTGTTGAATAAACATTCTGGAAGCACCATATGTCACAGTTTCGTGCAATCGACTCGACTTGTTGCCTCACGCTGTCTTTATGATTCGAGTTTGATGTTTTCACAGACCTTTGTTGTAGAAGACGTGCGTGATAGGATCCGCACTCGTTGAATACTGCTTGAACGTGCGCTGATGAAAAGTCTGCTGCAGTTCCGGCTCAAGTAAAGACACAGCAATGGAACTGCGCTGTGGAAACAGCGCGCAGCATAGCGGTGTGGAGAAAACCAGACATCCCCCGGTCAGTCCCACCATCGTAAGAGCATTGACCACCTTATTGTTGCGAAATAGCGGGCGCTTTTCCAGCTTGTTCATAATGAGAGGTGGGAAAAACATGCCGGGCGCAGCCATGAGAATACGCGAGGGTACCACTTGCGCTACGGCTTCCACTGCCGCACGCTTGCTCTTGCCTATCTTCTCTCCATCTGCAGTCTCCACTTCAATACCGCCCAGCAACTCACGCTGTCGCATCAACGGAATGTTGACGCAATTAGCAGCAGCCACAGCAACGAAGGGCACAAGACGACCGACGATGCTATTGCTGAGCTTGGGGCGCTTGGCCACCCAGCGGTTGAGCCCTAATGCCGTGGCCACAGACGCCGTGCTGGCAGCCGCATAGGCCTGTAACAGCTGCTCCTGGCTGACACCCGTGCTGGCATTACGGTTAGTATAATTGACGATTGAGTTGAAGGTCTGATTCATGAACTGCCAGAAGATGACAGCAGGTGTTGAGCGGTAAAAGGTCATCATGCAACCAGTGATGACCATATTGCCCGGTACTTGAAAAGCCATGCGGCCAATGAGCATGTTTTTCTCGCCAGTGTCTGGATGAAAGGCGCTGTCTACGAGCTGCTTGGCGCGCCAGATTTCGTCCTCACTCACATGCGGGTGTTGACCGGCCTTGTACTCCTCAACGAGCTTCTTGGCGGCGTCAAGATCAGCGTCACTAGCCAGCACATTAAGTGGATTGGTGGTAGCAAAGAAGTGCTGGACACGGCCGGCGTATGTGCTTTGATCCCAACGAGGAGCGTCAAGATTTACAGGTGGAGATAACATGGCTACACTAGTAACAGTGACGAGCTCTGATACGTTCTAAGGTTGATAGATTACGTATGTACTGTATGTGAACCATTCAATTCGCTGATGGGATGCAGACGGATTGGGGTAATCGATTGCGCAATAATTTTTATACGATGAAAAGTAAAATATGCAATTAGATAGGTTATCAATAATAACAGTTTATAGGACAACCACATATTAATGTATTTTATTAATTGTAACAACTTCGTGACAAATCAATTGCATGTAAACTTCATCTTGAACTCCGGCATATAAAATTTGCTGATTGCAAACACAACTATTACTTTTGCAAATGGCAGCCGTATTAACAATGAAAGTGGTTTAGGTCGAGTGTAGTCGAGCGTAGTCGAGCGTACCGTAGCCAAGATACTATATGCACGAAGTGCAGAAACGGACAAGGAACTGACATAAGTAGCACGAGCAGTGATGTTGTAGGCACGAGTGCTGATGCAAGTGTCACGATTGATGCTGTTGACGGTACTGCTGCTGGCACGAGTTTGTCAGTGAAGGAGAAGACAAGCGTTTCATCACATGCTACTGTGGATATGACTTAGAGCGCGTTAGCTGGCTTGGAGACAGCAATGGCTGTCCCGAGCGACGACGAGATGTCTACTGAATTGGCGGTCGCCGGCAATGCAGCAATGAGCAGTTTATGCGCGCGTTACGCAGATGAGAGCAGTAAAATCGGTTCAAAGACGTTCTCTGCCGTGAGGCTGTGCAGGGTCTACAACCCTTTCTACGTCTGTAAGGCTCTTAATTCTCACAAGTAAGCCCTCTGGTTTGTCACGAGGTAACAACGGGACCCAGTGGGCTCAGGGCGCCCTACTGGGGAAGAACTAAGTTGTGTTGAACCTCGAGGAGGTAGAAGTAAACAGGGCCCAGCCCCAAAGAAACCTGAACTCATAAAAACGGAACGAGAATGCAAGCCAGGCTTGCTAGTAGTTAAAGGGACGGTTAAGGTCTATGGTAAGCGATGGATCATTTTGATCGATTCTGAGGCATCGGGCAACTATGTGCGCCCAGCCACCGTGGAAGGTAGTCAGCAGTATGCTGAAGCGCTTGTAGCGCGTGAGAGTGACTATAGCCGAACTACTGTAGCCAAGCTACTTATGAACTACGTGAAGAGGATGGCAAAGATTCAAGAGCTTATACGTCCTGGAACTCTTAACCATCCCAAGTCTAGCTCGCAAGCTTCTGCCTATCGTTTATCACAACTGGATCTCAAAGAGACTAGTATCAAAAATACAACTTCCAGTCCTTCAAGGAAGAGAACGCTTAGGCAGTAATGCTTACAGAGCAGGTATGAAGCTCATGTTTATCTTCTAGCACTAATATAGAAGCACCTACTCTATAGTTAGTGCGAGTCACTATTGATGGATCTGAAGCCTATTAATATGCAAACATATAGAGTCACTATACTTAACTAAGTATAGTGACCACGTGGCTCTCTGCCACGATACGACCCTTCGTGTCACATCGAGCCTACTCTTGTACTCAAGGTACAGCCGCACCACATCGGTGTGGCAGGTACATGTAAACACACACCTTCGTGTAATTCCGTTTTACCCTCCCCCACCAATCCGTGGGACCCGACGTACCCACGATATTCGTACTTGATGGGAGTCATTGTTTGTATTTTGCTTGCCTCGCAATTAGTGCTTGCACTTGAGTCTAAAGCTTCTGTGTTTTTAACACTTGCTCTTTGAGCATCAGTGCTTTGCACACACGCTTTCTAAGCATCCTTGTGTTACGACACTCGCTCTTTGAGAAAACAGTGCATCGCACTCCCGCTAAAGCATTTAGTGTTACCACACTTGATTATAAGCGTTAAGAGTTTAGCATTTGATATTATTAATACCCATAAGTGTTTGCGAACACTTGCTTATACAGCAGTAAGTGACTGGCACTTGCCTTTATAGCATTCCAGTGTTCTAAACCTTTGCTTATGAGCAATTAAGTATATAAGTGTGTAAAACTTGTTCACAAAGCACCGTAGTATAAACATTAGCTTATAATGCACACTAGTGTCAAACACTAGCGTATAAGCACCGTAGTGTCTAACACTCGCTTATATAGCACCTAACTGTTTAACACTTGCTTATAAAGCAACTAATTTCTTAACACGTGCTTATAACGCACCTTAGTGTTGAACACTTGCTTTTACAAAGCCTTTAAGAGCTAAACACTTGATTGTATAATCCCAGAGTATTGTAAACTTCTGATAAAGCTTCTTAGTGCTTCACACTTGCTTATATAAAGCCCCACAGTGTTACTTCTGCTTAAAAAGCACAACATTATTTACCACTTGCTTATATAAAGCCTTAAAGTGCTGTAATTTTGCTTATAAAGCTTGATTATGATTTACACTTGCTTTTAAAGCTTCATAATGATTCTCACACTTTCTTAAGTGCGCCGAAGTGCCCAGCACATGCTCATTGAGCCATAAAGTGCTATAACTACTTGCTCTCCGAGCTCCCAAAGTCTATACGTTTTGCGTGTTATATAGACAAAGCCATAAACGCCGTAATTCTTGCTTTTGAGGCAGATAATATTACTTCTCACGCGAGTGGGGTACCGGCAACTGCTTCCCAAGAAGGTCAGAGGTGAAGCCTAACTACTGACTTTGCTTCCACAGCACTTCGTGCTAGCAATCATCCGGCGACTGCTGTCGCCGTTTCTGATCTTTATGATCAAAAGCTTTGATGACGTCCGAGCAGTCTTGCCGTAGAGGTACCTCGTACTCCCACGAGTCATACGACTGAGGGTACCCCCTCCACATTATCAGATACTGTATGTAGCCTTGGTGAAGACGTCGCGCCAATAGACGCTCGACGTGAAACTGTTAATGACCCAGCTCATCAGTCAGCGTTGGCGACGGTCGTTTACCCATCGATACATGATCTTTTGGTACGCCTTCAGCGTCCATATGCACCTCCGGTGCTATTCTACCCACCTCCTTTGGCCGGGGGCATGGGGACAACCCTTCGAAGTCCACCGAGGCATGGTTGAGATATGGTCTTTAGTAAGCCCACAGAGAACACAGGGTGTGTGCGAATCTTCTTCGAAAGATTCAGCGTATTGGCTAAGCCTTCATTGCTTATGACTTTGAAAGGTCCAATAAAGCGTGGACGTAGTTTGGTTTTATATAACGCATACACAGCGTGCGGTAAATTCCTAGCATTTATTAATACCAAATCTCCCACTTTGAGTTCATGTTCGTTCTTTCTGCCTTTGGCATTTGCTTGCTCCTTTTGAACATCCTGGCTTTCATCCATAGCGTCTTTAGCTCGATGTAATACGTCAAAACGCGTTGAAAGAAACGCTTCCACCTTCTTGCGTATCGCAACAGGGCTGATATCAGCCAAGCCTCCGGCTATCGCTCCTGATATGGCAGGGGTAGCGTTAAAGGAACGCGAGGGTTGACCAAACCATTTACATAGAATGAGATGAAGCCTGGCATGCAACGCGTTATCTAACGCAAACTCAATGAGTGGAGCATCGTGCTTCATTGCTTTGGTGTTTCAGCACAAACACCACAAAGCATATCACCAATAACGCGATTCACGCGTTCGGTTTGGCCATCGGTCTTTGGATGATCCGCCGTGGATATTTCCAATCGAGTGCCCAGCACTTTAAAGGCTGACGTCCAAAACTTACCCGTAAAACGGGGTCTCTATCAGAGACGATTGCCACAGCAATTCGTGTTGTTGAAATACACGATCCATGGACAGCTTTTCTGTTCCCTCTCCATCAATGGAGTCCGGCACTGCCGCTAAAATATGAGCCATCTTGCTCAGTCGGTCAACAAAGAGCACAAGTCTAGTGTTGCCTGCCGCGTCACGCGGTAGGCCAAACACAAAGTCCATACTAATGGACTGCCATAAACCCGAGGGTACAGGAAAACTCGCCAAAGGCGCATCCATACTAGGCGAGTGCTTCACCCTTTGACACCTTTCACACGTGCGTACATATGTACCAACCCATTTATACAACTTGGGCCACCAATAATGGTTGCTCACGGAGCTGTAGGTCTTTTCACGACCTAAATGACCACCGAGTGGTGTATCATGAGCCTCATAAAGTATCTGATACTTGAGGTCCTCATCATGAGGCACCACAACACGAGGCTGGTCATCTGACCCTGTACGATAGTACAACAGACCATTGGTCAGTGCATAACAATTTAATCTTGCACGATTACGTGGTGACAGCTTCAACTGAGAGTTTTCAAACTCTGCGCTGCCCAGCGCCTGCAGAATGGTAACGCATGCCTCATCACGTGCATACGCCACACGGATACGTTCCGTTACTGACGAACTCACAATAGTGAGATGAGCAAGCTCATAGTCAGGTCTACGCGATAACGCGTCAGCCAAAACATTCTGTTTTCCCGGCTTATACTTCACCTCAAAGTTATACTCCGCGAAAAAGAAGAGCCAATGAGCCATTCTCTGTGAGAGATGAGGTGACTGTGTCGCTGTGCGTAACGACGCATGATCAGTATAGATCTCAAACGGCTTTGATCCCAACAGGTGTACCCTGAACTAAACAAGGGCATACTTCATCGCAATTAGCTCTTCATCATGAACTATATGGTTCTTCTCTGCAGCTTTCAGCTGACGAGACTCAAACGCGATGGCGCGTTCTCGACCCTCAGAGTCAACTTGCAAGAGAGCGCTGCCAATGGCAAAGTCCGAAGAATCACACACGACGCTAAAAGGACGATCAGGATCAGGCAAATCCAGAATTGGCGGCTGAAGTAGACTCTCTTTAACGAATTCAAAAGTCTCGTGGTGCTCGGTGTTTCAACACCATTCCACATCCTTTTTAAGGAGATTCGAAAATGGCCTGCATAGTTGTGGCTATACTTGTGCAAAAGTAATTTGCCCAACCAAACCACTTGTGGGGGTCCTTCTGGTTCCTCGGAACCGGCCTATCCACTATGGCTTTGACGTTAACAGGGTCTGCCCAGATTC